ATTCTCGACTGAGCCGTCTTTTTTGTTCTGACGAAGAATTTTGGACGCGAGCTCGACTTATTCGCTCAGTCTTCTGCCTGCCGAAGGACGCTGTTTGCGAAAGGCCAACGCACGTGTGAAGATAAATGAATATTTTTTCAGTTAGTTTGTCGGTTTATCCCGTTGGCAGTTGTGTTTCTCAAGGTAAGTTGTTCCCGCTTAGGTCCTTGCTCAGTGTGTTCAAAAATTCACCGACTTGTTTGCCTAACCTTGGAGAGTGAGGCAACCCTCTATCCTGGATTCAAAGAGCATGCGCTCATTTTTTGCAACAAACTTTCGATTAGCATTTCACAAGATGGGGGTATCAAAGCTTCCCTCAATGCCATCGAAAATCTATGTGGGGAAGCTACCCTGCTGCATATAAAATACAACAGATGGTGATTTTTATTCTCAAGCATAATTATATTGCCTTTACACTCTCTTTTTATAAGAACAATTTTATAAGAACACGAGCTTCAAAATTGGTCAAAAGTTGAGAACATATTAAGAACAAACTGAGGCTGAGCTACTGTAAAATGTAACTTTGGAAAATGTTTCATCTCAAAAACGAGGGGTTTTTTGCCATCTCGGGATGCTTCTTCGGTGAATATTCATGGATGGCGGCAAATAAAGGTTTTCTCACGCACTTTGTTGGCAAATGAGGCCTAGACACCTCCCTAGAGCGAAAAGCTAGCAATCGCACTGCTTACACCCTATTAAATTAAGAACAATCCAACCTCAGATTTTCGAAAAAGTTAAGAACAGCTAGCCTGAACTTCAATTTACTGACTCTTATAAAGAAGAGTGTAATGGTAAACTTTGTTAACCTCCCTTAAGGCACCGCAATGGGGAAACCCTTTGCCCCAAATTATGCCAAATAATCATGACAACAATAGAATAACATATCTTGAGCAATGCCCCGATGGGGCGTAGGCAAATATTTCGGAAAATATTTATCGATGACATAATCTTCATCTGGCAAACACAAGCTTGAAAACCTACAGGAATTTATACAATACACCCTATATCATCCACAAAAATAGGTATAAAAACAGTTTATAGAAGACTCCCTTCTTAAAGTCACGCTTCTGATTACAGTCAAAGCAATTTAGACCCAAATATACAAAACTATTCCATCAAATTTTGACCCAAATAGCCCGGTTTACATTGTCTTAGTTTTCTGGCAAGCGGTGCTTGCCTTTTTAGTATGGTTTTTAAATAAGACACAAATATCAACTAAGGGTGTAGCCACAGAAAAAGGTGTAACACTTAAGGTGAAAGGAAATCAGAATCAATTTAGAAATCTATTCCACCCAGCCCAAGATAACGCTGGCAATTGCTACTTCGTGTCACTGGTAGTCTGTATCATTTTACTTTTGAAGTAGACAAATTACAAGCATACTCTACTTTTATTGCTACAGTTACATAATAATAGCAACAAAACAGATCCGTTGGTACAAAACATTTGTCCTGCAAAAATCAGTTTTGCCCTCCAAAAAGGTCCTACTTTCGTGGTTGGGGATGAACCAGTCCCCCACCAATACCCCTCTAAAGTGACGCCCTTGGCCGTTAGTATGATTAGATTCGGTGACCTTTCAAACTTTTAAGGGCTTAGCCAAGAAGAAAGAGTCAGCACTGAAGAAGGCCAGGATGAATACGTTACGAACCTTACTTCACCTCACTTGTAACTTACCGCCAATTTTCCTACACTTGTTTAACCACCAATAAACAAGCTAAAATGCGCATGCTAAGGCTGTAAACAAGGCATAGATTAAACGTGGATCTGACTCACTTTGTAGAGTTGTAAATAATAATTGTGGAACTGTAATTGTAGCAAATGTGGATTTGTAAATATTGCATTTTCTCAAAAGTGCAGCATTAGATATCAATCGAAAAGGCTAAGATAGAATTAGGAAATTTTTATCAATGCGAAGTGAAGGCCCAATCCCATCCTACATTTTTTTATTTTTTTTATTCCCAAAGCAGGTGGGGAGTTTGCAACAAAGTGTTGATGTGGACAGTGTTGATGAGTGCAATACCCTTATGCAATGCACTCATTTCTTTTTAAGTAAATTGCTATAAGAAATGAGCAATGGACAATTTATAAGAATTTAGAAGCTTTATAACTATATAAGAAACAATATAAGAACTAAGAGGCCTCGAAGCTTCAGTACATGCGGAGGAAAATCAATTGCCATTAAGATGGACTCAATATATAACTTCAAATTCAAGACATCATCTCAAGTTTGCTTTTATGACTCACTTCAAAAAAGACACTGAGCCTAAAGACCAAGTTTTTTGGGAAATCTGCGAGGTTATGATTTCCTGCCCGTAATGTATTTTGGGGTTTACGTGACATCCTTCTGTAGATTTCTAAAAAAGTTGCAAAGCAATTCAGCTCAGGTCACTTAAATTGGCTTTGAAAAAAGCAAACATTTGAGTAAACTAAAGATTTTCGTCTGACACTCTTCAGAGTTTAAAACGTCAGATCATAGATCGAAAACTCCACGCTAGGAAAGATTGTTTGTTATTAATTTGTAAAAGCATTGAAAAGATTCCTCTCAAGGCTACAGCAGCTTAACGATTATATGCCTCTCGGTGGTAGCTGGGAGGAACATTTGATTGGAAATGTTACATACCAGGGACATAGCCCTCCCAATTTTTTGCAATAATGAGTCATTATGTTTATGAATAACGACAGAAAAAAGCAAACATTTTCTGAAAGGGGTGTTTTCTGATGCTTCAAAGGGACAACTCCCTAGCTCCGTTCCAGCCACTCCCTTTTGGACTGGTGCGTGGTGTCTGCGGTACAAACAAGATGGGGGTAAAGATCATGCTTTCAAACTACGCGGAAATTGAAGAAGAAGAGACAAACACAATTTGTACATCAGTGAGAGAAGATATTATTTGCCATCTGTAGAATTTGATGGGCTGAATGCAATTAAAAACCTTCCATAAGCAAAAAGAGACTTAAGACAGCTCCATCACGCTTTCTTCCCAGACAAAAAAATTAGCAAGATTTTATTCAATCATGCATTGAAGTTTGAGAGTTAATGATAGTTGACAATGTCATTTAACTAATGAGAATTAATAATGTCACAGAGGTCTGAGACTTGTTCTCAGAGGAATTCTAACAGACGAGACAATGGCTCGGATTCTCTGCTGATGTAGAGAGGCTGATACCCACCTACAACAAGATGGGAAAAGCAGCATGGCTTCAGAAACACTTAATAAATATATGAATATTACAATAAATTTGCTTGATCTCGTAAGTTTCGAGTCCCGTGACCAGCTGCAAAGCTATGCCTCCAAAAACCAAGAACACTTAAGTATGGGAAGCAAGGTGAAAAGAAAGAAAAAATATAACTTTGACGTAGATCCGAACAAACCATGTAAGATATGGCTCCAAAAAACCAAAAACACTAAAATCTGGGAATCAAGATTGATCTAAGGGGGTTTTCGAAGGTGAAAGGAAAGCAAAAATAACTTTGACGGAGATCCGAACAAAATACTATAAAAGGAGTTCCTTTCGATAACTTTTTGCTGACAAGTTAAGACATCACTATATGTAGCTAATTTTCCTTTTAACCCAATCCATATATAATGTAAAGAATCAGCTTTTGTTACTTATACTTCATTCATTTAGGATTTTGCCCAATTAGCACATGCTATTTGCACTCTGGTGGCAGTCTCTATAATTACCACGCCCTTTGGGCCAATCCCAGCAAAGTACCACGCCCAATTTTTATAAAAAATGTGGATCTGTAAAAATTTCTTTTTTTAGGCCCTGGCTGTAAAAGACCCCCACGCTCCGGTAACGGGTTTGATCCGTCACTGGAGTGAAGCGTAATTACATTATGACGAATCCAAAGTATTTCGTTACTGGAGAATAAAAAGATACATCCCTCATCTAATTAAGAAGGAGCATTTGAAAACAATAATTTATTAATTCCGTTAATTTATTAGCTAAGGGTTTGTTAGCTTTAAAAAGTTTTTTCTAGCTTTTTTGGCTTTATTAGCTTTAGAAGGGGAATGAGTAATATAGACAAGCGACATTGATTCAATAGGCAAACGGCGTTGATTAATTGGGCAACCTTAATATTCATGTGCTCGCGTTTTTAACCGGCCTATTTCGATCCACAACTGGGTACATATATTTCCTAGCGCAGGCACGGCGCCACTAAAGCCTTCCCCCCACTTTTTCTGAGATGAAAATTTTTTGACCGTCTTTTTTATTATTTTTGGAAACAGAGTATGAAATAAAAAGGGAACAAACTGTTTACATACAACTTGATTTTTTTCGATCTATTTACTAACTTACTTTTCTTACGGTATGGTTCTATCATTTATCTATTATTTGCAATAATTCAGTAGATAACATTCTATATCTTTGCAATGTCTGCACTTTGGATGTGTTAACATGGCCTACTGAAAATACTCGAGACAACGAAGATGCACATTTCTGATTAGGAAGTAAAATTCTCTCTATCAATCCATGGTGCATTTCATGTCAACATTACGCACCAATTTCCATTCAAAAATTTCCTTTCCCGTCGGACCCAACCATCGTGGGTCCTTCTATGCCACTAAACTATATTATTAGCCACCCCCCCCCCCCAGATTCAATTTCGTCGGACTATGTTCCGAGGTGCTATTTTCTGAGGAGTGTCAGACGAAAAGCTTCAGTATACTCTATTGTTTTCTACCTCCAATATTTTAAGTTTTCTACCACCAAAAGATTTTTTCTAAATGAATAAATTAATTAAGTACCAAAATGAAAAGACTTTTAGAAAACAAAATAAACAGTTTATTAAAAGTCTATTTCATTTCCATACTGAAATTATTGACTCATTATGTTGTCGATATTTGCAGAGGACCATGAGATTGTGAGACTATACAATTGGTCGATTTGGTTGGACCAAATTTATCACGAAATTTGACAAACGAGGTATATTTATCTAGACATTTCTGTTTTTGTACAGCAAAAAGGAGGGGCAACCCAAAGAGTTTTGTGTGGAAATCAGAAAGCTGCAGCCCAGGACAAGAAGAGGAAGCGACGGTTCATTACACGAGGGATAAGATGGGAAAAAAAGGTTTGTTGACGTTTTCACTAATATAAGATGACAAGCATAAACTATGTAACATCTATTGCTTATTGGGTATATATTATGATTTACTCACACGATATTCATAACTACATAGAGAATATACAGAACAGATGTATCAACGCAACTGCCAGCTGACGAAACTCTTTGAAATTAGATACTTTATAAGAAATAAGTAAAATTACACAGGCAACGGGCTACCTTGATTTGGATAGGTGTAAAGAATTAGATTGACGATCTCATAAAATTTTTCTTTTCAATTCTGATAGCCTTTCGGTGCTGTTTCCTTCGCTCAGTTCTACTTAGCATCCGAAGGTGTTTTTAGGACACTGAGAAGCTATTCTTATCGAACAGTGCCCTTATTCTTCCTCTCGATATCACCAGACCTAGTGATTTATGCGCCTAGAATTGTAGGGAGCTGTCAACTCCCATCACTGTGGGTGAGTGTTTGCCAAACATTGTTTGGTCATGTCAAGGACCCGAGCCCCAGACCCTTTGGCCTATAGTCCGCGACAAGAACCGTTAAGCCATCTTCATTCCTCGCACCTAAAAAACACCCATTATGACTGCTCCTTATATGATTTTTCGACCAGTTTTGTGACCAGAGAAGATTAGCCAGAATTTGACACTTGATGAAGAACATTTAGGCAGATCGGATACAAGCCTGAGATTTCTCAAGGAACATTCAGACAATAGTAAATGAAATGAGCTATAAAACATCCAGGACCTGTCGCTGTCTAACAGAATAATTCAGCGAGAATAACGGAAATAAGAATAGAGACTAGAATTCAAATTAGTCATTGACAGAAGTGGACATTGATGAGACAGATAAAAAACCTATAAGCAATCCGAGGAGCGATTTACTCTTGTAAAAAAGTACGAGATTTTCTCCAAAGCAGAAGAATTTCATCGAATCTTCATATAAAACAATAGGGTTTTTGTCAAAGTGTGCCATGTTTTCATTGAGTGAGCTGCCTCTAGAAGAAATCCGTCAGTGCGAGTTATATATTTTAGACATCGAGGCCCCTGTCTCAATGGAGCCGTCCATTTTTTCTTAAAACGACCGTGCAATTATCTTGAACCACAGAGAGGCCTTAGAATCATCTTAAGATTCTCAATCTCTATAATACTAGAGAAGCTTAAACTGTCAGAAGCTTACTTGGAAATCGCTTATTGGCTGGCCACTTTGTAGACATCTAGTTAAGATTAAAAGGCTAAGCATACTATTTGTCAGGCAAATCATTCAAAATTATCTTTTGGGTTTGTGTAAGAAAACGAATGCAAAGAAGCTTCACTTATCTTAGTGATTACATATCTGCTGAAAATCTCTAATTTAGGTAATATCTTTGTCAACACTAGATTAAACGCAAATGGCGTCCTGATCCGTCTTTTAACTGTCAAAATAGAATATCTGGAATGACAGGAAAATCTATCGTTGACAAATGTAGCGAAATTTCTGGGCAAAGCTTAGAGAAAAGTTGAGTAAGTAATTTGTGCCCTCCAGCCAGGCTACAGCACAATAAAACTATGGAGAAGCATATTAACTTTCAAATCTTCTTTACCTTTGACAGTGTGTTTAGATTTCAAACCACGCAAATTAGAATAATCGGACAAGATTGTTCTGCCAAATCCAAAAGCGTGTCTGGTCTTAACACTTCCTTTTCCGTCCTCCTTTTATAGTCAATTAATTCCGCTAGGTCCATCTAAAAAACCTGATGCTCAGCACACCTCTTATTCTACCTTTTCTAAAAATTTCCAACAGAATCTAGACGACAAAGCCAAAAAGCAAGTGTTATTTCCAAAGCACTTTCCCTTATCTTTATTAAAAAAGTAGCTTATAAACCAAATACATTTTTGGCTTTAGAAGATTAGCAAAAGCATTTCTGTAATGTTCATCTTCTAGCTTAACGTTTTTAAGCAAGATGAGGTTTTAAGCTTCTAACAAAATCCTGTCTGCTCAATTTTTACATGAAGGAAACAAGAAGCGTACCTAGATAGAACGAAATAAGGCGTTCTCAATAAGACAAAGACATACACAATATCTCACAGAATGTTAATGGTACATAAGACATCTCCATACAGTAGACACAAAATAGATTCATCTGAATTTGTTATAGAATATTTGTCAAATTAAGTTTTTCGACATGCCTTTGAAGAATGGAGAAGACAGAATACAGGAAGTGAAATGGACATAAAAAAATGGAAAATAAATGAAAACAAGTATAAATAAAAAATAGCAAGAACAAAAAGTGATTGCTTGAACTGAAAGGAGACAACAGATCTTTTGATGAGCTTGGGATACCGGAAATTAGCTAGATAACTGAAAATCATGTTATTCCCTCAAAGGAACTAAAAATTGTAATTCATGAAGCAATGTCTCTTGGTCTGAAATGTGCTTCTTTTTTGCAGACAATTACCTGGAGTTTAAAAAATTTCACGCCGCATCTGAATCCTTTAATAACATTGATATTGACACGAAGAGCTTTCAATGAATGGGAGAAATACTCTGCCTTGACTTTCAAAGAGGTCAGTACAGGAAACGCAGACATTGAGATTTCATTTGAGCCAAAAAAGCATTTTCTGTATGGCAGTCTCTACTGTGACATGGAGTTTGATGGTCCAGGAGGAACTGTTGGTCATGCATTCTACCCAATAAAACATGCAGGTGAGTTCAAATGTAAGAATTAAATCATTTCCTTAGCACAATTAAAAATAAATGCGTTTTTAATGCAGCGCCAGTGTCTTTGGAAGGGGATTTGCCTGTTCAACTCTGAGGGATGGTTGGGCCAGCCAGTTTAGACCTTATCAAAACTAGCTCTTTAACACAATACGAAACTTTAGCAACTTGTTAAGTGCTCAAATGATATAGAAAGTTTAAATAATTTTTATATGAGTCTTGATAAAGAAAAAGGCGAAAACAGATGAAAACGTTGTTATGAGTGAAACTGTTGTATGCCTTGAGTCACCTAGACTAACTATTCTATCATTTAGTTAGTTTAGCAACAAGGTCAACATAGTGTATTAATAGGCCATTTTGACTAATTCTGAAGCTTCTCCCTGCTATAGAATTTTACTCCTACCGTTTTGGGTTTCTAATGGTGATGATAAGCTTCATAGTATAACATATTTAATTAAAATTTGCTTTTCAGTTTACGGAGGTAACATTCATCTTGATGTCGACGAGAAATTTTCTGCTGATGGCCGATCAGGTTTCAACTTCGGATCTACGATTATGCATGAAATTGGCCACAGTCTAGGGCTTTTGCATTCAAACCACTATTATTCCATAATGCATCCTGAATATGCAATGAAAGCAGAAGGCGACTATATACCATTGACGGTAGATGACATCGAAGGAATTCAGAGTATTTATGGTAAGTAGTTAGATATGATTTCATATAGACGATTTCAGTCGCAATTAACCATTAAGAGAGCTGTTTGATGTTGGACCCAGGAAGATGCAGCATTTTATATTTTGTGTTTGCATTGCATGCAATATATTTTTTATGTTGTTCAGCATAATAAGAGTACCGTCCTAAAAAGTAATGGAAGGAAGGGATATGCTGTAGGCAACATCTATAGGCGAAGACCACGACCACACCCATGACTACACCTAATATATTTGCATGTTTAATAGAAATTCTTTGTTATATACATACAGTCATTCAACCTATTCTCCAACTCAAAACGACTAATAGGAAATAGCTCCATCGCGGAAAATCTACAGTAAAATAAAATTTTGCCAACACAAGATTCGCCTAAGCAAACATGAGCCCTCTTTCTGAAAGGGGCTGAGCCACTTCGAAGTCTCTCTGGATTTTACCAAGAAAGCTGATTCCCTTTTACCAAGAAAGCTGATTCCCTTTTACCAAGAAAGCTGATTCCCTTTTACCAAGAAAGCTGATTCCCTTTTACCAAGAAAGCTGAATCCCTTTACCAAGAAAGCTGATTCCCTTTTACCAAGAAAGCTGATTCCCTTTTACCAAGAAAGCTGATTCCCTTTTACCATAGAGGCCAACCCCTCCCATCCACGGCACCTCTTTTGCTTCGTGTATGGTTTTCAGTTGCGATTACAAGACTAAAGAAAATTAGTATGAATATGCTAACTTCAACAAAATGTCATCTTTAGAAACGTCTTTCCTAAAACTCAACCTCTAATGCTTCCCTAACGTGCATATTGTCTCGAAGGCCCACCTGATTTGAAAGAAAAAAGCAAACAGGAAGATGAAATCATGAATACGGTTGAAGAGGAGTCACAGCCAAGCCAAGAGAAGACACAAAGTAAGCATCGTCTCATTTTTAGCATAAAGCAGACAGTAGCACCCTCAAACAGTGGAGCGTGTAGCACTAATAAACAAGGCGATGTTTCTAGACCCTAGCCTGCTCTCCATCCTCCAAGTTAAGAACTGGAAATGAATTATCAGAAGCAAAGGAGCCACTCCAGACACTTGCAGTACAACTCATAGACTATTGTAGCGAATTAAAAATCACTGGTTTACCAGTTATCAATTGCTTTTTCTACAGGTATGTCAAAATCAGTCGCACAAACTACCTCTACAACCGTCCCGTCACAGGATAAACCGAATAATGCCGTTACCGAAAATGAAAGTAAAAGTTCAACAGATCCCATCAGCAGAAAGCCGGTTGAATTTAAAAAGATAATTGACGGAAAGAAAAACAAAGAGAAGACTGTGACAAACACTGGAATCTCAGTGGTTGATAGCCGGCCTGCGAAAGCACAGAAACATGAAGCCTGGCAAAGTCATTCCCATAACGACAGTGAACATACCGATTTGGAGTCTTCTAGTTTAGATAGAAGTGCAAAATGCCCACGCACCGTTGATGCCATGTTTGTTTCAAAATTCGACAAACAAACATACATATTCAGTGGAAAATACATGTACTCCATTGGAAACTGGCTTGGGTATGAAGGAAAAAATGTCTACACAAGGAACAGATTCATCTTCGAAACCATTGATGCTGTGTATAGAACCATCAAAGAAGGAAAACTCATTTTATTCTCTAACAGATTGTAAGTCTTGCTGTAATTATAGACCCTATATACGGATGCAGAGCTAAGGAGGGGTGGGAGGGGGTTGTTACTGCTAGTGGTGGATGGTAGAGCCCTCTTTTCAATGCCAAAAAGTAACCCTGACATTTTCTTGCTATTATTTGAAAATCTGTGGGCCACCTGTCTTTTTAGAGCAGTATATCCCTGACAATGAAGATTTTTTCAATGCTTCTTTTTTCTCTTCCAATTAGTTTTCAAACAATATTTGGCTGTTTCTTTGTATCATAAATATAGCTGTTTATGTGTACGAAGTATCCTTTCTTGCTATGTAATATAATGTGAGTCGTATAGAGAGATAAGGGTAAATCCCGGCATCCTGTGCACCATTAATCAGAAAAAATAGCATCACTGGGAGGTAAGACTAGAGTTTCAACAAGCATTCTTGCAAGAATTAGACCAACAAAATATATTTATATGATAGAAGGTAATCCCAAAATACAATGAAACAGTTATTCAGCCAAAACTGAAGATCGTCTTATCTCTGAGAGAAGTTATTGTTCCCGTTATTTCACAAATGACACCCCAACCCTACATCAACTCTGTAATTTTTTACTCATAGCGTAATATCTTCATTTGACTGCTTTTAGTTATTGACACTGATAAACTGACTCTTTTCCCCGCTAAGTCCATCCTTACTTATTTTATTTAGGAAACTGCTACTGACAAAAACCTGAAGGACAATAAACAGTCATTTTAAATGTGTTGAAAGCATTTTTTGCATTCAAATCATTCTAGCCTCATATAAAAAATGACAACACATATACCTTGCTTTTCTATTTTTCTAAGAATCGTACTCAGTTCCAAGAACTAAAGAAATCTGATTCTATAGAAAAGCAAAGCAATGTAGTCAGACCTACATATCACTGCTTATGATCTCTCAACGTAAATCATTGATTGCTGCTGCAAAAAAGACAGAAGCCTCAGCCTTCAATAAATTTTCATAAATTGCATTGATTAATCACAAAATTTCATATGGCAAACATCCTTGACTTGTAAGTGACAATATGTAGCTCAAACACGCCCCTTACATCCCTCACACCCCTCATCACCACGGTCCTGTGTATGGGCAGCTTAACGCATCTGTTTTAATGTCCTTATGGGTAAGCTGTGTAAGATTAAATCTTTTTTTCCAAATAGATATGCTGTATACAAAGATGATCTAGTTCTTGAGCGATATGGCGCCATTTACGAACTTGGATTTCCATACTCGATAAATAAAGTTGATGCAGCCCTCACATTCGGTTATTACAGAAACACGTACTTTTTTACTGGAGATACCTATTGGAGATACAACGAGGGCACCAAGAAGATGGATCCTGGTTACCCCAAGAAGATCAGATCCGCATGGAAAGGCGTTCCATCTTATGTTGATGCTGCCATCACGTGGAAGAATGGAATGACGTATTTTTTCAAAGGTAGGAATTATGGTGTTCAAATTAAGTAGGCTCTGTATTTTTGTAAATTTACATACAACTGAAGAGCCTTATCGCGAGTTAAGTCATATTTTAAAAGCACCATAGCCATTGAAATGTAAAATCATCGTCTCCACAAGGATCACATAACAACAGCTTGCACGTGACCCAGGCTCTTCAATTTGTACTTAGAAGATTTCACTTAGAATATGTTCGCGTACTATCTTTCAAAATCACTTCGGGTCAAAATTCTAGTATTTGCCTGATGCTTGGGAGGGGAAGCTGCTGACATCTCTTTGGAAAGGTTGGTTGTCACTAAAATAAGCATTTGAAAAGCAAAGCAAGAATATAAATTAGTCCACAAAGAAGATGGGGTGAAGAAAGGGAAAAGCATGCAGCACGGAAAAAGTCATTGGATGAAATCATCAGGAAAGGAATTCCAAGGGTTTTAAAAAAGTTGAATTAGAGACAGACGCGGAGAAAAGACGAATGATGGGATTTAGAGAAAAGACTTTGAAAAAAAGAATGCATTCTCTTTTTCAACATCTTTCATCATCTTTGTATATTTTTATATTATTTTCACCACTTCTCCTAAAACTAAGCATTCTCCTCTTCCCGATCTGTCTAGTTGATTCTTAATTAACTCAATCAATTGTCTGCCAGCCTTTGGTCCAATTCTTGTTATTTGTTTTCTAGACAAGCAATATTATCGCGTCGACTATTATTCAGTGGCTGTCGAGCCTGGTTACCCAAAATCGATAGAAAAGATTTGGACAGAATGCCCATCATTTGAACGAAAAAGACTCTTGAGAGCTGGCCCTGGGCACTGACAGGCACATGAGGAAAATCCATGATTTTCACTAAACACCCTGTACTACGACACAAAATGAAATGTACCTTGTATGCAAATTATATAGTTAGATTGCAAACTATAGTCGCTAGGAAATCTGTAAGAATATTTTACAATTTCATTTTTTTACGTTTCTATATTACAGCTAATTGAAACAATCAATCTTGATCAAGACGAATCATTTTAGATGAGAAAATAGAGCGATCGTATCTCTTCATTATTGACATCTTTGTATACAGGGGGTGTATTGCCAGTACAAATGCTAGGGAATAACAAATTGACAGGTCGTGGCTGACATCTAAACGTTTTGGAATAAAGGGACAGCAACGACCGAAAGGGTCAAAACAATCATTACGTGGTCTTGTTGCATGACTGTAAGGTTGCGCAATCTTTACGTTGGGTGGCGAAAAGGTTGAGTGGCCAATCAATGGTGTGGTCTTTAGATTGCTTGGTCTTACTTAGAGTTGCGTGGCATTAGCCTCGGCTTGTTCTGAATCCATTCTTAATTTTGCATAAATTATGGGCTTGTGTCTTTATAAGATTTTATGTGTGGGGGGCATGAATCATATTCACTAATGTAAGTAACTGGTATCTTTGGCAGCGCCAGATGCTGTATATGTGGGCGTAACTCCACTCAAAAAATTTAAGACGAAGTACTTTCTGTTACAAAAGCGTCGCCCTTTTGCAGCATAACTGTGCTTCATCCGACTATTTGCCACAGGTGGATATCAAGAGCAGTTTAATAGCTTTAATTTAACAATTGGTTAAATTGCTATACATGCAATTATGAGCCACAGATACTCGATTACTGTATGATTCTAATGGTTGTTTTCGGTTTACCAAGCTCAAGTAGATACACATTGGCAGAACTAGGATGGTGAGGGCAGAGAGGACATGAACTGGCTACCGTGGGCGTAGCAGATCCTTAATGTTTAGGAGCCTTAGTACCGAACTTGTTCGAATATTATTTCTTCATTAAGATATAACCACCCGAAACCTGAAATGCAGGGCCTGAAATGCGGGGCCTGAAATGCAGGGCCTGAAATGCAGGGCCTGAAATGCAGGGCCTGAAATGCGACAAATTTTCTAAATAAAAGGCTGCAGCCCCTTCCAGTTCTTGTGTCTTTTACGCAGTGGCGGACACCAGGGGGTGAGAGGGGGCAAGAAGGACTGTCATCCCAAATACTTCTGAGGACAATGGTCTTCTGTTCTAAAACAATGGGAAGATGTGACGTCATCTTATAAAAACAACAGGATTGCCTCCAATATTTGAAAAGTGTCCGCCCCTGCTTTTACGCCTACACTGGCCATCGCTTTAGTTAGGGCTCTTAAGGCAGATTTCCACTAGGCGAATTCCTTAACGCGAATCGAATTTTTTCCAATGTGAGCATGCGTGGTGTAATGTTCTCAGATTTTGCAGTAAAAAAATTCGATTCGCAGAAAGTAGATCACGGTCCTACTCTATCGCTTCGAATATTTATTCGATTCGAGCGAAATAATTCGCCTGGTGGAAATCGGCCGTTAGTACACAAAAATAGCCAAATTGTGCAATGATGGAGATAGACAGTTTTTATACGCTGTCGGAAAGTTTGTGTATACATACCGCTGCGAACGTAGCTATTATACGGAGGAGGACTAATTTTAGATCGGCAAACGTGTGGAAAGTGATTGAATTGAGAGCCAAACGTGATAAAAACAACTTCCAAAAAAAAGAGACTGATTTTAGCTGAATTCAGAGAACGTAAAGCGAAAAAAACTTAAACAAACCTTCGAAAAACACGTGAGATCGTTGCTATTTTATTAACACATTTTATTTACGTTGCTCTTTTAATTTCATTTCTGCTCAGGGCGGATCCAGAGCAAATTCAAAAGAGGGGCAGTTGATAGTAGGGGCGCTGGAAATTTTCAAAAATTGGTGACGAGTGTACGCTGTATGCCACAATTTCAGACCCTAACTACTGACAGAAGGCTCTGTATCCACTTTGTAAGGGAATTTTTACAATAATTGTTGTATACTTCGAGGTAATCCTTGAAGTAAATTAACCTATGAGTCTCAGAAACTTTCTTGAAAAAGGGCGCAAAATTTCCAAAAAGGGGCGCCAGACTTGCTTCAACTCGGCGACGGAGGGGCAACTTGCCCTAGTTGCCCCCCCCCCCCTGAATCCGATACTGTTTCTGCTTGCTGACATGCTGTTAAGAACATCGTTTTGTTAAGGATAGGCCTGCGTTATTTTTTGTTTACAATTCTCGTCTGCCTTGTGTTTAAAATTTGTTCAATTTATCGATTTATTCCACAAATTGTTGTAGGATTCTAGCTTAATGCGCTGAGAAAGATAGGATGTGGACCCAACCTGAAAACTGCCCCTTTGTGTGTTTCTTAGACTAGGTTAATGGCTCCAGGCCCTTAGACAAGCTTTTCTCATACTTTCTTCTTAAACATCAATTTTTACATAAACTTGGTAGATAAGGGCAGTTTGATACGCTGAGAACGATGAAATGTAGTCCCAACCTGACAAATCCCCTCTTGTCCTATTTTTGGATTGGGTATTAGGTTCTAGGCCTCAAAGCAAGTTATTCTCACACTTTCTCTTAAATAGTAATGCTAACAAAAAATTTGGTAGATAAGGGCAGTTCAATGCGCTGAAAGAAACAGGATGTGGTCCCAACCTGACAAATGCCCCCTTTTGCTATTTTTAGAACAGGGTATCAGGTTCTAAGCTCCCAATCAATGCATCATCAACTTCTAAAAAGAAGCTAAAGGTTGTATCATTGAAGCAAGATTGCAAGCTGTTTGCATCTCTGTATGTAGCCTGCCAAGCGCGGGATGGAGATCTGAAGGATTTTTTCCGACATGAAAATCATGCAAACCCTCCTTCAATATCAGAATATGGAAAGCTGAGAAAGGGAAGCAAAGCAGACTTTCTGAAATGTATAGAACACTATGGCGAAACGAGGTTAGAGATTCCTTAATTGACAACCAAAAAATGGCACCTCCCGGATCCGCAAAAACATTTGGCCAGTATGCACAGATCTTTACAGAAATTTTAAAGGAATTAAGAAGTGACAGGTCGCGGCGCATCGATGTTGATCGGTGTCGATGATACTTCCAATAAAGTCTAAAGTCCGACACCGGCGAGAGAAGAGGAAGTGGAACACATATCTCCGTTAAACGAACCACTCCAATCTGTAACAACTGGCAGCGATTTGTAATGAGAACAAAGAAGAACCCTTTTTACTTCTTTCGCAAAATTGAAGACAGCAGCATTGCAGAGAGGGTCATTGCCGTTTGAGATATACCAATCAAAATTTATTCTAGATTGATAAAAAAATTCAGCTGTCAAAATGTGCAAGGGCACATACTCAGGTTGCCCTGCGTGACATTTGCACAGTTCAGCCGCATACTGGAAAATTCTCAGCTGTACGGAGAAGCTATAGAAACCTTTGAAGACCTGCACCCTAATGAATGCAAGTATAATTGTATCCACAATCCATCATGTCGGTCCCTAAGCACGACGACTTCATCCGGTGTCAATTGCAAGATTCACAACAAATCGGCAGAAGATCCGTACGATTTCAGCATGACGTCACCGTCAACTGGATGGACATACTGGAGTACCAATTACAGAGAAAACAACGTAAGATCGTACTTACAATCTGGATTTTCTTTTTGCGGAGGTTGCAGGTTTTGGCGATACAATTTTCTGATTCTCTTTTGTAACTAAAAATAATAGTGATTTTATATAAGCAGTAGCCAAGAAGGGTTAACAATGGATGTTTTATTCATAGAAATACAGCAAAAATAAAAGTAATTCAGAACTAACTGAAAAAAATAGATTTCAAATTGTTCAAAAAACCATTTCATAACTTGACGGGAAAAGATGTCTGGTTTACAGCTTCCCTATTAGGAAATAACATTGTTTTACTATACTGTAGGTTGGCCAACTGTGTCAAAGCATCAAGCCATGTGATGGAACCATGACATGTAAAGACAGTTGCATGTGTCCTGGATTCCAATGCTATCCGGGACTTGAAGGTAATGGCTATAAATAAGATATGTACATTTCGCGAAAAGGCTTAATCCAGGAAATTTCTCAACCAGCGGCATTAATTGAGCGCTAAAAATTCATTGACTCGGAAAATAAAACTGGGCGCCTTAAATCTGGAGAATTATGGATATTTATAGAGAAACACCTTATAAGCATCGCTATACAAATCTAGCCATTTAAATAGCAATTCCTTACAAACATGTCAGTTGTGAACTTTTCTTAAAAACAGAACATAAAAATTTATTTTGCAATCATATTGAAAAAAACGAGCCATAAGTTGTATATAACGTGGGATACTGACTCCAACCTTCAACAATTGACTTAGATCAAAGTATTGAAAAATTCATGCAAGGCAACTGAATTCTTGCGTACTGGATAATTTGAAAATCATAATCATCATGATTGTAACGGGTACAACCAAAGCGAAAACTCTTCATTATGTAACACATGCACAGTCTAAACCCATAGGATACTAGAAAATCAAAATGATTTTTCCTATCAGAGATCTACTCAAGCTGCCAGGATGCATACAACAAAGGCAAAAGAGACAACAGGGCGTATCCATTGTACCTACATGGCTTAGGGGCATATAGGGCAAGATGTGATATGGCAACCCAAAGTCGTGGTTGGATCGTATTTCAACGTAGAGCTAACAACAGTGTTGATTTCTACCGTGGTTGGGAAGAATACAAGAAAGGATTTGGTGATCCACAAGGGAATTACTGGCTGGGACTGGAAAGACTGCACCACTTGGCACAGCCAGGTAAAGGTGCAGTCCTTTGAGTTGAACTTCAGCATCAGGATTATCCGGGAGTGACGTACTACGCCAGCTATAGCACGTTTGAAATCGAAAATGAAGAGAACCAATACAGGATAAGTGTGTCAGGGTACTCAGGTAACGCGGGAGATTCGCTTGTTCATCACAATGGAAAGAAATTTTCAACGAAAGATAGAGATAATGACTTGAATTCCATGAACTGTGCCCAGAGTTATCATGGTGCATGGTGGTATCACACTTGCCATCAATCTAACTTGAATGGGGCGTATCAATCCAATGGGATTAGTCCAGTTGACATGAGCTGGCTCTCACTAAAAAACCATTTTGGCAAAATCACGTTTTCAGAAATGAAAATAGGTTATCAATAGGTGTCTAACTTACGAAAACTGGAAGTGATGTAGTATCGAAAAGGTTCGATTCTTTAGGGAAATATCGGAATCTTGGAATTTGATTTGTTATCATTTAACGTGTAACAGCCTCTTAATTCTGAAAAAGAGTTAACAAATAGAACGGAACCTTTTTTCGAAAACTTTGTTTAAAAAAGTTGGAAAAAAGAAAGCAAATTCAACTTCTGCATGGATTCAAAGAATTGGACAATGTATCAAAAGCCTTTTTAAACGGTGGTTTACACAATTAAATATAAACACCCTGCTTTTTAGAATTATGGCTTATTTCTGTGTATAGACTCAAAACAACTACGGTAAGCCGTATCCAAACACCCTGAATGTGCCATTGATAATAATGGTTTTAAAAATTTTTCGATGTAAAATTCATTAAACTGCAATTTAAAACCTTATGATTACATCTGATTACATTATGGGCACATGTGTGTCTTAGCACTTTTCAATAATGCACTGCATTTATCAATTTTTCTTGGCAATAGCAATGACATTGTTACACTGAAGATCACAAAAATCAAGCGAATTTAAGATGGCTTTACAAGCTACAAGTTGATTCTATCAGCAGTTCTGCAGTAACATTTTACGATCTTGAATAAGGTATAGCAAGGCAACAAGGAAGTTAGCTTAAGAGTAGGCGAAAACACATTTTTCAAAGCTAAAACTTACTGCTGCAAAAACTTATTGTGCTATTAAAAACCAAGTCTTCAGTGACTCTATTCTTTTAACTTATGCACTTTAAAACATGGCACCCAACGTTGGGAATGGATAGTTTCCTAACTTGTATGTGCACAGAGACATGCAAATTTTAGTTAAACTTTTAACCACAAATTTTTCACAGTTATCTTGAAATCATCAAACGTAAGGCACTTGTGCTTCTAAAGATGGCACAGAATTATGGGCCTGACTTTGTTCATCTACGATCGTAGTAAGACATACGGCACCACGTGTAGAACTTGTTGCGGTAAACCAGATTATTATTATGAAATAAAAGAGAAAACAGTTGTAGTTCCCTTCTAGAAATCATGCACTACCAAGAATGGTGCCCAATTTAGAGTAGTAACTTTAATATTCAATGCCTGTAAAGGCCGGTTTTCACTTGAACCACGCCTGTCGCCGACTTGGCAAAAGCGAATCAACAAATCAGCGAATCAACAAATCAGCGAATCAGCGAACAAAAACAGTCACTCGGTGGCTCAACTCGGTTGAACTACCCAGCCAATTCCCAGCGAATGTGGAAGTTCAATTTGCTCAGTCGCGTGACCGGAGAAAATCACGTGCCCTCAAGACATCTGCCAGCACGTGTTAAACTTTCTAGCGGTAAATGCCCAATCATTCTCAAAAAAAGAAAAAGCAAGCCAATTGTTGTTCTCTGCTTTACGAAGCACGCGTAACCATAGAAACTCCAATGATATTAACGGAGTTATGAGAACAATACTCTTTTGACAGCGATATCTGCTTACTCAAGACGAGAAGCCAAACAGGAAATTGCAAGTGAAAGCAACGGTAAATACCGCTGTATACCGTTGTATACCGCTGTTTATCGTTGTATACCGTTTTACACCGTTTTATGTTGTTGTACACCGTTTTCAAGGCTGAAGATTACAATTTTTCGGCTATATCTGCAACATCGTATAAACTTGCAAATAGTATTTAGTTTTAGAATTCTTGATACAAAAAATACGATAATGTCCTTGTTGGCTGGTGCCTTTCGCAAGGACACAAACTGCATTTGGTGACATTAAAAATTATTGTATCGTTGTTCACTGGAAACACTGTCATGAAAAGCAGGAAATTTATGTCTACGATTTTGATATTTGGGCTAACTATCGTCATAAAATTAGTTTGTTCTGTGTTTAATTCTTTTTGTTTTTTCCTTTGATCATGACGGACAATAAAGCTATCATGTTCACTGGTAACGTTCGCTTCCTCCTGTTCCTTATCTAAATATAACTTCTTTCGAAAGCCGCTCATCTTCTTCAGCTATAATTATTTTCAGCTGTGCTCCGGCCATCTAACATTGAAAAGTGGAAAAATTCGTCGGGTACAGCGTCTACCATTCTATAGATGAATCAAATGGTAACGAATCTTCACAGGTTCAAAGTCGTTGAATAATTTCGACTACACGCTTTTCAAAATTTAATGCGATATTTACCTGGGAATAACTTAAAACAAACTTTCAATGTCATATATTTATATTTAAAGATGATTCCAATAAGATATATATGCCGACTACATTTTCAAGTCGTTGGTCTTGGAAAGAGGTACTACTCTTTGGATACAACACTGACATCCTACCATCTTCAATCAACAGTGGCGTAGCGTGAGCGCAAAACTTAGGCATGCGGTAACATAAAATATACGGCTATATTGAATAAATGTAATGGTAATTTCAGTTTCTAAAAAATACAAGCGGTAATTAATGATAATCGTGATAGCAAATTTTGATTTTCAAAGTAACAAATCTTTAGTACTCTAATTCTAATCAATCAAGGTGTCTATTCTTTTCATTAGAGGCTCCGACAGAGGTTGGAAAGTGAAGAGGGGCCAAGGGAAAAATTATCACCCATGCGAAAGTTTTTGAAAAAAGCTCAATTGTTTAGCAAGACTTTTCAGAATAACTCCTAGTGCTAAAACTGCTTTGCAAAAGATTTTATTCTTATTCATATACCTCAAGAAAAGGCATCACCTAATGCCCACCTAATGTAAGAATTTTTTATGCTATAATGAAGCTGGGGATTCCCGCAAGAAGGAGCTCTCCACATTGCGAAATTGTTAACACACTGCAGAGCCTAAGCGAACAGGAGCAACAGTTTCTGCTCATTTTTTACTCTCATAGTTAACTAAGATGAAAATAGTGAGCTGTGAGAGTTGTTAGAATTGAAGATGCTTCCATGTGTGAAGTTTCAGAAAGTTAGTCCCGGCAAATCATCATGTATTTAGCAAGGCTTGCGCTCAGGTCTACCGCATGCCCTGGTCCGTAAATTCTGACTATACTGGCAAGCCTTTTGACTTGAATTACGGAATGCGGATCATGACAAATAGACTCTGACCCCACTTTGACGAAACTTTTTCCCTTTTCAACAGTCACAAAGTAAAGAAAGGAAAATAATTGGATTTGAAATGATGTATCACGCAAAGAGTATTCGCAAAAAGCAGCTTATAGGTAGAAAAATGTTGTGGATTATCAAATATTCGGGAAGGCTTGCGCTCAGGCCGACCGCAAGCTCCAGTCCGGAAAATTCTCACTTCTCTCAGAAGCTTCTCTCGAGTTGCACTGAAGCTGCACTGGAGCATCACATGTTTCTCTTATTTTGGACAGGCAAAAAGAGAGATGTGGAGGGGCTTCAGTTTTTCAGATTTTTCGAATTTCATAATTTTTAGCGATCAGTTTACTTGGAAAAATAGCCAATTTGGGGCCAATTGGCCTGTTGGCGCTAGAGTTCACTGCATGCTGCTCATGACAAGAAAGAGAAGCCGTTTATTGCGGAAATTGTTATGCATTGAAAGTGTTGCAAGAATTTTAGAATTTGTCTATAAATTTCTACGCTTGCGCCGCAAGCGTAGCATACATAGACGCTACGCCACTGTCAATCAACTAAACTTGATGAGTCCTAATTCATTTCGATTTTTACACCATTCTTTCAAGGACTGTTAAGTATCACAAACGAAATAATTGGGTCTGTCACAATTTAGCAAACGACTTTGGAAAAGACTAGGCTCTTAATCCAGTCATGTTTTCTCTTCCCCTTTCATATCTTAGGTATCTAAGGTAGGATTGTGCATCGGCTTTCTGGTGGGGAAAGTGAACTTTTCTTGTCCAATCCCTGCTTTAAGCTGAACTTTAAGCTGCTTTTACTTGAGTCTATTAAGCTATATCAAAGGTTAGGATTTTGTATGGGTTAGATGAAGCAACTTGTGCCTATGCATCAACGGCTCAACGTTGCTTCCTGTGATGAGGAAATGTAGCCTTAAGATCTGATTTGATGAGGGATATCTGATTTGATGAGGGATGTGGAAACATCTTCTGAGGAAGCTTTTATATTTTAATTAATAGAATGCATTTGTTTATGTTTTTTCTCCGAGTAAGAAATTAAAAACTTTATGCATAATAAGTATGCTTTAAATAAGCAGTCTGCCTGTAAGCTTGGAGCGCTTGGGTAATTGTAGTTTATTGAGAATAGAACTGATGGAATAAAGAAATGAAATAAAAATTGAATTGAACGACGGAAATAAAACAATGTACTTGCGTATTGATTCATTTGATGACCTTGGAAAGTTAGGGTAGGAAAAAAGGGTTTTTCGATGTTTTTCATTGGATATTTGATTTTACAGGACAATGAACAGACACACAAGAACTTTTTCATTGCTTAACTTCTGTTTTAAATGTTCCACCCAGTAAAACCATGCTCTTTTTAACGTTTAACCTGCAAAACAGCATTTAATCAGGAAATGGATGCTGGGTGAACCAAATAATGAAAGGATCCTCCACAAATTTCACTTCTACCCAAGAATGAACTTAGAGGGAGGTGTAGGGGGTGAGACACCACCTCATTCCTTCGGTAAAATGTGCTTCCATTCGTTAAAAATCATATTTTGGCAGTTAGTAGTAACAAACTAATACTATGATTTTATATTATTCATCTTCTTTTCTTCTTTACTGTAAGGTTAAGAACCAGATTTTTTAAATGGACGTGTCAATCTTTTTCCAGTGACTGGAAGAGTGTGACACCGAAATCCAATTAGTTTCTAACACTGTTGCTTCAAGAGTGTTATCCCCATCCCTGCTTCTACTAGCAAGTTTATCTCACTGTCTCCATGTTGTTTATTACACACTCCGCAGATATTCATGTCTAAAGTGTGTACCTGTCTTTTGACTGATTTTGTTACATCCACCCACCAGCAAAATATCAGAAACGAAATGGCATGCCTAAACACCCTCGGCGTCTATCACTTATGCAAAAGGGTTAAGATAAAATTACTAATTAAATACGTGCAGGTTGAGTCTTCTGTCAGAGCACAGGAGAGATACAGAGAAGAAACAGCAGAGTTTAATCAATTGAGGCAATTGAAGCAGAAACCTAACAGAAAAAACAAAATGTTCTTTCTCGTGGTGATAAAGATGTAAGTATACTTGCGACTGACGACTGCTTCCATTTTTTTTTCGTTTAAGCTTGATGAATTTGTTCAATCTTTTTCAAATTTAAGAAATTCTCATTTGAGATAAGGACTTTTTCCTTCCAAGCATTTAGAAGCACAATCCTGACATCGATGAACAATATTTCAAACACTGAAAACCATAAAGGCAAATGTCCCATTTTGATAAATGGAAAATTCACCTTGGTATAAGTAAACTCATTCTACAGGAGCAATTAAATCATCTTGAAGAAGCTTTTACATTAACAAGCAGTGCGAGTTTTGTGTTTCACTGCCCAATTGCAGGAATTCAGCATTGACGTAAATATAAAGAAGGAAAGAAATAGCGAAAATATAGCATCCTGAAGAACTTTCCGTTCAATAATCTTCTCGGCGTAGAAACATCGGATAATGACCAAGAGTAGACAGAAGATATATCAATGTGTGGATCGTACGAGAAAAATCGAATAATTTCTTTCTACACAAGTCGGGATCCTTTGTTTTGATATAAGCAGATTGAACATTTCAGCTTTTTCGCACCAACTTTTAAACTGTTCAATGCGCAATGAATCTTAGAAATACTTTTTCTAGCATTAGAGTCACATGATTGTGCTTTCCTTTCTAACCATTAAAGAGTGATGACTATCGCCATTTTCTGTATATCTAATTCAATAAACGTGATCCTATTAGAAAATTTAGGGAGAACACTTTCAATAACAATTTTTTTGAGAGCTCTGTACCATATCCAGCTTTTAAAACCCAAGTATGATATGATTAAAGTCTTATATAGCAAAAAGCTGAGTATTTTTCAAAAATTTTCTACGATATCAGTCAGAAAACTTTTAACCGGAACGTCTTGTGTCGTTTAAGGTATGCTAATCGAAATTTTTTCTAGATTGATCATAAAATTCAGCTGTCAAAATGTGCAAGGGCACATACTCAGGTTGCCCTGCGTGACATTTGCACAGTTCAGCCGTATAATGGAAAATTTTCAGCTGTACGGAGAAGTGATAGAAACCTTTGAAGACCTGCACCCTAATGAATGCAAGTATAAATGTATCCACAATCTATCATGTCGCTCCCTAAGCACGACGACTTCATCCGGTGTCAATTGCAAGATTCACAACAAATCGGCAGAAGATCCGTACGATTTCAGCATGATGTCACCGTCAACTGGATGGACATACTGGAGTACCAATTACAGAGAGAACAACGTAAGATCGTACTTACAATCTGGATTTTCTTTATGCGGAGGTTGCAGGTTTCAGCGATACAATTTTTTGATTCTCTTTTGTAACTAAAAATAATAGTGATTTAATATAAGCAGTAGCTAAGAAGAGTTAACAATGGATGTTTTATTTATAGAAATACAGCAAAAATAAGAGTAATTCAGAACTAATTGAAAAAAATAGATATCAAATTGTTCAGAAAAACCATTTCATTACTTGACGGGAAAAAATTTCTGGTTTAAAGCTGCCCTTTTAGGAAATAACACTGTTTTACTATACTGTAGGTTGGCCAACTGTGTCAAAGCATCAAGCCATGTGATGGAATCATGACATGCAAAGACAGTTGCATGTGTCCTGGATTCCAATGCTATCCGGGACTTGAAGGTAATGGCTATGAATAAGATATGTACATTTCGTGAAAAGGCTTAATCCAGGAAATTTCTCAACCAGCGGCATTAATTGAGCGCTAAAAATTCATTGACTCAGAAGAAAAAACTGGCTGCCTTAAATCTGAAGAATTATAGTTATTTATAGAGAAACACCTTATAAGCATCGCTATACAAATCTAGCTATCTATATAGCAATTCCTTACAAACATGTCAGTTGTAAACTTTTCTTAAAAACAGAACATAACAATTTATTCAGCAATTATATTCAAACATTTAGTAAACTAAAGCTTCTCGTCTGACACTCTTCAGAGTTTAAAACGTCAGAACATAGACCGAAAACTCTACGCTAGGAATTCTATATACCCAGTTGTGGATCGAAATAGGCCAATCAGAAACAGGAGTACATGACTGTTGAGGTTGCCCAAAGTGCCTAGTCTACCTAAAACTACCCTGGATCGGTGACAGTTCCCTACGTTTTCAAACTCAAATGAAACAGGCCACTACAAATTGTTTCTTTGCAGTCAACCAACATGTCGTTTATAGTACGAAAAGGGCCCTTCAGTCCATTCAAAAAAAATGCGTTCCTGCCACACAAAAAGTTCCGTTGTAGATGACTTTACGTGCCAGTGTGATTCTGGCTACGTAGGACGCACTACCCAAAGATTGGAGGATAGAATACAACAACATGTTCCGCCTAGCATTAGAAACAAAACTCGTCCCAAAGAGAACAGCCACCTCGGTCTTGCAGATCTAAAAGTACAACTAAAACCTGCGATTCTTCTATCGGGCAGCATTTACTGGAAAACCCAGATTGTGCAAAAAGCTATAATGGCGACATGTTTCGGAATATTGGTAAAGCCCGATCGTCGTTCCACCTAGCAGTTTTGGAATCTATCTACATAAGCACGAAAAAACCGCTACTGTGTAGACGAAAAGAGTTCGTATCACCTTAGGACTCCATTGGTAACTTTCTCAATAGGTAAGCGGCACTGATTGGTCAACCTCAACAGTCATGTGCTCATGTTTCTGATTGGCCTATTTCGATCCACAACTGGGTTAATATATTTCCTAGCGTAGAGTTTTCGGTCTATGTTCTGACGTTTTAAACTCTGAAGAGTGTCAGACGAAAAGCTTTAGTTTACTAAATGTTGGCTTTTTTCAAAGCCATTTTCAATTTTTGTACCACCAAAAGATTGTTTATTGAAAAATTCATGCAAGAAAACTGAATTCTTGCGTACTGGATAATTTGACAAATATAAAAAAATATTATAATTGGAACGAGTACAGCCAAGGCCAAAACTTTTCATTATGTAACACATGCACAGTCTAAACCCAAAGGATACTTGAAAATCAAAATGATTTTTCCCATCAGAGATCTACTCAAGCTGCCAGGATGCATACAGCAAAGGCAAAAGAGACAACAGGGCGTATCCATTGTACCTACATGGCTTAGGAGCATATAGGGCAAGATGTGATATGGCAACCCTAAGTCGTGGTTGGATCGTATTTCAACGTAGAGCTAGCAACAGTGTTGATTTCTACCGTGGTTGGGAAGAATACAAGAAAGGATTTGGTGATCCACAAGGGAATTACTGGCTGGGACTGGAAAGACTGCACCACTTGGCACGGCCAGGTAAAGGTGCAATCCTTCGAGTTGAACTTCAGCATCAGGATTATCCGGGAGTGACGTACTACGCCAGCTATAGCACGTTTGAAATCGAAAATGAAGAGAACCAATACAGGATAAATGTGTCAGGGTACTCAGGTAACGCGGGAAATTCGCTTGTTCATCACGATGGAATGAAATTTTCAACGAAAGATAGAGATAATGACTTGCATTCCATTAACTGTGCCCAGCGTTATCATGGTGCATGGTGGTATAAATATTGCCATGACTCTAACTTAAATGGGGTGTATTTATCCAATGGGATTAGTGCAGTTGACATGGGCTGGTACTCACTAAAAAACCATCATGGCAAAATCAAGTTTTCAGAAATGAAAATAGGTTATCAGTAGGTATTACCAAGGTCTGTGTGTGCCAAAGGCTGTCGCTGGTTATAGAACACGTAGAAGGATTAGGGGGTTGCTGTCATATCAGAACGGTTAAGTTGTTTTTGGCTATCTTTAGACATATTTAATTTTCAACTGTTTGTATTCAAAAGTTTAATCAATGTATCAAAAAGCCTTTTTAAACGTTGAATTGCAGCACTAAATATAGATACCCGGTGTTTATTGCTCTAATCTGCGAAAGGCACAAAATGATTCGCAAAAGCATTTAAAGCCATGTACAAACACCCGCTGGTGTGTCATCAATGATTATGGTATTGAGAAATCTCCATTTAATTGTCACTCCATTAAATTTCAATTAAAAACCTCTTTTTACAAAGGTTTTCATGCAAACATAGTATTGTTTTCATTTATAGTTGTTGGTTGATTCTGTTAATTTACAATGGTTAGTATTGAGGCAACAGGGCTGCAATGTAACCTTCTGCTAAATGTTGAATCGTCTTGTTATATTTTTCATTTTTCATTTATCGTATTTAATTCCTTGTAATGTTTTGGATTGAGGAAAACAGGATGCTATTATGAATCAAGGACCGATTTTAGAAAAATATTATTTGGATTTAAGTTATGAATTGCATGTACTAAACCTTGTTAGTTTCTAGACACAGAACATACAAGCTAAACGTTTCTTAGGACTGCAATTCTTTCTTAATATGCTAGAATCTTCTATGGATACAACACGGGAAAAAAGATGTTTAGTAAAGAACCAGAGTAGAAAACTGTTCACAGCGCTGAAGCTGATGCTTGGAAGTAGCTGGGTGTTCTTAAAAAGGAAGTCATAGGTCTATTTTAGGTTCACGTATCTTGTTAACTGTAGAAAGTGGATTATGTTCATGAAGTCATTTCGCACCCAACGTAGGGCCAGAATGTTTTGAAAAGAGCGAACAGTAAAACATATCCCAGCGTGTCAGATTTTGCACTAGATTATGCTCTTGAAATAAAAAAGCATTTGTGGTTCTCTGCTTACGGAACACGCAATTTTAAAGATGGCTCCCAACGTGGGGTCAATATGTTCGATAAGCGATAACATTAGGGGGAGGCCAGTAGACCAAGCAATAAAAAGTTGATTTTTTATTTTGAAATTTGAAACACTTGTGGTTCACTGCTTTCCAGGGACAGGCAAGCTTGAGTAAAAGGGTCTTTGGAAGATAACTTACAGCTTCTACTAAATCCTTCTACTAACTGCCATTTTATTTCGATCTCTGTAGGTATTTTAAAAATTGGCTAACTTTTGGCATAAATTATTTTACAAGGATTTATTTAACAAGTTTTGAGAAATTTCGTCATAAATTAAGCACTGCAATCAGAATTTCATGTGAAACTGTCTGATTTTGAGACCTGTGCGGTTTCAAGTGTACTTTGATCAAAAGGGCACTCTGGCACCTCTTGCCCCTCCTATGTAAAGCCAACAGGGGTGGTTGACACCCCCACCCCCCTTTTCTGGCGTCCCTGCTATTCATGACTCATACACTACCAAGCATGACGCCAAACGAGGGGCAAGAATTTCCTATTAATAACATTCCGCTAACACTCCTAAGTGGCTGAAGAGATTTGCGAGCATCAAGTCAAACTGAGGGCAGTGACGGGGGTAACCTATGGGTCAGAGCCACAAAATTTTGAGTGCTTTCCGCTTCCGAATCTATGTGACACTGGTACCCAGGGTATGCAGGAGGAAATGTTCATCATAATATCGTTTTCTGAATCACATACGCAAATAGGGCTTGTTTTGAAGAATTTAGGTCAGGACATTCGAAAAAGACACCATCTTGGGTTTTCACAATTTTATAATAACAGGAACAGAATCGAACTATTTACAATCAACATATTCAGCGTCCGACGTCGAGGTCTCGGCACTAGTGAAAGGATTAACCGGATGTTTCTCTTTCGAAACCAGGTTCGAAAACAGGTTCGAAACCAGGTTCGAAACCAGTGTCGCAACCTGTGTTGAAACCTGTGCCCACTGAATGGGCTTAAATTTATCCGCAACTTTGTTAGGTCCTTTGTACACTGACTTTTTGACTGGCCTGATAACTTCAAGTAATTTTCTTTTAAATTCCACAAGCGTTTTTGAATCTTTTATTTTGTATCTAGCAAAGTCCGTTCGAAAGTGGCATTTGGCTTTCAGAAATATGTCCCAGGGGGGTCATTTGAAATTTTTGTATACCGGGGGGTCCATCCAATAATTGTGGGTAAAAATTTTCTTTGTGAGCTGATACTTTTGAGTACCTGACTTAATAATACGCCTTTTCAATACTTATAGGCAAAAATAACACATAAAACTATCAAAACCAAGAATAAACGAACAATGTGTTTAAAAAACTGATTATTATACATAGAGATAGGATGTTATGATATGAAAAAGTCTAGATTGATATAACTAGTAATATGTTATGTGCTCACGATTTAATATTTTGATATTTTTGGGCCGAATCAAAACGTTTTAGCTGATAAATTTGGTTCTGTTAAATTTGTTTCCGATTCTTTTAGATGAATTTCGATAACTGTGGATAGACCTTCCCGTATGAACAAAGTTTAAGTGACTCCCCTGGAAAATATGAACTTGCAAAGCGCGCTGTTTTTCCAACTGTTTGGTATACACGTTGCCGTCGTAAGCCGTATGAAAGATACCTTACTTTATATCTTTACATTTCAATGCACACAAGATGAACAGCACAGGCTTACAATAAGGTTATACATCAACAGAGTCATGCACAAGAGTCCTAGATTTTCTATTTTGGCCTTTAATTACCGTATTTACTCGAGTGAGCGCCGCCCCGTACGAGCACCGCCCCCGTACGAGCGCCACCCCCGAATGAGCGCCACCCCCGAATGAGCGCCGCCCCCAATGAGCGCCGCAGTTATCTTTTTGTATACCTATGCGGCGCTTAATCGAAAAACTGTTAGAATAGTTAGAAAACAGGAAAAAAAATGTAAATCTTAAATCAACCTCGGGAATTTATTTTCTTATATCAAAACACACTTAGTTCAAAGTGAGAATATATCAAAGTTTTTTTATTTAACGCTCTCTTGAAAATCTTGGCAATGTGTACATCTGTCGTGAAAGCAGAGAACGTTTTTTGCAACAACAAGGCCAATTTCTTTTTTTCCGGTAACCTGTGCGACCAGTTTATTTTCTGTGTTGGCTTTGAGAAAATTCTTCATCAAGCGTGACAATTCCACCGGAGCATGACCAACAAATGTCTTTTTGTCTTGGCAGATTCATCTCCAACGATGGTTGACATTCAATTGGTCTCCGACAGTGAAGATGACAGTGATATTGAAATTTTATGAACCTTTAAAGATATTTTCAAACTTGCATGTTTTACTATAAAATTATTGTTTAAAACTTGTTTGCTTTATTCCAAAATGACAGGGTTTTTAAAAAGCGCCGCCCCCGTAAGAGATCCGCCCCCGCACAAGCGCCGCATCAAATGTACCGGAAATTAAAAGAACGCCGCGATGCTCACTCGAGTAAATACGGTATTGGTAAAGCCCGATCGTCATTCCATCTAGCAGTTTTGGAATCTATCTACATTAGCACCAAAAATTCGCTATTGTGTAGACAAAAGGAGTTTGTTATCACCTTAGGAACAGTTAACATTCGGAACATTCTCTATAGGCAAGCGTCACTGATTGGGCAACCTCAACAGTCATGTGCTAGCGTTTCTGATTGGCCTACTTCGATCCACAACTGGGTATATAAATTTCCTAGCATAAAGTTTTCGTTTCGATCTATGTTCTGACGTTTTAAACTTTAAAGAGTGTCAGACGAAAAGCTTTAGTTTACTGAAATGTTTGCTTTTTTCAAAGCCATTTTCAAGTTTTGTACCACCAAAAAATATTTGCAAACTTAAAAGCATTCTAACACCAAATTAGAAAAGATAGTGAATACTGATTATGCTACAACTAGTTCAACGGAAAAATTTTTTAAAATCTTGTAATTTGTAATAGCTTTACTTTATAACTCATTACTTCTGTTACCTTCAGCTGATTGTTTTGAAAATTTATTCACGGTCCAGTGTCGATAAGGCATACCTTTAGTAGATCGTATAGAATAATTATATGCTGTATTATTCTATTGCTGTAATTGCTGAAAGGTAGAAACTAGTTCAACGGGACTGTTTCTACAACAAAACGTAACCACCAAAAGGTTGTTAGTTTCTATTTTTTTTTCCTGAACACAATGTGTATTGAATGATATACAATACACTTACTTACCATATAAGGCATGAGAAATAGCTCAACGGTTTCTGCATATAAAAGAAACTTAAGGGCTACCTGTAACATTCATCCTGAAGTACGGTTTCGAGAAAAGGCAACATTGTACTTTGATTTTTGCAACAAGAATTTGATTTATTGATCAACAGAAAAGTGTACAATTTTCCTTTCCAAGGACTTTTATCTATGGATAAATGTTATCAGAAAGAAAAATGAAAAACCCTCCAAAACACCCAAAGCACGAAATCTAACCTAGCCCTTCCTTTCCATTCCCTTGTATGTCAGAATCATGACTCGTGTCCTTTCTGGCTCCAATAAGAAACTTCGTGGTTGAAAGCAAGCAACCAAATAGCCACAGAATTTGGTACACTTTGAGCTTTTTTTCTTTCTAAAAGTTGTTCTGAGCTTCTTTTCTTAGTTATGTAATATGGGGTTTCTAACTGAATGTAGGTCGAGACAATCTTCCGATAAGAAATAAAATAGAAACAAACTCTATAGAATTTCATCCTATTTCTTTCGATCAATCGATATATCACGAATAAGGTTTATAATCCATGTTTATTTCCGGGTGTCCCGTAACGTCGGAATGTCATTAGCATGTCAAAGCACAGTCTGTGCAAGCACTATCCTCGCAAACATTCACAAAAAGAATCCAAATAACACTCAAAATATCAAAATACGTAAGTCCATAGAGCTATAATTCATGTCGAAAAGATCTTTCACAAACATTTCACCACATAACGAAATCTTCGATCACCCAAACATACATCACACCATAACATAACCTTATCGTACCTTCCAAAACTTAAACTTAACTGAACCCAAAGTAACACGCCCAAAATATAACATAAACAATAAATAAAAGAAATGTTTCATAGTTGCAGTTACGTATCTACATAAAAATAGCGATATTACAAAATATATTATTACCAAGACTAATTACATTAACCCAATGATGATACCAAAAATCACTAAAGAAATAACTAATGAATCTTAAGGTGAAATCCGATAAAAAAGAAATATAAACAATCAAATGTGCGAAGATTAAAAAATTAAAATAGTTACAGCTGATAAAACAAACGATGTCCAAGCTAGCACTTTCACATCTGACTACTTTCTGTCAATAAAAGGAGTTATTATAATATAAGTTTCTTCTTTTTTTTCAATTTTTTGCTGCAACTTTTTTTTTTATAAAAAAGTAGGAGACTTCAGCCTTTGGCGTCACCCATGCAATGCATGTTTCCTGGTACACTTTGAAGTCGGAAAATGCGCAAGTTATAAAAGTTAGAATCACCGGAAATTACCTGTAAATCACTTGAATCACCTGCAAATCACCTGAAACTACCTACAACAATCAGAAATCATCTAGGATTGTCTTGATAAATAAAGCAAACCCTATTGTCACACATATATATGGCTCAGCAAAGCAAAATTCTGTAGGTGTAAGAAGAAGGCAATTTTGTTTACCATTTTGTACGTTTTTGTGATAAAAATAGATCCACATAACTCTCCTAAAAATTGATGAGGTAAATTAAGTAAGGGAAGGTCATATATGATATATGTTCCTGCATAATTAAGGCGTGATAATTTTCAGCAGAATGGGAATTTCGGAATTCCAGGCAGTCTCTAACTAACTGTCAGGGCATTTGCAGATGGTTTCAGGTGATCTCAGATGATTTGTAGAAGATTTTTAGGTGATTTCGGTTGATTTAAGGTGATTTAAACTTTTATAACATACAAAGGAAAGTGGGGGTCAAGGGTCAATTTAAAACCCATGTCAAAAAATTTTGCACGATAGTGGCACTGGCTGCCCCCCTCCCCCCCCCCGCCCCCGTTGTCGGAGGCTATGTCATGTAAGTGAATTTAGATACAATTAGGACAATAGTAAGAAGAATAGATTAAACAACCGAATTCCTTGGTTATTAGTTATTTAGGAGCAGTGCCGTCGGAACGAGATTTTTATTTGAGGGCTGCCCATTGTATTCCTCCTCATATTCAGTATACTGTTTACTACATTATACTGAATTATACTGAATTACATTATACTACAACTACAGAAGAAAATTTACTACAGTTTGACAAATATTGGGAGCTCCAGCCCCCTAGCCCCCCAGTTCCGACAACCCTTAGGAGTCCAGCAGCGCTAAAGTAGAAGTATCTTCACAATAGTTTTGATCAGGGCGTTGGAGTGACTAAGGGTCAAGGGGGCAGGCTTCAGTGAAAATGAATTGGAGAAAAGTCATCAAGAAACTATCGAATTTTTCGTAATTGTCATTTTATTTCGATATCCTGTATGTATCTTGTAAATGAGCTAATTTCTGGCAGAAGAGATTGTCTAAAAATTTTTTAGAAATGTTGTCATGAATAACAGAAGGCCCTTTTTAGAATTGGACCCCAATGTCTCCCCCGCCCCCTCTCCGGTGTCCACTATTTTGATACAGGTGTGTTTTGACATTGTTAAGTTGCTCCCAAAGAACAAGTTTAGCAAAAACAAAGAAAAACCAAGGAAAATGTTCGTAGATTCTCTAAGGATGACCAAATAAAAAAACAATAAATTCTCCATTTTATCATAGCAATTCGTCTGTTGGTATTTCTACGCAGACATTCTTAATATATTTTGTTTATCTGCCTCGATTGGTTTGAAGGGTCTGTCCATTTAGTACGTAAGTCGGTCCGACTTGTCTTGACCAAATCACCCCTCCCCCACCCCAAAAATAATATTTACTTTGCACCCCTGGAAATTTATGGTCTGTAGTTGTAAAATATAATGTTTCGTTGTTTCTATTAAATGACGATAAAGTTGAGAACGTGACAGTCATTAAAAGCCAAAAATCAAACCACAATACTGGCACATACAGAAATTATCATTAATCTTTGAGTTGTATGACCATAATTGGTATGCCGCCAAATACGTCATCATGAGTTCTCCATTGTTGTGATATAAATATATCTCACGAGTCAACATTAAAATCATGGCATAACTAACTGCGACACGGTTAGGAGCAAGAAGACTTGAGTGTAGAAGACAATTTAAGGAACTACAAACATTTTATTACACTAAATCATGCTACGAAAGGTGCTGGTTATTTTTTTTGTTCTTGTAATCCATGCCGAAGATACGACAACAGAGGTATCCCAAAGTGATGAAGCGGAGGTTTGTATTAGATAATTTTCTTGACCAAATAACTTTATGAGAGAACCCATTTATTGATTTATAGAAGCTATAGGTAATAATGATATTAAAAAGGGTTAAATTTAGACCATCAAATGTCTGGCTTTATTTTGGCAAAGTAGTTTAGGCCAGCTATTGGTTAGGACCATTGTAAGTATAGGCCTATATGTATTGGAATTTTTACTTAGTAAGCCACAGTTTTCACGCATAAACTTCGTTAAATACCAATTTTTTTTTGCCAAATAAACTTGAAACTGTATGGCCAACCAATTCTTGGTTATTGAGTCTTAAATAGGGTCGTTAAAAGATTCCATGTATCTTGCAAGCGGCTAAAGAGAGGATGACTTATTGTCTGGCTATGTATCGCATAATTGCATTTCCTATATTCGTTGTGACATCAGTAGGTGTGGATCAATAAACTCATTAAGCGCAAAAAACCATTATTGCGAAGATTTACGAAGTTGCTGGATAGATAAATTAACTAACAACAAAGAGGTGCCTGTAAACAATTGTTAAAGGTAATATAAACAATAAACCCACACCCTACATTTAGCGAGTTCCTAATTATTTGCAAAGCCCTAGTGAATGTGTATATACAAGAAACTTATATTTGTCTTTCAATATTTCGAATTCGGTTTTGTAAGAGCCTGCATTCTGAAGAGAAAACTAACAAAGTGCCTATCTAGTAAACAATCATAAATTTTAGGCTTTTTTTTTAATTTTTGCTTTGGTAATGCAAGATATTGATCTTGAAAGAAAATCTTAGGTCTTAACTAGTTGTGATATTTAAGATCCATGTTTAAATTTCCCTACTTATTGTTTAACACATTGTCAGTTGTAGTCAACTGAGGGTCGTAAATTTAGAATGATATGTTATTTCTCTTGAAGGTATTCACTGTAATGTCATGTCATGTGACATGGCCTGTTCTCTGTATGAATTTCCTTCTTCACACTTGGCTTTTCAGAGTACAGAGAAACTTCTCATTAAAATTCTTGAATGACAGTTAAAAAGAGAACTTTCTTTTGTGTCAAATATTGATTTTTGCAATCTTTGGTTAAGAAGCTATAATGGAATTTTGAATAAAATGTTTCCAACTCAGAAGTTAAGTATATTTGCACAAGAGATGGTGTGATACATTTTTGAGTTGCCAAATAATTTTCAGAATTTATGGAATTAAAAGCATTTTAAAAGGACTTTCAAGGGCAGAAACTTGCATCTTAATGATAACGTGGTCAGAGATGTTGGAAGTATTTCAAAATTGCAAAGGCGAAAGTATGAAAGGGCACAATATGTCTCAGAAAAGGGGGGCACTTTTCCAAAAAGATACTGCTTAGAAAAAGGTTTTTTCAAAAGTTGGGGCATCTGTTCCTTGTGCCCCAGATGATGGTGCCCTTGATGGAAAACAGGCTTAGGAATATTTCTTAATTATTTATCAATTCATTATTCTTTTAATTGTTTGGATATTAGTACATATATATGTATTTATTATTTTTGAATTGTTTTTATATATGTAAATATAGCTTCAATGTTAACAATTGATGAAATTAAATTAAAATGGGAATGCTGCAGCAAAATCTCAAGAGCTGAAGCTCTTCAGTGTAAATTTGTATTTCAACATTTTTTAGAGGAACATGAATTTAAAAGGATAAAAATGTCTAGAGATAAGCCTTGAAACGAAATGGAAGTTTCTCAAATTTCTGACAGTACCATTCAATTTAGATTATTGATCTTTCAATTTAGATTTCTGTAGATTATATACAAAAGATATAAGAAAAAAGACTGAGGATCTTAGATGAAAACTTAATTTGTCATTGACTTGAAGACCAGGATCTATGAACTTGATACAAAATTTTTGCTCTGGAATTTAGAAATTTCCTCACAATATTCAGGGAAATTCCTTTGTGTCTGTGATTAAAACAGTGCCAATGCAAAGAGATGAAAAGTTGATATAAAGCTATGTTTCTGAGTAGCAAAATAACAAAAAATAAGCATTTGTCACAAATAGCAGAACACATTCTAAATCAATTTTTAATGCCTTTTTTTGTTTAAAACATTTGCCAATACTGAAGACCAGCAAACTCAGGTTATCAACCTTTTCACGTTTTCAAATGGTTTGAACCATATTAGTATAAATCCATGAACTTTATTGTTACTTTTATCACAGAAGCAGCAAGACCCCTTTGAGGGCCTGGGCTTCCATACCCCAGTCTTAAAAATCATTCAAGGGAAAACGAGGTTTTCTTCATGGAATTTATGGCTTAGTTACAATGCTATCCCTTTGAGGAACTGGGCTCCAGTACCCCAGTCTCAAAAAGCACTTGGGGTAGATTTAACGGGGGCTATTTTGAATTTTTCCTATTTTGTAACACAGTTGTTGTGTTATTCCATCAAAGCACTCCAGAACAACAATGTAAAGATAGCTTCTGGGGACATTCTTTAAACAAATTGATTTACTTTAATTCAGCTTATCAAATTACATGTCTCTAGAAAGTTTGGTAGCTTCAGCCCTTTTTTGCAACGTCACGGTTATAGTTGATGGCTCTTCAAAGGACTTGAAATAATTTACCTGTTGGTGAATCATGGTTGATAACTTGCACATCACTTTTTGCTGCAAGAATTACAACCAAAGCGCGTGACATTTCAGCAAGTTTCACACTTTTTAAGAAGTAAGAACAAACATGTTGTGAATGTATGAGGTGACAAGAAAACATGCGATATCATATGATGTAGAAACGCCCAAAGGCTCGACTGTTTTTGGCAAGAGGATGAGATGAATTAAATATAGCTGCTGTCTTCCAAAATGATTCATCGCCGCAGGATTATAACAAGTGTTTTTTCTTTAACGCATCAGTTATTGATCTTCCGTAGCCTCATAAACAGGATGTATATTTTTGTTTTCGAATTGCTTCGGTGCACTTATGGCGGGGGGGGGGGAGTGCGGTGGTAAACAAACGAAAGTAGTCTATCGAGTGAGCAACCCCCGTATTTGTAATCAAATTTGTGCATCAAAGTCAATCATTACTGCGCACGCTCTGCGACTGTTCGAAGAAGGCTCAAACATCAGATATTTTTTCTTTTGAAAACTTGTTCTCATGTTAACAGAACAAAACAGATTTTATCAACTAATTAACCGTGCTACTAAAAATTTGACGGATCGAAAGTAACGTCAAAGGAAGGGTGGCTTTTTTGTTTGGCTTCTCGTTTCCGCCCCTTGGTCGCTTACTAAACAATGTATTAGCAAGATTAGAGTAATCCCAAACTTTTTTAACATACCTGTACTCAAATTTTTGCAAAATGTAATATTTGATTTTTTAATCATACTTGTACTTAGGAAATTTTGACATTTTGCCTCTGGTAAAAGTTTTTTATTGTTTGTTTCATTTCGTCGTTTTTTACAACGTTTTATTGTAAACAGTTAGTTTATATAAAGATATAAATATTTAATGCTGTAATTTTTTGTCAGAAAACCCAACTAAGCAGTGCTGCCTTCATAATAATCTGTTGTTTTATTCATGTTTGAACTGTTCATTATCATGGAATGAAACTGAAACTAATTATCTTTATCTGGCAGAAAATACTCAAGATGTACGGCTATATTGCCGAGGGGCAACCTGGAACTGGCTCATTGGTATCCGCCGATGCTGTGACGAGTGCTTTAAAGCGTTACCAGACATACGCTGGACTCAAACCGTCTGGAATTGTAGACAAGGAAACTGTAGCTAAGTTTAGAGAGCCACGTTGTGGTATGAGTGACCAGAAAACGCTTGGCAGGAAAAAGCGATACGTACATCAAGGAACCAAGTGGATGAAAAAGGTAAGTCGAATAAACACATGTTACCACTGTGCTGCAAGGACATTGCTGTTTTTGCGGGGCTTTTTGGCTGTTGCAACCCCTACCCAAAGGCTTATCAAACAATCATTGTACCTCTTTTGAGTTTCGTTGTTTTGATTTTTGAGTACCGAGCTAATACATAGTTTTCACTAGAAATATGAAAGTTTCGAACAAAGTTATTCCCCTGGAAAACCTTACTAGCCTGTTTGGTTTAGCTGCAGCTTTATCTCGTTATGAAATACTGAGTTGGTTTAATGATTAAATGTTAATTAAGCCTTAATCAATTAATTAATTAGACATTAAATAATCAATTAATTAAGCAAACTGCATTGATTAAGCATGTCACTGCCCTTCCATAGCATTGTAGATTCCTATAAAACAAAAGTAAGATGAACGATAGAAAGAACGAGATTAAAGGCTCTTGCGCAACCGGCATGCTTTGCGACTATGATTCAAAAGACCGGCCTAATATCATACTGCATGAAAATACCAAACACAGTCAATGTCTCAAGACAATTGCCGCTAAGCATGCCGGTTGCGCAAGAGCCTTTATGTAAGCTCAAGCCAGGAAAGCCTTTCTAGATACGTTCTCTGGTGCGATGACGTCATAAAATATGATCTTAACATTACATGGTTTTGACCAAGCAGACTAAAAGAAGACCATAAAATACCTCTTATTTTGCAAAACTAGCTTGATTTGTTAGATGACCTTGTTAAATGATAATTTATGTTAGATGATAATCTGGCCTTGGTTCTAAAACCTTTAAACCAAAACGCAAGCCTTATGTGCTAAAACAACAACTAAATACTTCCTACAAATACGTGTCTTCATGTTGATGACATCCACACTTAAAAGTATCAGTTATCGTTGGTGGTCTGTAGCTAGGAAAAGTAGCTGCCAGTAGTCGGAGTTTCTATGTTTGTTAACTGTCCAAGTTGCTTTATTCAGTGTCTTATCATTTCTACAGCGGTTAACCTGGAAAATTATCCGTTATTCTTCCAACCCATCAAGAACGTTGAGTAACGGGCAGGTTCGCAGGACTGTTTATGAAACGTTACAGAAGTGGAGTGCTGTAGCAGACATTGATTTCCAAGAAACGACTTTAAGCGATGCTGACATTCTTATCAGTTTTCGGAGAACAACTCATGACGACCCCTATCCATTCGATGGGCGTGGGGGTACACTTGCACACGCTTATTACCCATCTACAAATCAAGGTATTTTGTTTCGTTTGTATGCTCGTGTATAACGTTGAGATTTTTGGCAGTACATTCGTAGGCTACTGACAAATTAAAGGAAGGACCTCAATACTGCAAGTTCTTTTTTGAATTTAAAAAAACATCTTATTCTACTGGTAGTGTAGAGGATAGATTTATATTTAGCAGTTTTAACTCAAATTTTGAACATGTTTTCTATGATGATTTTAGCCCGGTCTATTATAGACTGCTCAACGTCGTATAGAAAGAGCTGTACATGTTTTGGTGTTAGTACAGGACATTTCTAGGTTGCTATTCCGTTCCGTTTTCATGCGCAATACAATTGTCAGGCAGCTTTAGACAGCATCTCTATATAAGAAAACCTTTCTTTCGGTGGCTCTTACTAAAGATGTTCATACTTGAGTAATGCATCTTCTTAAGATCACTGTTACAAAAGTACTATACCAATAATATTTTTAATGACAGCCAAAGGCAACTGGAAGCATCTAGAATCAAGTGCTTGTAGGAGAATGGCCATCTTGCATACATCTGTATTTTATTGAGATCATAATTTTCTCTGACTTTTATTCATCAACGAAGCGTTTTTAAACAAGGGACAAAATTTCTCTTCGAGTAATTTACAAATGATTCACGCGAAAGTTCTTTCCGACAGGCCTTGCTGGTGATGCGCACTTTGACGACGATGAGATATTTACCCTCCGTACTGCACAAGGCACAAACTTTTACTGGGTCGCACTGCATGAATTCGGTCACAGTCTAGGCCTTGAACATTCTAACCATCGTGAAGCAATCATGTATCCATGGTACCAAGGATACAAAGGTGATGACGTCGATTTGAGATCAGATGATATCCTTGGAATACAAACCCTGTATGGTAAGGTGTCTTAGTCCTGTTCCCTGAATCTTTATCGATTCATTTTGTCTTTACTGATTTTTGTGTTTGCATGCCTTTCTGCTTTGTCCGAGTAATCTTCATAGTTCATGAAGGGATGTGAAGAGTACCTTCTTTCATTTGTCGCTCATTGTTGGAGCTCCCTTACTACATATTCTTTCCCGCAGTGAGTGGTATAGTATATGCATTACTCTGCATGCGTTGCTTCGGTTTTCCAGGTAAGCGTTTTTAAGAATAAGTCCTGGTCAGCTGTCCGTACACCCGCCACCAAATTTTCCCGTTCCGCTGCAGTGTCAATATGTTGCCCCATGACACCCAAACCCATCCCCACCCCTTTCACTTCCCCCATTTCACGCTATCTTTCAATTTTCATTCTGGTTCTTTCCTTTCTTTTGTAAAGCCTTTTGTCCATAAACTTTTTTCGTCTGTTGTTAATTGAGTTGATATTGAAAGAATTTATCTAGGCACCGGGTCGATAGTCATCTTTGAACTTGATTATCGCTGTTTTGTCAGTGTGTTTTGTCAGTGTGTAAGTGTGAAGTAAAGAAAGCCTTTGACACCTCAAACAGTCGGCTGTAGACCGGTTTCACCCCATATAAGAGCTCATCAGTACAGCTAGACTGAATGAGGACCTAAAGCCGACCTAGGGCTAGCAGTTAGGCTGTCTTAAAGAGACTGTCGAGTCTCTAAGACTCATGCGTACTTCTTTTCCTGTTTCGGCAAAGATCGTTCTTTTGTAAAAAGACAGCAGAATGCATCTCTTTAAATCACTTCTGTGGCTTTTCTTCACAGGTGCGCGGGTCAGATCTGAAACAACTGCTATGCCAGAAACTAGCCTTCCTAAGACTTACCTTCCTACGACACAGCCACCGTTTCCCGAATGCTTCAGTCGAATACAGGCTGCCTATTTAGGCAATGATGAGCTCACTTACGTCGTTCATGAGGATAAACTTTACAAGCTTGGAAAGTATTTGAGACTTCAACAAGGTCCGGTTCCTGTTGGCAGTGTTTTTAGTGGGGTGACAAAGGTCGATGCAATGATTTTTAAAAAGGAAACTGGAGAGCAGATATTTTTCCATGGTGATAAGTAAGTGGGTGTTTATAGGTATTTTCTTTTCAATGTACATGCGCCCTTTAAAGACTCATTGCTAACAACGAGCATTTGCGCGTGTGGCAAATTGTCCAGGCGACGATCTAAACAATGGCAGTAAACTTCTACGGATTACCCAAAATTGACTTAAGACGGTCTGAAAATGCATCATGTGGTGCTGGCGTAGCGCAATTGGCTCATTTTTAGCAATGAGTTTTTAAGTTTAGCTGCGATAGATAAAGCTTAGCTGCTATAAGATAGATTACTGTGTATAATTTAGCTTTAACTTTTTTATAAATTATATTAATGTAACCAGGGTTATTATTTTCTTATTTGGTATTTAGTTGTAAGCTGAAGAGATTTTTGTGTATAAAGAATCTAAAATGAATGAATGTTCAGAGTTGGCTTTGCAGCACGTTTTTGATCGAAAAACATTACATAAAAATAAGTCTATTGTGTAGTCCAACCAATGGATAATTTAAATGACCAGCGATGTGCATCGGGACCTAGTGGCTTTAAAGCTGCATAAGATTTAAATTTAATTCTTTTTATTAATTGCAATGGTTAAATAAGAATTGCCACATAGCTCAAGATTCTCCAAGCACGTGCTCTTGTATAGTTTTTAGGAATTTGGAAAACAATAAAGTTTAGGATAAGGTAAACAGAAACTTTTAACACTAGGGTAAACAAGAACCTTGCCGAAACCCTTACGTAAAGGTAATTTGTACTTTTACCCTAGATCTAGCCGGCATACTATTGTTTCATCGAGTAAGGCTTGTAATGTTTTGTCGACAAATTCTCAACCATGCTTGCAATTTTGTTTTCTAAGATTTTAAGAGTTTTAGCATGTCCACCGTAGAATATAGAATCCAGTTTGCGTGTCTATGCTCTTAAACAGAAGATTGGGATAATATTTTATCATATGACTTCATAGATTTTCTTTAATGTGTTGGAAGTTTCTCTAGTATGCAAAAATTTGAAATTTTTCAAATGAAAATAGTGTTCCAAAAATGAAACGTCACCAAATATACTTTTTATAATTTTCGACTTTGACCACTTACCTCTGCTAACTTGTAACTTATTCAACTGATTCTGCACAGATAGACATATTTCATAATGTTCTTTAAGGCTATTCAATCAATTATATCAAATATTCTAAAAAACGAGTGTTTGTCATCACTGCATGGGGAAAACTATTCTGCATGCAGTGTTTTTTTCTTCTTATTTGGGAAGTAAAATGTTTCTTGAGGAAATTTAGAAAATTGCTTCAAATTAACTGTTTTTAAAATTGTATTTGTTTCTATTATTCAAGGTATTGGGTTTTCAGAGGCTCCCAAAAACTTTCTGGTCCAAATCACATCTCTCGCTATGGCCTAACAAACGAAATGAGCAATCTTGATGCTGCATTGAGTTGGAAAGGAAGTGGCAAGCAGTATTTCTTCAAAGGTGCAAACTACTGGCGATACGATGTTGGTAGGAGAAGAGTCGACCCTGGATATCCTAAGAGTATTTCAGCATGGGGAGGTATACCGTCAGATATTGATGCCGCGATGCAGTGGAGAAACAATGCCATATACTTCTTCAAAGGTGAGCTTTAAATGTTCAGTAATTCTGGCACTGAACCGTAGCAGTATTGCATCTACATTGTAAATATGCAAATAGCTGCTGTTACAGAGAGACTAAGCCCCTCTGATGCTCCTGGTTAGTACTTTAAAAGGGTTTATGTTGATTCCCCAGCCAAAATTTGACTGAATTTTGGAAGGGGTAGACAAACGAAGATGAGAAGTGTTGTATAACTTTTTTTCGCAATTTGGAGTATAAAACAAGACGGTACTAAGTTGCCACTTCGAGTTTTACGCTTAATGCCATCATCAGTCAACTGCTGAAACTACTCTCTCTAGCTAATTTTGTTATCATATTTAGTTGTTCTGTCCCTGGAAATCTGGAAAAACCTATTTATGCAAGATACATGTTTCAGCTACCCTTTAGGAGGTATACACATTCGCCCGCCGACTGCCGAGTGTCTTAATTTTCCAGTGACCTTAGACCGTATTCGATGACATCCCGAAAGTACCTTATGTAGCTTCAGTAAATGCTGAATGCTTCCTCCAAACGACCTTTTTCCCCAGAAGAAGAAAATGAGAGAGGGTTTTGCAATGCGATGTTGTCTAGACAACATGTCGCTACAAACTGTACAGATACAAAAAGCTATGAAGATATAAAATACCTAAATGGGATAATTGCTGAGGTGGGCCCCAAAAGTAATTTTCACGCTTAAGGCAACGCGAGGGCCCATCTGACTCACGAGTAAATGGCAAACTTCTACATTATATTTTGAAAGGCTCCTTACTGCATGGCTTGCTTAGTATTTTCCTCCCAAAATCACAGAACATTGCAATTTGAGTTTGTTTTCCACGTGTTAACTTGACATTCTAAAGTTAAACCGTGTACAATTATTATGCCGCAATGCTTGATATTAAGTTTTCCACTTAAAGGTCTAATTTTTCGTAGCGGTTAAGCACAGGTTTGCTGGTTGGCATGCCAAAAATAAACCAAAATCTAAATATTAAAATATGCATTTGATATGAAATTGACATTTTATTCAAAACAATATTTTAGTTATGTTTACATAAGCAAACTTACCTAGCACAATGATGATTAGACGAAGCCCCTAGTTTTCTTCGTCGGTCGTCTGGCTCTGCTGTCTGGCTCTGCTGTCTGTCTGAGGAAGGCCTGTACATAATGATTGTAAATTTACAACGGCTGTCTTATAAGATAATACTTTAGGTATACTTAGATGCAGTGAAAGGCACCTATAACAGAATCAGTTTGCGTGTTTAACAGGAGAATATTCATCATCATGCACAAGGAGCACATCTTTGTAACTTATTATTATCTTAGCAGTTTCTATTATTTTCAGATTAAGTCGACTAACTGATATCGGTTAGGCCAGAGACGTCAAAATTATTTCAATTAAGGGGAAATCTTCATGAAATAGAAATGTTTGTTGAGATATATAAATAATCACTATGCCTGCGACAGGCTAATCTTAAGTACTCCAAACTTCGTATCAGATATGCCCATATTCGTAAGAATGCATTCTTAGTGAACGAATGCAGTCAATACATCTGATAAAAATAATACTTTTCTTTTTAGGCGAAAAGTTTTACAGATTTGACACACGAAGGATATCTCTCGTGCCAGGATATCCAAAAAAGTTGATGGGTGATTTCATTATTTGTCCTGTGAAAGGAAAGGCAGGTCAAATATCTGGAGTTGGCATGTCTCGGGATCAGGCAGGATCGGGTGGAATAAGACTGGAGTCGGAACGTCTTGTTTTCATCTTTCTTGCCTTCGTTACCATTAACATTGTTTTTTGGAATTGATGTCGCACTTACATGAGAGCACTTACGTCACACTAAAAATTATAGGACGATACAAAGATATGATGAAACATGTCTTGACATATTATGACGTCATAACATATAATAAACAAGACGACATTGACTGATATGACTAGGCTGGACAGTACGGTTTAAGAATGAAGGAAACCAGAATTATTAATTATTATCATAAAATATGTATGTTAAAAATAATAAAATACGTTATGTTCAACAATTTTGTTATAAATCTATTATTCTTATTTTTATGATTAGACAAATTTTCGTACACTTTCTAAAATATTTTCTTGACTTAGTTTAAAAACCTGGATAGTTTCTTGAATCCAGATTAAAAAAAGAGACATTTTATAGCAGTGGTATGAGGGACGCCAATTCTGCGTACGGGGTAAAGAAGAAAGACTGGATTAGGGAAGGAAGAGGATTTAGCAATAAAATGGTCAGTAGTTTGTGTACCTGCATCATAAATGCCATCTGAGAGGCGATTAAAATAGAATTTATACCATGGAAATCCAAATATTTTTGGGTCAATTAGACCCTATTGTTGTTAGGAATGAGCCCTACAGTTATATCTTGTTAAAGCTAGCTATATCTTGCCTAACATTTAACGTTATTTTTATGATAATTTTGAAGCTGGACAGTCAAACCTTGTAATGCCATACATTATCAATGTTTGTTGCCTCTTGGAATGGACAAACGCCAAATGAACGCAGAGATACAAACGAGCTTTTTCCCCCTCAAGTTACCGAATATGCAAAAATGTTTTTTCTGTAAAAGCCCCAAAAGGCCACTTCGGCCAGAAAAACTGAGGCACATGTAAAAGTTATTGCTCAATGTAGACGCTCCTTTGTATTGTTGGCTAACTAGTTATTTTATATTGTAAAACGTATATTAAGGTAGCTTTTTTTGAATTTTTTAAATGATTTCTTTCAAGCAACGTCATTTGCTGAAAGGATTTCCTGTCTTCCTGTCCAGTGATGCCCTTGCAGAACATGGATATCCTAATATATACCGTATTTACTCTGATATTCCCGCTTCTCTTTTATTCCCGCCTCTCTAGTAATCCCGCTTGTACTTCATAGATAGTAAGAATAATCCCGCCTCCCCAGTAATTCCGCATGCGGGATTGAAACTTTTAATTGGCATTTGCTATTCTTTACACACTTAGTATGGGTTGAAAATCAAGTATTGAAATTTATGCTTGGAGTAAATGGGTTAAATCACATGATAATGTCATAGACGGAAGAGGGCATAGAGCTGTCTTATTTTGCAAGTTTATCAAACATCCAAGTCTGGCGGCATAAAAAGACGTTTGATTCTTTGACTTCGTACTACTGTCTATAAAGCACAATTTCTGCTCTATCTTGTCTGTGAAAATAAATATCCCACCCCCCCCCCATTCAATGTTAACCCCCCTATACATGTTGAAATTGCATATATTTTTTTCTCACTTGCCACAATCACGTTTAAGAGACTTTTTTGTTGGAACGGTATCCTCAAACTAGACTTCAAGGCATTGAAAAAATAATCCCGCCTCTCCAATATACCCGCCTCTCCAATAATCCCGCCTTTTTTGTTAGGTTGAAACGCTAATCCCGCAGCGGGAATATTAGAGTAAATACGGTATGCGTCATTTCTATTGTATACCTTTGTACGATATATGCTTGAAAATCCCTGGGTAAGCCACCTATGATCGAATCCTTCTATACCGAGCAATTATGAGTGTAGACCTATATATGAGCCATAAAACTTAATTTTTGTATTCTGCATACAAGAGAAGAGTAGCGCAAAGCATCAAACGACCATTTTGCCCATTTTTCATTGCTTTATACAGCCACAATGTGCAGAATGCAAGGTGACTGTTTCATCTTGTATACCCAATGACTCTTATGGAGGACAAGATACTCGTTTGATAGTGCTTCATCTCTTTATAAACTGTTGTTAATGGCGAAATATTAGCATCTGGGAAGTACTACAATCAAAACATATCCGTAGAGAAGGTTTCAATTACCCACAAACCGTAAATGCACTTTAGAATACTCCAGGAAAATTTTCATGGATGTATTGTAACTTATATAGACTATTGTTTGTTTAAGTATAAATTATTGTAGTATTTTACAAAATTTTTCCTGTAAGAACTGGATTCGTATGGTTTCATTAGACTGCTCAGTAAGAACTGGATTCGTATGGTTTCATTAGACTGCTTAGTATTTTGTAGATATTTATTTTAACTTGTTTTTATTTAAGTTTGGATTTAGTTGTATTTTTCTTATGTTTATATTTGGACTTGGAATGAATTTGAATGTATTAAATATGTTGTTTTTAATAAAATGTTTTGAATTCGAAAATCAGTTTTTGGTTTTCAGCATTTATGCTAGAAAATATGAATACTTATGTTTATAACTTTGATGAAGATGTAAAACACGAATTGATAACCCAGTGGTTGGAAAGTGCCCCCCCGAACAAGGATTCAAATAACAAAGATCGAACCTGAAAACGCATCAGGAAAATTTATATCACTCAAACTAAGAAATTACATACCATAAAAATAAAACAGCAATAAAGCTTGCTAAAGTACACTTGATAAAAGGTCATTGATGATATAGAATGAGACAATTTCTAAGTTAATACCGTGATTCTTTTCCATAAAAATGGTTTGCATCTTTTTATTATTTTGAAAAAGGAAAGGAAAACCAATTTTGCTACATGTTGTTAACCAAAGTAGGTTCAGTTTTTTGGAAGGGTTCAAGGGGGGTGGGGGCGATTGTCCGAAAATTTTAGCAAAATAGTGCGATAAATTGCATGTCATCGGTGTGTGCCTGTCTTTTAAGAAACTTTTTATCCGAATTTAACCAGATAAAGGCAGGTGGCCGATAAATAGTTGAGAAAGTATGATTGAAAAAATATGGCAAGACGAAATATCTGATATGCATGTTCGACAAGGAAACACTAGCTGCAACGCAATTAGCCATCAAGTGGGACGAGCATGTGTTCATGAGGCACGGTCGTCAGAAAAATTTTCTTTGGACCACGCCCTTTCCTGGCGGAACGCCTTTTTTTGATGGGAAACAACCTATGATAATCCACTTAATGTTAGCCTGAGTTTCAGACCGTGTTTACAACTGGGACCAGCGGCTACTAGAGAGCTGCTAGAGTCTCAAATCAGCATTTTCATTTTAAAAAGCGTAAAGGCTAGCAAATGATGAAACTGTTAAGTGTTTTCAAAGTTGTAGAGTTTCCTATATAAACTATAATTGCAACATCTTGGTATGTTTATCACCAACATAACCTCTTTTGATTTTCAACGTATTCACTTACAAATATTACAAAATTATCAGGATGCATTGATTCCTGCATCCTCCAAACACTATCCCCTGCAGAATAATTTGCGGAATCATATGACAGAAAAACTTTTTCCAAAATTTTTTCTGTTGTAAATTTTGTGACGTTGAGCTTAGAAGATATTTCATCTTTTCTTTTGATAATATTCCTCGGCTTGGGAGTGTTTCAATGGTGATATTGATTAATGATGATATTGATTAAGGATGATAATGATTAAGGATGATAATGATGATGATGATGATGATGACGATGATGATGATGATGATGATGATTGATGATGATGATGATGATGATGATGATGATGATGATGATGATGAATAATAGAAGATCGAGACTGCTTCTGGAAACGAGGCAAATTCAAAAGAGCCCAGACACTCGCATCGTGTCTAGATCTGCTTCACGGCTATTTTATTTATCCATTTTGCATTTACAAATCAACCCGATCAAAATGGGTAAACCAAAGAAAAATGGAAACAGCGGCAAGCAGAGTTTTAACCCATCAAAGAGTAGCACAAATCCGGGTAAGTGTCTTAAATTTAGAAAAGGCACCAAGTTCCGGTAGAGTTAGGCACACCGCAGTTTGTTCAAAGAGACACGAAAAAACCGAACTTTAGATTCAAATTCAAATGTATTCTGATAAACTAACATTATTTACAAATACAAACCAATTACAATGGTCAGAAAAGAAAATTGATAACTTCTTAAACGTTATATATATGACTCAAGATACAATATGTAGGTACAATACGATATTTCAGTAATATAACACAAGATTCGTTTTCGAACTATTGGAATTTGGTAAATAGGAAGGTTTTCTTTACAAATCCTTCTTATTTTGTGCAGACTTGACGCCAGTCTAGAACAGTGCTTGTCAACCTTATTTGATCAACGCACACGGCGCACATTTTTTAATAAAAAAAAGTCGAGAGGCACTTGACCAACAGAAAATGTTAAAAATGGAAGCTCTATTTCCTCTCTTCACAATAAAAGGTCGTTCTCATCGAAACTTTTTAAAAATGATCAAATTAACACAGAGAAAAAGTATCTTATTTGCATTGAAGTATTATTTAACAGAAATTTACCATTTTCACTAAGCATTAAACCTGGAAAACTTTGAAGTAATTCAGTCTACAATTTTTTTCAAAATATTGCTTTATTCAATTATGGCAGGTTATAATATAGCTTATGTTAAGTCAGGTTATTAAATGTCAGTTGGTCATCACTGGACGTTTGATACTCTGAAAGGAGTTAATTTTGAATGCCATAATATTTCATTAAAAACTGAGAGAAAATTGGAGTGAGTGACACAGGCCTTAAACCTACAGAATGTGACACTGCAGTTTACAAAATACATACTACAGAACTTGAAATTTGTGTGCCCTACATTTCAATATGGTTAGTATGCATTTTTGAAATAGTTATTTCAGCTATGCCCCTGTGAGCAGTTTTTTCAAGGCCAGGTCATCGAGATAAAGGGCAAAAAAATATGTTAAAAACTACTTGGGTTTTGTCTATTAAAAGCAAAATGTTATGATGGAGGTTACAAGAAGTGGCCTAGAAGCTTGGCTGAATGACAAATACGTTCAGCAAAGAGCAGTGATATATTCAGAAGTCCAAATAACTTGTGGCTTCCTTTCACCAAAATGTTAAAAATTTCAAAAATTGATCATAGATCGTGCAAAACCAGATCTTGGTTCAAAGATGAGAAGCAAAGCCACTGTGAAGAGACTGAAAATGTACAAATCTGGAAAACCAACAAGGTAATTTCTAAGACAATATACTCTTGTAAATCCTGGAATAAGCACCCCCCCCCCCCTCTCCAAATAAATACCCAGCTTGATTAAGCAACCACCTAATCAGGAAAATTATCAAATAACCCTGCCCTCAAATAAGCACCCACCATCTCCTAAGAAACAGGTATTAATTCAAAATTTAGCCAAAAAGATTTGTCACATAAGTATAAGTCTTACAAGATATTTGTTCTAGTTTTCATTCTTGTCATCTTTATTTCCATTTTATCATAGCAAGGAAATGCTTTTAACACATTTTCAAATATATCTACTTAGACAATTTTCTTTTTCACTTTGGAAATGCCTCTTTTTTTCTTTGTCTTTGCTTGAATTGCTTTGACGTCCACCATCACCAAATAAGCCCTCCACTCCAAAAAGGGTTCTGCTTGAATAAGCCCCTTCCAGGCCCAAAAATTAAATAAGCACCTGGGTCCTTAACCCATGATTCAAGGTATTTATGTAAAGGTATGACCAATGCTGAAATCAGTCTTCAATTTATGAGTAGTTACAGTGTGTTATCCTTCTGCACTCATACCTTTTATCATAAGGCAGATATGTAGCTATGAAATGCAAAGTTTGGTTGCATTGCTATGTGATATTCTAGTTTGGTTGTATTGCTAGGTGATATTCTTTTGATAAAAGAAAATGATTTTGTTGGCTTTTTGTATTTTCAGGGATAAGGATGGAAAGATTATTGAAGCTGCTGAATTTCAAAAGCGTGTTAAATCAGGAGAGGTTGCCAGAGTGGCACCTAATAGAAAATGGTTTGGTTAGTAGGGGTTATGTACTGCCTTTAGGACCATTTGTAAATGGATAAACTCATTATGTATTTGTATTAAATGTATTAAATGGGCATACTATGAATAATTGCTATGTATAGTGCTCATTGCCCTATAACCAGAGCTAAACACATGTATGGGTCTTTAAAATGACCAGCTTTTTTATACCCTATTTGTATGGATATAATTACAGCAAACAACAACATTCAGTTGGATTATGAAAGGCATAAACTTAATAAAAAAGTTAAATCTGTACATAGTGTTAAATGTGTTTTCTAAAAAGCAGGCAAACTCCACAATAGGCTATTAGACGATAATGCATATTTGTAAACCTTTCCATGGGCAGATTGTTGGTATTTTCAAGCTAAAGAAGATTGTTCATATTGCCAAGTTAAAAGATGTATGGAAAAGGATATGTTTAAACAATTTCATATTTTGATACCAGTGAGATACATCATAATTAACTTGATCACAGCAGGTTAACAAGATAAGACAAAGTTTTCATCAATTACACAATGTTAAAATCATTGTTTTTATAAAAACTGAGTTTCATATGCCGGCCTCTTCTACCCCTCCTATTTAAAGGACAAGTGACACACTTTTCACCCTATCTTTTCTTTTCATTAACTTATAGATCATCTTTTAGAAGTAAATTTCTCCTGGTTTAGAACAAAAAATTCTAATCAGGGGGCTCAGGGGACACGATTTTGCTTTTTATCACGTGACCCTATGACATACATTGTGATAACTCGAAATTTTCCTGTAATTAATAGAGAGTTTACAAAACACGACGCGCCATGTCCAGACAAACTGAATTCGTTTAGAAGCGTGTTGTAAACGTTAATATTTCACTGTATACCAGTAGCAGCAATAACAAATTATCACAATCTACGCCACGGTGTCATGTGATTCATTTCCCGCCATAATTTGAAAAGGGTTTTTAAGTAGGAAAATGAAATCAGAAAGGAAAAATATTTCAACAACACTCTCATAAAGTATTTTACTTTAAGTTAAAAGAAAAAAAATTTGGCGCCAAAAGCGTGTCACTTGTCCTTTAATTAAAGCACACAATGTACTTGGTCCTTTCAGTGAGTCTAATTATAACTTCACCTTTGTTTTTTTCATTTTTTATTTAAAAAGATACATGAGATTAATCCTGCTTTAATTTCTTTGTATCAATTTATTTAGGTAACACACGAGTGATAACCCAAGGAGCACTACAAACATTTCAGACAGAGATGGGAAAAGTTATGAAAGACCCTTACAAGGTTATCTTCTGATAAATTTTCTTTCTTCTGAAAAAAAATATAAGTTTCATCTTTTTATCTCCATGAAAACTAACATTTTAAAGTTCTAGTTTCAATGTTATATAAAATTTATGTATGTTTAAATTGTACAGATACACTTTTCCAACCCATACGTTTTTTGTTAACTTTTGATGGCAATAAAACCTTTTTGACTTGCAGGTTGTCATGAAGAGTTCAAAGCTTCCACTTTCTTTGTTGCAAGATCGTAAAAAGGTAATTTTTTTATTTAAAACATGCCCTATCTTTAAGAACTCTTGTTTACATTTGGTGTTATTCTAGCCCAAAGGAAAGTATATAGGCCAGAAGAAAGCATGCATAGCATATTGTAATGCACAAGCCAAGAATGTGTACATCCCTGCTTATAACAGCTCCAATTTATATCCCTCTTGTCAATGTACAAAGATCTTTCCCTGTTTGCAAGAATGTAACTTAATTTGTACTATAATATATTCAGTTTTTTTGGCGGTACAGAACTTGAAAATGGCTTTGAAAAATGAATTATAATATATTTATTGATCTACAGAAAGCATTTTTGATCAGTAGGCCCTCCAGTTTTCCTTGATAGGATTCACGATCAACAATCTCAGACATCAATATTTTAGCTCTTATCTCCAGAGGCAATTTTTTGAAATTGACAATATCACATCCAATGTAGCAGAAATTAATTTGAATTACCTCAAGGATATAATTATTTATATATTCAGATATTTATTTTAGATTTTATCAGTTTGTTGTTGCCGGGTTTGATTTTAAAGCAGTAACACAACTTAATTGTTACCCAGGTTTAAGTATTTCAAGTCAAAAAAATTAAATGAAGATTTTATAACCACAGGTATCTGATTTAAAAATTTCAATAACATGTCTTCTTAGCTAATCTAGCTTCAAGAATGATGTCTTATATCAGTAAATGAAAAAGATATCTTTAAATGATATTTTTGCAGCATTGTTTTTGTTTAAACCCTAGACAGCTAGAGTTCATTTGTTGGATACGGAGAGCTTTGGAAATACCTTTGGCCCAAAGGCTCACAGAAAACGCCCAGCTTTGAAATCAGCTGACCTAAAGGTAACAATTTTCTTTCAATTTACGAAGCAATGCTACCCATAATGTTAGAGTTCCTCCTGAAGCTTTATATTTGATAAGTTTGAATCATTCATGTTTTTTTAGGGTTTTATTATTTTCATAGACTATTGATAATGCTCCAATATAGTTGATACTCTAATGATCAGATACGCTTTGATTACCCTTCAAATGTATGAAATATCTTTTTGATTTCTTAAAGGACCTTGTAGAAACAGCAATGAAATCAAATGGTGAGTGAAGCCAGTGGCACTTATCCCTTATCATCAAATACATTATCCACTATTTTGTTTGATTTTGAGTTGCAAGTTCAGTTTCTTCAAGTAACTGGCTGAATTACAAAATCCAGGTACAACATTGAAGGATTTTTAACAGGTTATAAACAGTCTCTTTCTTTGTTTCAACGTTCCATCAAAATGCTAGACCTTGACCATTGTACCAAGCGACGGCACAAAAGGCAGCATAAATTATATTTTAGATTTTGCTAGCCCTGTTGGATTTGAAATAAAAAGGCTTTAGCTGGATTCAAAGTTGTTCTGACTAACACGATATTGAAAATCATCTTAATGTAATTGCTCATGAATTCAAAGTCAATATTAAAACTATGAATGTTTTTTCTTTATCGAAAACATTATCTGCAAATTAGACATAACAGAATACTGATATAGCTTCCTTAGTCAGGAAACAACTCTATTTTGAAGTCAATAATTGGACAGGAAACAAATTAGATAATGTAGCTTAATTTCGATAGTGACCTTATTTGCAATTGCAAAAACATGATGGAGACACCTTTTCCGTGGAAAAAGCTTAGTAAGGAAGTTCCCTGCAGGAAGGGAAGTGTTCTTTGGAAAAATATCACAACTATTACCAGTCACTAACCATCAAGTAAAATTTTTCGACAAAATACTAACTGTATACTAATTACTTATTAGACATGAAAGTGTAGCTATTTTAAAAGTAATGCATAATATTTTTGTTTTCAGCCTCCAAGAAGTTTAGGATTTGTTTTTATTTTAATGAAAAGTACAACTGTGGCATCACCAAGCATAACGTGTTTTAAAATTTTTTTGTCTTATTACGTTTCAAGATATGTATGATACTGAGAAAGATAAAGATAGGGTTACTGAAGATCTAGATGACGTCAGAGAATCAGCTCGACATTCCATGTTCTCCAAAGGACAGTCAAAACGGATTTGGAATGAACTTTTTAAAGTAAGAAATATCTGAAAGTGACGTCATTTTGTTGTCTTTGTTCATTATGAAATATTGTATTTATTGCATATCAAGTTGTAGATAATTTAAATTTTAACGCTTATTATGAGTATGAAGACTCTGTGGCAAGGACTATTGCACTTAATATTTGTGATATCGCAAATTTTGAAAAGTCTGAAAGGCATAGAATCTCTGAAATGGCTTATTTTTTTAAAAAATTCAGGAAAAACCCGGAAAAGTAAGAGAATTGTGTGTTAAATTTGTGTCAAGGAAAAGCCAGGGAGATTTTTCAAGGGCCTGATTGCCGATCTGATTTGTGCAACCATCTAAAATCATTTAGTTCAGCCAAGTTGTTGTTTATTTTGACATTCCTTCTCTGTTTCTGTTTTCCTTTTTTGTTTTGATTTACTCGCATGTACAAATTAAATCCATTCGGAGAGTAAGGCTTCCCTGGTCAGAGAAAATCTGCCATTTTTATTTCAAGGAAGAGTAGGGAATATAAAGGTACTTTAGATCAGACATCAAGAACGAAATTTTTCGTATAGCAGGCCTCGTGTACTTGTATAGTCAGTTGATTTGTAGACCTAAGTTACTGGGCCTCGCTTATTTTACATATTTATTTTGGCTTTATTTGGTGCAGTCAACAGAACAATCAAATTATACAAGGCCGAGACAAAGTAGTAGGTTTTTGTCTAATTCTAGTTTTTTCAAAATTTTGAACCAGCTATCAACAGTCAAAATAATTTTAGAAGTTTCCATTTTTAGGTCATAGATTCCTCAGATGTCGTCATCCAGGTATTTATCAATTTTCTTTGCGAAAAATTATTTCTCATATGAATCAAAACGCTTGTAAATCTAAATTTGGAACCGATTAACAACATGGTCAAAATTTTTCGTGGGCGCCATCCTCTGCCCCACCTGATGCCAAAGCCTTGAACAACCACTGAATGTATTAATGGTTAAAATATAGCTACTTATCTATCAATGCCGTAAAAAAATAATTTCTACAAATTCATCAAATTATTGCATCAAATTTCTAAATAACGACTTTCAATGTCTGCTGAAATAATTTGGAACACCCATGGATTTTTGAATTTCTTTGTATTTCATGTGTATTTCTTTGTTTTTATTATTTCTTTTCCCAAATATAACTGCTCCCTCCCTCTGCCCTCCAGAACATTGTTAAAAGTTTTGGTAAATGTCCTACTTGTCACACGACAGAGTGTGCTTATTCAATACCTTATCTTAGAGTAAACCAACATTGTTAAAAGGAAGAGAGGGGAATGACCAAACTCGAACTTGAAAAATTATGTTTGTGTTCCAAGACTTTTGGCACTGTAATCGTGGATTTGTTTTAGAATAATAATGGCCAAATTAAACTGCTTTTTGAACTGTTTGAAAAGTTCATTTTGCAGTTTCTGAGTTTTTGCAACTTGACTTTGTCTGTTTAGACCCATCCAGGAAACCACGTACTTTTATTTTACAGGTACTGGATGCACGTGACCCGATGGGCACCCGGTCGAGACATATTGAGAACTATATGAAGAACGACAAACCGCACAAACACTTGATATTCGTGCTCAACAAATGCGATCTGGTTCCTACGTGGGCTACGGTTTGTTATGATCTTTTTTGGGCGGAAATGAAGAATCCGGATAGGTATCATGTTTTGCTGGATGTCATTTTCTTAGGAGAGCGTTCCCTGACTCTAGGCGACCTGTGATTCTTTAATGCAGCCAAAAAAGTCCTCGACGTGTATGACACGAGGTTAATCGGGTTATCCTGACCAGATTCTTCAGTTTCGCCCCTTTTTGTCACCTATCAAGCATCCTTCTTAAAGGTTCTTAGGTTCAAAGCTGTTTACAATTGCAAAGAAGATACAAAAATCAAATACCTTAAGCCTCTTTGCTACGGGATGACATTTTCACTGAACATTTTGTTGCCTTCCAATACTCTATGCTGAAATGAAATAATAACAATCTTCAATATCTTCAACACATTATTTACTTATGTTGATAATTTTTCAAGGCTCACTAGAGTGGCGTAGGGCAGATTCAAGATCTGTGGTATAGCGAGTGGCTAAAATATATTTGGTCATGCTAATTTAACTGGGTAGCCAATCGTATGAATTTTCAGTCTTGTGTTGACATTATTTTTCAAGCAAATTGGCTTTTATGCGTACTTTTTCTGTTACGTTACACGTTACTGGATGCTCACACGCGGATATTTTTACATTTTTGAAGACGACCCATTTTAATCCAACTCAATACCAATAAAATTGCCAGATGTCCAAAAAATTAGGAACCAATAGAATCCCTATAAATCTCTACCAAACTCCCCAATGATTTAAACTGTAACAATGCAGCCATGCAATGCATAAGGACTCACAATAAAAATTGCATGAATATAATTTAGCTGCTTCGTGACGACAATAAAAAGGAACTTGTTTTGAACTTGAATATTCTGTTAACCAGATTCATTTTGCTAATCATACCGTCTTGATAAGCTAGCTTAATTTCGCACCGAAGGAACACGTAGGGTATTGCAAGTAAACGTAGGGTATCTGCTTTCCTAGCCTAGTTATTTTTATTCGACCTGTGTTATTCTGCCTTACAGAGGAGATGGATTGCAGCACTGTCTGCAGAATACCCCACGTTAGCTTTTCATGCCAGTGTGCAAAACCCGTTTGGTAAAGGAGCTTTGATTCAGTTACTCAGACAGTTTGGAAAGGTGAGCACTAATGTTGTTATCAGAGCAATTCTCTATAAGAATTGGGATTGTATCATCTCATGACGTAATTGTTATGCGCTGCTTTAAAGAATTTCCTGGATGGATTTCCTGGGTTCGAGTCTAGCTGCTGACGTTATTACAGTCTAACCCTAGCAATAAAGCTTATAAAAGAGGACAATTGGCCTTCTGCTAACAATCTGCAAACAGTCTCGTCAGGTGCTAGTATTTTATATAGATGTAGTTAGGATATAGTTTGCTTAGGAAGGACATGAGAATGTAACACCAATAATGAGAATCCAAAAAGAAGTAGTATTTCTTGTTATTAAGCAGACAAATAATGATCTGCTACATTTCAGTAATTAGAGTAATAGCCTGCACATAACGTGATTCGTCAGTTCCATGCATGAAATGCATTCTTTTGCCACCTTTTTGAGCTTTGACACGACGTCAACTATTTGATATTTATTCAAAAAGTAACTCTTTCATTAATTTAAATTCATTTTTTTCTAGCTTCATTCTGATAAAAAGAATATCAGGTACACCATCAGTTGAATTATTTCCCTGACTTTTCGTTGATCATTTTCAATTTCAATATTAATGGTTGTAACGACTTTCGCTCAAGTATATTTGTACTATCTTTACACTTAATCTTTTCAAGATATTACATCCAGTTTTAAAACCTATAACCTTTGTTAACGATTGCGAACTTACCGCAATCGGCCTACAATGACGTCAAATCTCAACCACTACTCAGCATGTAACGCGTTTGTTTGAAATGTCTATAATGCACCAAATGATAAAAATGTTCACCAAAAATGTTTAATACTCGGAATATGTTTTAACCCATTTTATCCATTTTGACCCATGGTAATTCTGACTCAAAAAATTGAAACCAAACCATGTGTCATACTCATTTATAATTGAAATTTCTCTCTAAATTTATAATTGAAACTGATTCAAACTGAAATTTATAATTGAAACTGACTCAAAGAATTGGAACCAAACCATGTGTCATACTCATTTATAATTGAAACTTCTCTCTAAAAATATCAAAATTAAAGTTTCTTACAGAAGAACTCAAATTCAGCTGTGCACAATGCACCCAGAACTTTAAGACAAAGTCTATTTTAACCCCGAAGAAGGCGATAAATACGTCTATGCCTCTAGTTAATTTATGAAACATTATCTCATTGTGAAGATTTTTTTTTCGTTATTAAGTTTTCTTGTAATATTCTTGGATATGCTTGATAGTAAATTCAAACAGTTATTGAATCCTCTGAATTTAATGCTATCTATGCAGTGTGGGTTTTATTGGATATCCAAATGTTGGCAAAAGCTCGATTATCAATACGCTGATGAAAAAGAAAGTTTGCAAGACAGCACCCATACCCGGCGAAACAAAGGTAACCAGCTGTTCATAGAAAAACTCTCTAGAAATTAACCCTTGTACTCTGGGGTCGGGAGTAAACAGGGATGTTCATATAAACGGGAGAGAGTCATGGCTAAGACTAAAATATAATAAACGGGGGGCTCGACCTTTTCTGTTGTGAGAGAGAGTATTGTTGAAAGTGATTGCAAGGACTTTCTGTGTTTCGAAATTTTAATCGAAAGTTTTCTTAGATGGAACAAGGGTTTGAAGTAAGGTGCAAAAAGTCTTCAAAATCTGTCAAAAAAAGACGGGAGCCCCCATTTATTTCCGACCTCTAATTAACTGTTATCATTGATTATCTGTAACATCTCCAATACATATTAAATTTCCTGCTTTATAACATCTCCAATACCCTTTTGATTAATTGAATTTCATGCAGTTTTCTTTATCTTGTCCCGCTTTCTACACTATACATCCTTTACAATAAATGTTTAAACGTCGATCAATGTTTGTCTTCATGCATGTCTACTATGTTCGGAAAAAGCAATATTGAAGGCATTTGACATGCATAAGTACAGCGAATCCAAAAATAGGTTAGGCCAAATTGATCAGAGCACGCGCACAAGAAAGGAATTTGAAACTGCTCACGTGAAACCACTGCACGCTGTTCTAGGATTTCACCGATTTGCAGAAAGGCGGAAACTGTTCACGTGTTCTTCTCTGTGCCCAATTTGATTGGTCAACCGCTCGTGGTCGAGTGCCTGTACGGCACTTTTACCTGTGTCAAATGCCTTTAACCATTTTTTCAGTGATTTACTTATAATTGGACTATATAAAAACAAACATGTTACTGTATGTTAATTATATTTATGTAAGGAACACCTTTGTTTAAAGGTTTGGCAATATGTGACCCTGATGCGACGAATCTATCTTGTTGATTGCCCTGGTGTTGTACATCCATCTGGAGACACGGAAACTGAAATAGTGTTGAAAGGAGTTGTGAGTATTTGCTGCCAAACTGATTCATATCATAAAATTAGATACTGTTTCATGTGTTTATAACCCTCCACCATTGATCATAAATCCCGCTTGCCCCTCCTTTATATTTTAGTTCTTCAGATCCAACGATAGACAATACGACCTTTGAGGAATTAGCCTCCCCAGCTCCCTAAAACCAATGCGATGGTTTATTTTCATGATAATTTAGAGGAATTATTTTGGGAAGCACGCTATCTGATACAGTAAAATTCCAAAAGCACATTCAGCAATATGGTAAGAGCTGGAAGGGAGATACTTGCAGTGGCAACATCTGCAGCTGATGGGTAATTAGATAGGTTCGTTTGCTTTAAATTGCAATTCATATGGAAAATCTGATGAAACAATAGGAATTCCACCAAAGGTGTCCGAGATCTCAATAGTATGGTTTGCCCCGCGTTGCTTATATTATAAGATGAACCTAATTGCTTTTGATTTGAGCAAGGTGACGTAAGATAAAAGTGTTATCGAATATTATTTTAATATTATAAGATAAATATTATTTTGCAGTCTCTAAAATGTTTTTACGAAGAGCACACCTCGTAAAAATAATATTTTGATTGTTTTTCAATATAAAAGATTTCTGCACATGAATATAATGCCATTAAACGTATTTGAAATGCTATATAGATTTCCCCTATCCGGAACAGTCTTACGCAATCTTATCTATTGCACATTAATAAAAAATTATGGGCATGAAAAATCTAAAAACTGATGTGATGACAACTAGAATGCTGCATTCATCTTTCAAATCATTACGCTAGGTGATTTATTCTCCAACTTTGAATTTCCTTTTTGCAATCATAGGTTAGGGTCGAAAATTTGGAAAACCCATCAGACCATATTGACGAGGTTCTAAAGCGTATCAAACCCGAGTATCTTGCACGGATATACAAAGTGACGTCATATGCGGATGTTACTGACTTTCTTGAACAGGTTGCAAAGCGGTCAGGTCGTCTGCTGAAGGTAAGATTTCTATTGTCAAATAGATTTTAATGATTTTCTAAAGAGGAATATTGATAAACAAGTGAGAAAGTCGGATATTATCTTGTTATATATTTGTTAGTAAAGGATACTGTAAGAGAAATCAGTTCCTCAATGAAGAATAAAAAGGGTGGATATGGGATAGGTTGTCGAAAAAGATAACTCTGTTCAAGGTTTGAAATAGAAGTACATTAACAAGCAAAATAAAAATCCCGAAAAAGTTTGGAGGTGAGAAATGAAATAATTTTTCTGTTTCAATGGGAGACAAGGGTAATTACTTGTTGAAGGTTGGAAGAAAGACCTATAAATTAATATTAGACTTAAATATATGAATTAGTCGTTTCTTGTTGCCAATTTGACATTTTCAGACGTCCAATGAGTTGGATGACAATAAGTTAGATAGAGATGTTTAATAGCTTAGCATGCCGGGATATAAGTACCGACCTCTTTTTAAAATTTTAGCGTTACTTTACAGGCAATCGATAATTTCAGAAGTTACTTAGGCCATCCGTCAGTCAGCGATTGACCAATCAATGAGTATGATGCCAGTTGCTTGCTTGTTGGTTTGCTAATATTGATTGACAGGTGGCTTAAGCCACTCAAGTATCCGTCAATTGCCATTAATAACATTTATTGTCATTTGTTTGTTCTTCTTGTTTAATAGGGTGGTGAAGCTGACACAGAAACTGTTTCAAAAATGATCTTAGCCGACTTTCAAAGAGGACGTTTGCCATATTTTGTCCCACCTCCAAAGCCAGATGGCTTTGAAGTATCAAACCAAACGAAAAAGATTGATAAGATCGAGTTTGTACCTGCCACAAATAATGAAAAAGCGGAAGGGGATAATGAAGTTGCTGAAAAGGCTCAACCGGAGAAGCGTGTCAAAGGAGTAAAGCAGGACCTAGCAGGTCTCCATGTTGAACCTGACTTTATCGAAGAAGATATAGAGGGTGATCCGATGGATGATAATGAAGACCTGCTAATTGACGGCGAGGAAGAAGAAGAGCTATTGTCGGCAGATGAAGATGATGTCAGTGAAGATGGTGAAAAAGAAACAGAAAACCAAGGTGACGAAGAAGTTAATGAAAGAGGGGGTGGCCAGGGTGGTGACACAGCTATGCTTGTTGATCTAACAACCACTGTTGAGGAGAATCTAAATTCTTTTGAGATATTACAGGAAGACAGAGATGGCAGGAAGATAAAGACAGACAAGAAGCAGTCTAAGGCTGCCAAGAAGAAACGAAGTGCTGATCAGTTGAAAAAGAAAGCAGGTGGTGATCTTTCTTTCACCGTGGTGGCCTCAGAAACGACATCTTCCGATGAGAATATTAGTGAAGGCTGTATTTCAAAAATCAAAGCAAAGATTGAGACCGAAGATGAGGAGCAGATACTGACTAGCCTTACTCCTGAAGAAAAAGCGTTTCTTGGGATTAAAGAAGATGAAGATGAAGATGATAGTGAAGAAGATGAAAGTGAAGACGAGGAAGAGGAAGAGATGAGTGATTATGGCGATGAAGGGGCTCAAAATAATAAGGATCAGGCAGTTGATGCTAAAGAAGATGAAGAAGATGACGAGGAAGAAGACACACGTGAAGAAAGGTAACCTGGCTGTCTCTTTGTATTCAAAACGCTTAATCATGCTAGCTTTAATAGAATGTTTGATTTTGGCATCTTTAGACGTCAAAACATTCTGAATATGATAAAATGGAGACCCGATTTCCATTCATTGTTGGCAATTTAAAGGCTCCTTGGTGCAAACTTAGCCTACAAAATACCATTTTTAGAATACTAGATTGGTCAGAAATGTTGATAATGATCTAGAAAAAGTAGTAAAATTATCTGCGTTCCTTATATCGTTCGCTCTAAATTGATGAAACCAAACTAGATAATTCATCATTTTTGCTTATTCTAGAGTTAAAGAAAAAGAAGGAAACAAACGTTCATCCATGAAGGACAGCAGAAATGTTTCTATTCCAACAAAATCTTCACAGAAAGAGGTGGTTTCGAGCAAAGTGAATACTCCACGTAGTCTAAAAGGAAAATCTACACAAGAGGTTAATTATGAATACGGTATGTCTTTCAAGATTTTGAGTTACATTTTGTTCTCTTAACTTTAACACCGAATAGGATCATCCTAGGAACAAACCCACAGTCCTAAACTTGCAAATCCGTAGCTGTGCGGTTAAGATCCTTCTGGTAATGCACTTGTAATTATTACTACCTAGCTTGTAGAGGTACGTTTAGGACACTGAGAAGTAATGCTTATCAAGCGGTGTCCTGGTTGTTCCTCTTGCTGCAACCACACCTCATGATTCTCATGCCTTGCAGAGAGCTGGTGACTGCCCTAACTCTGGGTAAAAGTTTGTTCATGGCAGGGACATGAGCCCTAGACCTTTGGGTCTGCAGTTCGAGGGCCTAATCATTGTATTTACGACACACAAGGTTTTCTAGTTTATTAGTTTATTATTTAGTGTATAAAGAATTTAAAATGAACTGAGATTAATTAAGGTGGTAGACCAGCCATTTCTATAGATGGAGTATGACATAACTGGCATTGGTGCAATGCATTTGTTATCTGTCTAGAGGGATACTGCCATTTGTTTACTTTCCTTGTCCCTGTTATTCTTTGGTCGGTAAAGAGCGTACATTTATTTGGAAAGTTTGACTTTAATATTACGTGCCAGAAACTCTGCACAGTAGCAGATGTACCAAATGGTACAAATAGGACCGACTTTGTGCCTGGAACCTGACGGGTTTGATTCGGATGGTTACAACTGTGGGGATACAACATTCAATAAAGCTCTGAAGAAATTAAGAACTCTGAATAGGTTCATGTGGATTCAACTTTATCGTGCTTGACTTTTAAAAGTTTTTAACTGACTAGCACAACGTTTTCGTGACCTGAAATTCATAAGAAAAATTTTCTAAAATCGAAAATATTATTTTGCCTTCCAGGCTCAGCGAGAAACTGGACAGTAAAGAATGACTCATCATACAAAATCTCACACAGTCCACATGTGTTATGTATCGAAGCTGTTGATATAAACACAGACAGCACACCAAGTAAGCTATTAATTGTTGCCTGTCCTTGTTAGCAGCTAACACTTTGCCTATGTTTGACAACAATAAAATAAAGACCTGTTTTAGGAATCATAGGAATCATCAATACTTCAAATGTGGTATATTTTCATGCGTGTCATATATCGCGAATCACCTTGATTAGATGCCTTGTTTCTCATTTGATTTTAAATACTGTCTTTTAAGGAATTTACACCTTTTGACACTTAAATGACCTGCAATAGACCGATGATTACACAAAACCCGCACAACGGTTGTCTGGTGATAGTATTTAAGCGTAAACTCAGTGTTGAAACGTAAAACAACGAAGTCCTAAACACCAAAGATTTTGTATCTCTGTCTGTACGGCATCGGGCACTGTTTGATAATCTGGTAAACAGTAATTTACATTAGACCTCGAATTAACATTTGGCCACCAATAGCAAAGTCTATTCCAACCAGATATCCTACTAATTTTATTGGTAAAAGGGCTTGGTTCATTTATTGGCAACAATTGAAGTATGTGTGTCACTTGCTTTTGAGAACAAGTTTTCAGCAAACATTAATGGAAATTGTTGGGTCAGGCGATGAGAAAATACCACCAAAAGGATTTTTTCGCTGCCATGTTTCAATTCGAAGCAATGAGCTTTCCTTTCTTCTGGAATTTGCTCTATAAAGCTATAAAAAGATTTGCTTGGTTGAGAAGCTATACCCGGATTACATAATGTACCACACATCATGAGAACTTAAACGGGACTGGGTGCAAACATTTAGTTTTTTATTTGCTGGATATTACTGTAACATTGAGATTATGATAGGGTTCTTATTCTTTTTTCGATCCTTTTCACGTGGAATCTCATTTCATTTGAATAAGCTAATATATATTTGTGGCATGGATATTCCTTGCTCGTTTAGAATTAATGTTTTATATACTTAGTTGTAATATTTAACTACATGGTCATTTTTGGTCTTTTAAGCAGTAGATATCAAACTTTCATCCCAATCCTGAAAAAATACTCCTTCTAAACTGTATTTATGATGTCAAATGTCATTACACTACCATCGCACCGAGAGAAAACCAAAAAGTAAACATAATTAGGTTTGCTGTATAACCTAAAAAATTACCTCTTTTTTCAACCTAGGATCAAAAGAAAACAGAGAACAGAAAATGAAAAGACGATTCAGTGATGACAGTGATAGTGAAGACGAAGGAACAAAACGAAAGAGGGTAAGATTGATGTTTCAACCTTGTTTTGATTTTATAGTACATTTTAGCATAGAACGATCACTATTTGCAAGTCAAAAAGATATACTTGAGACCCTTGAGACCTATTTCTAACCAAGATACACTTTAGCCTACTTTGATAAAAGATTTGGTTTTAATATCTATAAACCTGTCTTGAAAAGTCACATAAATTCGCATATTATTTGGCTTGTATTTTATTGATATGTCCTAAAGTTGAATTGGGAAGGGGGTGATTGGTTTTTTCGTAAGTTTGCTACCTGTTTTGTGCCAGTGCTTATTACCTGGAAGCTATCCATGCTTTCGTAGATTTCTTAGAATTTTTTCATTTGATTGAGTTTCAGTATAAAAATATATGGTCATTGTGATTTTAAATTCAATATTTCCTTGCATGATAAAATAATATTTTGCCATTTTCATGTACTGATGGTAAAGTATCATAACTCCCATCTGATCCGTTTAAACACTGATAAGAAAGAACATCTTCTTATATATTGTAGCATCTAAATTTGCATTATTTCGTATGTTCTTTTAGAAAGAGAAGAGGATGACGACAAACAAAAAGAAGATAGGTGTTCATTACTACCAACAAGCCAACGTGAAAAATAAGAATAAAAATAACAAGACTGGCAAGGACAAGAGAAACAGTAATGAATCTTTTAAAAGTAAGAAAAACCGCAATACGAAAAAGAATAAAAGATAAATTGTTGTATTTTTGTTATTGATTTAATTCCTGTTGTTATCTTTAAATATATATTTGTATTTTCCTTTCTTTGCATATTTCTTTATCCAGACATTTACTCTTAATGCTAAAGGCACTAAAGAATGTGCTCGTCTTCATATGAAAAACCTTTTCAAAAGGCGCAAGTTTTTAATATGTTGTGTAACTGAAATACCAACATTGAGGATCGAGCAGGGTCAGATACTAAACATCACCAGACCAGATAATGTAATAATGAAGAAAGAAATGAAAATTACTGTTTGCCGGTCTGTCATAAAGCGCTCGATACCGTACAGGCAGAGGTGTTCAGGCCACCGTTGCCTGATGATCGCATTAACCGTGAAATTAGGTGTAGCAACTTAGAACCGCCCTAATCTATGCACCAAATAGCGTAATGATAAAGAAAGATGTAAGTTTCCATGAGAAATGGTATATCTAACCCAGGAATCTGAACACAGACTTTTTATATGATCTTTTAGAGCTGTTGAAATAATCAAGTATCAGAAGCACAATTATTTTTGTGTCGTTTCTCGAATTATAGGTGTTCAGGATAATAACGATCAATCAATCAATCAATCAATCAACAACTTTATTAATGTGTCAAAAATATTTAGTTTATCTTATCGCACCACAATAACAATAAAGAAATTGATATTGTGGTGCGATAAGATCCTGTTTGTCTATTGCTTGCACGGTTCGAAACTGCATGCTTGTCAAAAACAGTCCGAAACAAAACAAAAAGATCACATAGTGCTCTTATTTTGCTTCAATAAATTTTCTGATTATTCCTGTTAAAATGTCACCACGAAGCTTACATGCATTTGCCATAGCTACTTTCATTTTGTTTAGCACATGATTTTGAAGCTGTATCGCCATATGTGATACTTTCACACCTCTTATGTCAATTGTATTCTGTTTGTAGTTCGTCGCGGTTTCTAGGTTTCTTAACTTCAGCCTTTTGTGGGTAGCAATTTCTTCCAAAGATACGTATAGAAACTTCCGTAACGAAAGTGTCCAGACATCCAGACAGTTTCTAATTTGGGTGGAACGTGTTATGAGAAAAACTTCTCTACAAATGAAATCGCAATTTTCACAAAAACTTTTTGAAGAATTTCCTTGAAGCTTCTTGGCTTTTTGAATTATCTATGCATCAAAACTTCGACTTTATCGCAAAAAAAGTTATACAGGCTTTTTGTTAAGGTTGTAACGACCAAAAAGAGAAAGAACTGACTTACAACCTGCGTCTATGAATAACAGTTTATCATAATAATAAAAAAGCTGTCATAAAAAAATTTGGATAAAAGAAGCGTAAAAATATTGGTGAGACAGGACAGGAAGATCAATATCTCTAGCGACACCAAGCCCAAAATTCCGTGACGACCGATTTGCATCAAAATGGGTTTGCGTCATTGTGACAAATTGCGGCAAAAAGATTGCAAGGAAAGTGATTAAAAAGTATTATAAAAGTGTATCCTTCAAGCGGTCGATTAAGGTCAGACTTGCGGCCTTAGGTCTAAGATCTGCTGGATGTTACCAAATTTTATGCTTACTTTTGATCGATCTGTCCCATATCAATAATTTTCCCAACTTAATCACATAAATTAAAAATAAATATATATACAGTGGAATGCCGATGTAACGACCTCCAAAGGAAACAAGAAAATAGTTTGTTATATCGAGAGTTTGTTAAACCGGGAGAAAATGTCAAGCTCTGTGCACCTTTTACTCAAACTAACAAGCTGGATACAAGTATTATGATGGTCAGCGATGAAAATCTTGTCTACCACACATTTGGCATTCTGTGTGTTGGCTTTTTCACTGAAATTTCATAAAGCTTTGAAAAGGTGTTACTTTTGCACGCATCTCATCTCCATTTTCAGCATCATAAAAAATACATGTTTGCCGATGTATGTTTTACCGATTCCAAAAATGATTTTTCCCCAATGATTTTTCAAGCAATAAATGATCACCGGAATGAAATGAATAAAAAAATGGATGAAGAATTTATGAGCTCGTTATATCAACGGTAATTATGATGAAGAGACCTAACATTGAGTTCGTTGTTTCCAGGGTTCCCTGTACCAAGAGAATTTTTAAGGAGTTTGTTAGGCAGAATCCAAGGGACCAGATACTTAATTCGTTATACCGGGAAGTTCGATATATCCAGAGTTCGTCAAATCGGTAATCGCTATTTTTTCCTAGTACACTTTATCTTAGATTCTTAGTTATTTTATATTATGTGTTCCAGCGCGCAAGCTAGTAGTAGATTCGTAAAATCAAATATAGGTTGTATTTTGATATTTTTTAAAAAAAACTGTGTCTCAAGAACGAGTTTGTAAACAATAGCCATGTCTCATTTACGCATTCGGACTGACTCCCTGTGACCCGAATTTGCTGTTCTTTGTTGATTTGTGCAAGACTTGTAGCGTAAATGTCTCTTAAACAAAAATGCAGAAGTTTTGCGACATTTTATTTCTCTTAGTTCGTTTTGAAAGTGTTTCTCAAAAACCCATTGTTACCAAATTAAGGTGTCATTGTCGCAAGTCTGACTCTGCTGTTGTTCGAAAGGGCAATCGATCGTTGAACTGCCCGGATACTTTCTTGATGTAAGTGTACTCCGTCGATTTATGTTACTACAAGGGTATCAAAAGTAAGTATCTTTAGTGTCGCAAAATGTAACCGCCATGCAGTGCGAGAGATAATTCTTTCCCCTCTACCATCAAATTTGTTTGGCCGTCCACTTCTTGGTTTCTTTGCCACTGAACCACTTTCAATAAAACTTTTAAAAATTCTAACAGTTGTTGAGTGGCTACACCCAACTTGCTCAGCAACTTTATGATAAGACAGTCCACTTTCCCGCAAATATTTTATAGCGACTCGCTTCTCATTTGTTTGCTCTTCCTCTTTAAGCATGGTCTATATTTTAACAAATAAAATTTTTTTTGCCTAGTTTATACATTTCTAAATATGTTTTCTATGGCGTCAGCAAGATAATCAAAACTTTCCCGCCAAAATTTGCTATAAGATGCGCCTATTTCACCCAATTCACGCATCCAAATGTTTGTTGTTTTTATCAAAAAGTTGACAAAGTCTGCCGCCATTTTGAGCAAGGTGGTGCAATACTTTTGATATCCTAGTGTATTATTTGTCATAAAATGCTATTTTTTTAAAATCATGTCGTCGGAAAAAAATTGCAGCACAAGAAAATATTCATTCTATCAGGCTGTTTTTGCATTTCTTCTATACAATGTATGCAAGAAATGATACCAACCAAGGACATTTTATTTTTTCAATCAAATCTACTACTCAATAGCTTATTACTAAGTAAACTTGTAGGAACGATGTACGGAGTCCCTTGTCGTGGGTTCGAGACCTGCCCTGGTAGTCTCACTCGCTCACATTTTCTCTCAGTAAGTAGTTTGACCCAAGCATGCAATTTATAAATGATCACAAAAGTCTGAGCTAATCAAATCGGAGAGCGTGCATTCATAATTGCTTTCATCAAAACTTCGTTAATAAAATATTAATTGCATGACACTGAATCGAATATTAGAAAATCTTTTCAATATTTTATCGGTTGCTATGTACTTCTGACTCTGTTGCTAACATCAATACATTACGATCATTTGTGGGCATGCGCAAAAGGGAAAGTTGTTAACGGGCCTAGGCGGCAAACTTGATTTGGATCTTGACCATAACATACGTTGATAGGAAGTTTTGTTACTGACATCAATAATGTCTACAGATATCGAAGGACATATATTAAAGAAATACGAAATAAAGAAGCGGCTTGGAAAAGGGGTATGTTTCTGTTGGCTGCTCTAGATTTGTAGAGTTGAGCCTATTATGATGTGATATTGTGCGAGTAGTTTTCTACACCAGCGCATCCAAAACCTTGTGAAAGCTTGACGGTAGCAACCAGATGTCATGTGTTTGCTTATCAAGTTAACGGTTGATTATAAAGGTGCAGAATTCAAATCGTGGTAGCCATTACGAATTGATTTATGAGGGCCTTCCGCGCTGAGTATTTTCATTACCGAGTTGGATGATCTCAAAACTAAAATTATATTGATGCGCGCAGGCCGTCTTAATTAACTTCCCAAGGCATCATATTACTAAAATGAAAAACGCAATGAAATTTTTAAAAATTTGCATCTTTATGTTATTTTAGATAATACTATTTTGGTTTGAGACGGACTTAAACACAAGATATTCAATACTTCAAACTCGAAGTTAAAAACTAAGACAGCTGATTAAGAATTGTTTTTAGACTTTGCAGGATATGCTATAAAGTATTTAAACTTTCCAATATTAACACGGTTTTAGATGTGCTGCTGTTTAAACATAGTATATGTCCATACATTCTCACAAAGAGCAGATGACCCCTCATTTGTTTTCATATATCATGTTATCCCTCCACTGTGGTCTACTGAGCTTACAATGACCCATCCCTAGATCTTGCCAACGACTAACAAATAATTTGTTTGTAATACCCATATGAATTGGGTTTGTAAAGTACCAGAAGATAGACAGGATGCTTCTTACATTTCTTTCTAAAAATGACAAAATTATTCTGGATTTTGATTTTATGCTTTAATTTCATACAAAAAAGGGTTTTACTAAAATTGAATCCATAATATTGAACCATTTAAAAGCTTGAAGAAAAGACTAAAAATCAATGTTCACTTTTCATTCACCAGGCATATGGTATTGTTTGGAAAGCAATAGATAGAAGAACTGGGGAGATTGTTGCTTTAAAGAAGATATTTGATGCTTTTCGGAACCAAACTGATGCTCAGGTAAGGAGGGGGAATTATTGTTGAAATATTACTAAAAAAAAGTTGACAGTGAATAAAGATGAGTCCTGTATTTTATCTTTATGCAGGGAAAGTTGCTGGCCATTTAAATTCCCAATTACATTATACATTAGACTTATTTTTACGGAGCCAATTGGCTAACCTTCAAAGCCTATTGTTAACTCTGAATGGTTGACTGGTAGGACATAGTGCCTTTAAAGACAAATTCTCTCTTGAGTATAGATTTTATGGATCTGAAAATGACAGTACCTTTCTGTATGTGACCCATTGGGGCATGAGGTTAACACCTGATCCAAATGATGAACAGACAAATACCCAGCAACTTTTCTTTTAGGTGTACATTTTCTCATAAGATTTTTATCAAGTTTTATGGTCAATATATATAGGGCACCTATTCAAAACTTCTTACACATAATATTCCAATAATAACCTTTTAACTTTTTCTTTGCAGAGGACATTCAGAGAAATTTGCTTTCTACAGGTGGGCTAATTTTTATGAAACCTTTGAGTTACTAGGATATTATATAGTTTTGCTACCCTATGATACATAAATTCTAAGGTGGAATGACAAGGATCCTAAATCTTTCTTTCATCATTTTCACCTTATCCACCATTAAGGCATATTTGCCTTTGGGCTGATTTAACTGTCTGTCAAAGGCACAACTGCTTGTTTCAATATTTTTATGTGTGTCCTTGCTTTTGTTGGTAAATTAAAGTAATATTGTCCTTTTTCCTGCAGGAATTTGGTAATCATGACAATGTCATTAAGTTACTCAATGTCATAAAGGCTGAAAATGACAAAGATATCTACCTTGTTTTTGATTTTATGGGTAAGGATCTTTTAATTTCATAATGGTATACTAAGGCAGGCCTGGCCGTAAGACTTTTAACAGGGGAGCAGAAAACAGCTCTCCTATAAGTATTCAGGTGAGCTATAAGAATAGAAACAAAGGAAAAATTGATTTCAAGGAGAGCAAATTTGCTTTTTAGAGCAATTTAGGAGAGCAATATCTAGCTCCCCTCCAGCGTTTGAGGAGAGCCTGGAGGGGAGCAAGAGCTATGGCTCCTCAAATGGCCAGGCCTGACTAAGGCCTTCTATACCAAGACTATCTTCTGTTATATCAAACTGCAAAGTTTCTTTTTATTTTTCTAAATGCACTAATCATGCCACCCCTCCCCCTTCTCCTCCCAATTGATTTAGGCAATTCATTTTATCCCAATCCGAAGAGCATAAGCTAACCCCTAGTCAAGATATGTCAAGATAGATTTAGAACTGTTTTGAGGGTAATTGCAAATGTCCCTTTGGTGTGATTCTAAAACTAGCAATGCTATCACAGTATTTATTCAGTAGTTGCCTGACATTATACAGCTGCTGACTAAATAGTAGTACCCTGTATAGAAGTCCTTATATGTTGGTATTGGTGTTAACCACTCTGTTGACTATATACATTTTCTTTTAGATACTGATTTACACAATGTAATAAAGAAAGGAAATATTCTAAAGGATGTACATAAAAGATACATTATGTATCAGGTATGTTTTTTTCAGTTTTAAAGCAAATCAGGTTAGATGCCTGCATTAGAGGCAGAGGCAACAAATACGACAACCTGCTGCTAATCAAACACTTCAATAACACAATCGCTAAATTAATTGCATAATTCTAACTAAAGAATTGATCAGACAGAGGATATCCATCATATTTTGTTTATTTATATTTTTTGATGGAAATTTCATCATATTCTCCAGTAGACTGTTTCTTTGTGCATCAAAAATCGCTTGTAACAATTACTTCAAAAGGTGTAGAAATTTCACAAAACAAATGTATATAGTTAAAGCTTTGTAGCAATGTAGCTTTTAATCTTTAGGCATAGGTGTAGGAACTGGGGGGCACGTGTCCCCACTTTTCAGAAACAGACGAGGTAAAGTGGCAGCTAATGGAAGTGTCCTTTTGCCTTCACAAGCCCCCCCCCCCCCATTTTTGAAATGCATGCTACATCTTTGTCTATAGGTAGCAGCTATGGGTTGCAGGAACCACACAATTAAGCCCCAATATATTGATATATTTTGAAGCAAAGATTGCTTTCAATGCCAAATTGAATTTCATCATAATGTTTAATCGTCATTCATTTCTTTACCATTCATTTCTTTGTCGTTCATTTCTTTTAAGCTTCTAAAAGCCATGAAGTATATACATTCTGGAAATGTAATTCACAGAGACATTAAGGTATGAAACATAACTGCCAAAATTTTAAAAGATATTTTTCATCACTCAAGGTGTTTGTTATGTTTTTATTTTTCTTTTATATCATAGATTTTTCACATATCCAAGTTACCCTGATTGTTTAAGACCATAGAACTTGTCATGATTTAATGCAAATTGTTGCATTCGGAAGGCTCAACAATGGGGATGAATATTACAATAGTATCAACATTTACTTTAGAGGTTAATAAACCTTAGAGATGAATAGGGATGAATATTACTGGAGTATCAAAATTTACCTTAGAGCTTTTCAATGCAGATTAAATGCAATGCAGATTAATTATGATATATGATATATGGCATTTCTATACTTTCTATTTATCTCATTTTTTTTTCTTTTTAGCCAAGCAATGTTCTCCTTGATGCTGATTGTTTTATCAAGGTAATGAACTCCATTCATCCTTTATCAAGGTTCCCATCATTGTAATGAACTCAAAGCTTCTCTGAAGAATTTAGGATACACATCTCATATATTTAAAATGCAGAGCATGATATACCAGTTTGTAGACATTCTATCACACCTGAAAGGTTTATTTCCCTAAGAATCAGTACTTAATGAATATCTCAAAGCACTTTGAAAGCAAATTTATAAAAATTTTATCCTAGGCTTTGCTTTATAGTGGTCAGTCATATTCAATTAATTTTAAATTTGGATTGATTTATTACTTTTCTTTTCAAGATTTGTGACTTTGGTCTAGCTCGCTCTATTTCAAGTTTGAAATTTGAACCTGGAGATCCTAGCCTGACTGACTATGTAGCAACTAGATGGTATAGGGCACCCGAAATCCTTCTGGCATCACCTGTGTGAGTGTACAAAATCTCTTTACATCTCTTCTGGTATTTTTTGTTTTTTCAATGCACTTGTTTGATTCTTTAGTTCAAGTTTGTATCATTAAATGTATTTCAAAGAAAACATTTAACCAAAATTTTTGGATTCTACAGGATTCTGCAGTTGTTAAATTTGATCTAAAAGGCACTTGAGAAATACTGAAGTTGCTTTAGCTATCTGTCAATAAACCTTTGTCCAATCAATTAGCGCCTGGGTGGTATCATGCTTATAATGTTCTAAAGTGTGACGTCACAAAAACTATTTTTAGAATTTTAGAATTTTGACCACATAACATGAAAGAACACCATAAAATACTCCCATATATGCAAAATAAGTTAAATTTGTCAAAAATCGGGTGAGCTATGGCCAATAGAAGATTTGAAGTTTGCTAAAATTACAGAGAGGTTAGATGGGGCCAGAGCTTGTGCTCATTTGGTCATATCCCAGCCAATTCGCAATGCCTTTAACTGATTTTGCAGATTTAGAGGTATTTCATGGTGCTCAGGTTATGGGAAAAAATTTCAAAAATTCTAAAAATATATTTTTCTGACGTTACCGCTTGACAACTCTATTGATTGGCTAAACTTGCTTGACAGATGGCTTAAGCCACCACAGTATTCAATAATCCCTTTTAAGTAAGATACACTCAAATTATATTTGTAACCAACTTGCATCACTTCTAAATTAACTATTATGTGTTATTAGCATCTGTTGGCTCGAATCGGTATAAGTAAGATGCCATATACAGTTGCCTGATGACCTAATTAAGCATAAAACTGGAAGCAAAAACTTAACATGTCCTCTTCTATATACTCAAATAACGCAAATAAAGATTTTTGAATTCTGAAATAAAGCAATATAAAGAAATTTTACTCTACAGTTAAAATTTCTCATGTTCTACAGCTTTTTTACATTTGTCTTATTCTGTTACCAGGTATACCAAGGGAGTGGATATGTGGTCAGTTGGCTGTATTTTGGGAGAATTATTATTAGGTAACAATTATGTTTCATTACCAAGCATTCATTACAAAGTAATAAATACTCTTTAACTAAACTTATTTAAAAGTCAGCTTGCAAATTTAGATATTTTGGAAAAGAAAAGAAAATAAAATAATCTATATCTTTCTATCTAGGTAAACCACTTTTTCCTGGATCATCAACATTGAATCAAATTGAGAGAATTATGTCAGCCATTCCAACACCTTCTAAATATGGTGAGAATGTTTTTTATTCACTTTGTGTGGTGTTGTATTAAATATGACTGAAACGTAAGCTAGGTAATCTTAATTGCAAATTTCAGGGACATACACAAGCTGTATCCAGGGATGTAACTATAAAGAATTTATTGGAGGAAGGAACTTTCCTTTGTGCTTTGATTCTCTTTAGATTGTCAGTTGTAGGATTAGTAGATCAACTTGCTTCTATCATCTGATGCCATTCGGAAAGCACTGCTAGCAATGAAGAGTTGAATGGCTCTTGTTTAATACCATGCCAGTAGTACATTAACTTTCACTTAAAGCTTCACTGAGTTAAAACTTTTAATGGTTTTAGCATCCTTTAATATTATAAAATGTAAGGATGCTAAAACCATTAAACTTTTGCAGTTATAAGATTGGCAGCCTTAAGGGTAGCATGCAACAACTATTAATCTAGTCATGACAAAGATATCCTCAGGCACTGAGCCATCAATATGTCCATTTGCCTAGTTATCTCCTATGAAGGGTATAAAAAACTCCATTAAATGGGACATTTTTCTATTTTCTTGCAGATCTAGATAGCATAAAATCAGCATATAGTAGCTCATTATTTGACAAGTCATTACACAGCAGAAGCAGACGGTCTTTAGAAGAAATGCTCCCAACTGCCTCAGGAGATGGTTTGGATTTACTGAAAGCACTGCTTCATTTTAACCCTGCAAAAAGACCAACTGCTGAAGAGGCATTGAACCATCCTTTTGTGGCTAAATTCCGAAAACCAGCAGAAGAAGTTTCACTAACATATGACATAGTACCTCCAGTTGATGATGATGTGCAACTTTCTGTAAACGAATATAGGGACAAGCTGTATGAGGTATAGTAACAGGCTTTTATACCCACTTTATAGTAAGAGCCTACTGTTATGTTCTAGGAAGGAACAGAAACTTGCTAGAACAGTGGCTCACAATCTCTTACATTATTCATGTTTTTATAGATTTTTTTAAATGTATTTCTTTCAATAGATTCCCTGTGAATAGAGGTAACCTTAATTTCCTTGAGCATTTCATATTATTTCATGTTATGCCCATAGAGCATTATAAAGAGAAAAGCAGAAGTACGTAGACAAAGGAGAGAAATGACTGCCCAAAGAGAACAAAGACCAGCTGCCGAACAAAGTTCACGTCCACAAGCAGTTGCTGCAGCTAGAACAGATGCAAAAAAGTCATCACTCTCTAGCCGGCCAGTAAAGACAGAAGCTGTATCCACTGCAGCTGCAATGACTGCTGGACAGTCAGCTGTGGCTAATGAGGCTGCTGCTCCAACTACAACTGCTGCTGGAGCAGCAGAGTCACCTTCAGGTGCTAATAAAGCCACAGTAGCGTTTGGGCGCACAACAAAGCTGCCACCATCCCAACCTCAAAGACAAGCAAAGTCAGCACCGCTACACAGAGTACGAGCAGGCAGTGCTGAAAATCTCAATGTAAGCCATGGATATATAATTTAATTTGATAGAAGCATTCCATTTGTATGTTTGACATGCATGACATGAATGTTTATGTTATCACCTACAGTATAAGAAAAACAGGGAATTGCTTTTGGACACTCAGTTCCAAGTAGCATGCTGGTGGCAAAGTTTTTCTCATAAACCTTTACTTTATTGTGTATAATACTTGATATCTGTGTACTATACTTTGGCTATGTGATTTCTTCTTTGATTATTTCAGACAAAAACAAGTCCAGTAATTGGTAGGTCTCGTCCAATTTCAAACATTGCCAACCAGAACAAGAATAACAACATTCTGATGCGATCATCATCTCTCGACAAGTTATCATCACTATCAGTTACAAGTGCCAGGATGGTATGCATCTAAATTCTTTCTTCAATGTCAACCATTTTCGTTTCAGAGTTAAACTATCGGGCACTGGTTTAAAAAACCTGCATAAATTCACATTTATTTGCAGATTAAGTTTTAAAATGAAGATTAATCTGGACTTACTTATTAATGCTAGAGCATAAATGGTAAAATAATGTGTGACAAGTCTTGACATCAAAGTAAAAATTAAGGAAAATCACGTCTCTTACTACTTACATTTTCACAAAGCAAACAAAACAAAACAAAACAAAAAGATTAACATATTTTACAAGTTTGGGCATCAAGTAACTGAATGCATGTTTACTCTTAAAAAAATGATCTGACATGATATGCACAGGGGCTGGGAGAGCTGCAGCCCCCTAGTCAGTCAATATCTATCGCATTTCAGACTCTATTTGGGCAATTCTGTCTCAATGGAACAAATACATTTAGTAAAGATCCATATAAAGCCCCCCCCCAAAGGTTTTGCATTGGCTACTGGTGATATGGTGTTGTTTGCCTCATTTCCAGTCTCTCTTTTTACCCAACAGATACCCCAGCAACGTCAACAAACAGCCCAAGAAAGAAGTCCTGGGTTTCGCCCAGGCAGAAAGCCAAGACCAAGCAGTGGAAATGGTGGACTGGCTGCTAGTAGCTATACACAGACTCATGCAACAATTAGTAAAAGTTTGTTGTCATCACTGCAGACGAAACAAAGTCGATAGTTTTTAAATATTAGGTTTTGTCATTGAAACAAATTTCATATCCTCTTTACCAAAATGAGGTATACAAATGCAGCAGAAATTCTATAAAATAGAGGTTTTTTGTTAAGTTTAAGTTAACTAGGATTTTATTATTTACTAACTTTTTCACAATGCTGATCTGTTGGGTATTACAATTTTCTAAGGTGAGGAAAAATTTCATTCAAATCAAAACATTGTGTGACAGGCTTGCATTTTTACCTTAGAAAAATAGAGCATAATTCCAGGTGATTTGCCCTTTTTTAATAATTGAAAGAAGTTTTATTTTAGAACTTAATAAAATTTTAAGTACTGTAATTATGAGACATAGTGAAAATCGTTGTCTACTTAAAATATTTCAAGTTAATAAAGTTCAGATGTTAAAAATATAAACACCTTCTAAGTTGCTTGTAAGTTTGTGTTTGTTTTATGGAAGACGTGTTGATATTTTGTGAAAATCTTCTTGAAACTATTGTCCTAGAAGCTACCAAATAAAAGCCAGCAAAGAAAGATTTTCAATATTAAGATCCTTAAGGTCTAATCTTGGCTCTTATTTCTTAAATATGATATTGCATAATTGTACCTTTTGGTTGTCTTAGAGGTGACTTTGCCATCTACTTGGAGGTAACTTCACCATCTACTTGGAGGTAGTTTTACCATGTGGTGATTCCTTCATGTAAAGAGCAGCACTGGGTCCCCAGGGACGAAAATAAGTTGCTAATTTTGGAGGGGCGTGGAAGGATGAAAATTCCAACTTTAAGTGAGAAATTTTTGATGCGACCAGTAAATCTACTGTACCCACCAAATTGATATTTGTAAATAGCCCGAACACCATAGTTCTATTTTCTTTATAATTACCAAAACCTTACTCAACAAATAGCCTAAAGCATAAAAGCCTAAATCTCTAAATTTTGATTACCATGAAACAAAAATTTAAACTTGCTGTAAGAAGTAAAGCAACATTCAAGCAAAACCAGTATTAGATATACTTAACGATTAGTAGTATTCTTTCAGATCAATTGATCAATTTTATCTAAATTGATCAATTGATCAATTGATGCAGATCTATGTATCTAAAATTCCTTTTTTTTCACGATATAGAAGCACCCAGAATTCGAGCCTTTTATTTTTGTTCTTGATCGAAGAAAACTACTAACACTTTTCAGAGGACCAAATGCCTTTTCGTTCTTTACAATTGAAATGATGATTTGAGAGCAAACTTGTGCATATGCCTGATTCGAAAGATGAAACACTCTTCTTTGATCAAATACTTCTACTGCAATTTTGCAATGTGTTCTTGCTTCACAGCAGTTTTGTCATAGGAATTTATGATAATGAGTCAAGGACGTTAACAAATAACAGGGGGAGTTTAGCATAAACTCCTTTTTTATAAGAAGCGTTAAGAATTTTTAGTACTGAAAGTTTCTTAATCTTTTATTGAATTAACTACTCGTAGTTTCTTAAAAATCTCCCACTCTAAAATTTTCTGATCAATGCGGGTATTATTATTCCAAACTGTAAAGTTTCAAGTTTCTTATCCGGAAATTCACCTTGCCTGTTCGTAATTTGATTCAACTCCCATCAGAAAGAAAGCAAACGGGGCAATTGTGCAATTTGGATCCAGTGGAGACGGGATTCACAATAGAAAACGATAAATGGATGAGTCAGATTCAGCCTGTGAATTTTGATGTTTAGAATTTTTACATTTGAAATAAAAAAACTTCTTAAAATATAAAATTCATAAGTTTGGACTTAAGAAAAAAATCCAAGTCAACCGTTAAGTTTTCCAACTGTAACTGGATTTTCCAAACTTTGGGGGGGCGTTACGCCCCCCACGCCCCCCTATTATTTACGTGCCTGTGGGTCCCTGACAAAAGATGGTATATGATAAGTACCTAGCTAGTGGTGGCTGTTGTTCAAGTAAAACCCTGACCATTTGCATAGTAGATTTGCATATTTTTCTCCAATGCAGGCCCGTAGCCAAGGGGAAGCATGGGGTGGCAATACAAGCTGTTTTACACCCCAATAATTTTGTCTCTAAATTTTTTAATGGTAAGCAACGACACTCAAGTAACCTTGATTTCACAAATAAATAATCCCGTCATTTATTTCTTGATTGTAAATACACCAATTTAATTAGAATTATCCCTTTGAAAATTCTTCTGAAATATTTTTCTTTGTGCTAATTTTTGACTTCAGAGTGGGAATGAGGACCAGAATTTTAGTCCACATGTAAGTTTACATGAAACCAGCACTCGTTATATCGATTGCAACTCTGCTAAAACAGCATGGCATATATGAGATTCTGCATCTATTAATTTATTTTCATGGTTTTCAATGGATTGCCATAACAATTCGAGTCACATTAATACTGACAGAAGAAAAATTGTTTATTTGTATCTCTTATTAACGATATATTACCCATATATTATGTTGATTGGGGTCTCGGGTTATCTTTTAAGGTGGTGCCTGGTACTAAAAAAACTTTCGCTGCTAAGCAATGCTTGCTGAAACCTCTGCCCCTCCTCCACAGGCCTGGCTACGGGCTTGCTCCAATGTAATTCAAAAGGAAGCATTTCTGATATTCCCTGTTTCCGAATTTTAAAAGAAGGCAATTTGGTCCCAAATTTTAATTTTTCTGACATCCGTTACCTTAGCCAGTCACTATTTCACCTTTCTATGGAAAAATTCATGTTCTCAGTTTTATAGCAAATAACTCCATTTATCTGTCCATGCCGTTCGGTCTTGGACATCAGTAGATTAGCAGAACAGCCCAAAGTGTCGCGTGCGTTTTTGTTTTGGCCAAAAGGCCTATGTTTCTGATTGTCCAGAAACGTAGGGACAAAAGTATCAGAGCGCACAATGCCCCCAAGACACCGTAGGTCCTTTTCCATGGAGCAGCAAGTTTCCTTTTTAGGCTGAATTTTTACTGTCACTGCATCCTTTTTGCCAGAACTTTTTTATGACTGGTGACAATAAACAAGAAGTGCCCTTCTAAAAGTTGTGCCCCCTCCTGCTATGTCGGAAATGCAACTACTTCTATGATGCCCCTGCAAGTTTCCAATTTTTTTACAACAGAAAAACAACTTAATTATTTTGAAAAACTTTATGAAAGGGTCACCTTTGCTCTTTTTCCTTTCTCCTTTGCATTCCAATTCCGAACATGCGTTGGCGTCAGCATCTTCAACCACATTTCGCGCCTTTTCTGAGAGGTCTGGTGACTATTTTCCCTTGTCTTATATACAGTCCATGTATACAGTCAGAACTCCAGCAAACAAGCCTTTAAAAAGCTGCCCTGAAGAAGTAAACCTTATTTCATATCCTAAATTCAAAGGAGCTATAAAGATTTGACGAGTGTGCGGTGATTTGTGTGACATGAACCCGTTTCTATGAACAAAGTTATTGTCAAGAAGCACACGTTTCTTCGCGGTTTTTAACTTGACATGATCAATTTTTACATTTGTAAGTTTACATTAAATATGTGAACCATTCTCAACTCGGACGTGCGATTGATCCAACCATTGATCTCATTACTATAAGATTTAATTTCTGGTCTCATGGACCAAAATAATGATAAATAACTGTTAATTTAAAGTATCAGGTAGCGTTTAATTCAAAACATTGCTTCCTTATTTTATGTAACATGAATTAATATATTGAACTAATTGTTTAGAAATAAGTGGAGCTGTTTAATTCTAGTCGGATGGCGGAAAGCAACGACACTCAAGCCACTAACCTTGATTTCACAAATAAAAAACTCGTCATTTATTTCTTGATTGTAAATACACCAATTTAATTAGAATTATCCCTTTGAAAATTCTTCTGAAATATTTTTCTTTGTGCTAATTTTTGACTTCAGAGTGGGAATGAGGACCAGCATTTTAGTCCACGTGTAAGTTTTCATGACACTAGCACTCGTTATAGCGATTGCAACTCTGCTAAAACAGCATGACATATGTGAGATTCTAAATTTATTTATCTATTTATTCATTTATTAATTTATTAATTGCCAGGCATGTGTACACTCATTTTCCAGTTTGACAAATGAAATGAAAATGAATAATGAATGTAACAAAAGAAAAATCGATCAAAAAGAATGTAGCTCCTTTAGAAGGATTGACTTGCTCAAAAGGTGTAGGGACATCAAGACCCACCTTATATTTTCTTCATATAAATATCTTGGAGATTAGTGTTTCCATCCACTCAGATTGCTTTATTTGAAACATGGACATCAAAGTTAGGCTTGAATAAGGCAGGCGAAAGATATTAGTGTCCTCTGCAGCCTGCGTGGTCTAGTGGAGCCAAGTCGATGAGAACCAGATTGAGAAATCAACTCGTTAGTACATTTTTATTTGCTTTAGAGGAAGCAATATCAAATTATTTCTACATTTAAAAACATGATGCTGTACAAAGAAATGAGGTTTTGTATATAATAATAATATTGTATAACCAAAACTGCTTATTCTATAAAAACTGATATTAATAAATATCTCTCTACAAAATCAACTGGAACATATAAACATCTAAAGGCGGAATATATAGAAAAATTTGTCCTTCGCTTGCATGAAATTCTAAAAAGCAAATCAAAAGGCCTGATAGAAATCGAGAGATTGGTTGAACTTTTTCAAACTTAAGTGAAAATTAGCCTGTGGTACTATACTGCACATGACGTCTTTTCTGGCAATTCTGTGTGTGCTATAGTAACTGCACCGAAACAGAGATTTGGCGAGATATATTATATATTATCAAAACAGAATGGTTAGCCATTTTATCAGCACGAAAACAACTGGTTATTGAATTAGAAATTCGATAACCAGAAAGAATGAATAACTGAACAGAAAGAATAACTGGCGCAAAAGTGTAAATAAGGGAGATTGGTTTATAAGAATGTATTTTGCAACACAAATGTTCAGAACCTGAATTGCTGTAAATCAAAGCATTTTAGAGCCTTACATAGGATTCAGAGCTTCAACAACGGATAGACTAATCTGAATATTTACATTAGGTATCATTTACGCTCATTGCTGCTTCTCGGTTTAGCATACTATTCACTAATAAATTTACTTTTTATCTAAGTTGTCCTTTAAAAACATCACAGAGTCAAAACAAAAGGCCCTTCTTGGAGTAACCAAAAACTTTGGAGTAACATAAGGTGACGTGATCACAACGTAATATGATATTGGCTTGTTCACAAATAGCAGTATCATTGATTCACAAGCATTTAGTACTTATAAGGATACTACATGTGACTCTCAGCGTCGCTACAGGCAATGACAAGCAGGGAAGGTTTTACAAGGTTCGTTCAACTTCGCTGATGTCACACCAAAGTGGTGCGAGAACTGATTTGCTCTGCTCCAGGTTAAAACCTTTAGTGACATCTGGAGTCAGGGATCCTTTCTCTTTCGTTTATGTATTCCAACATGTATGCGAGGCGTTTCTCGTTTTAAGCTTGGACTCATCAGCTGCTTTCGCCGATACTTTGAACAATTGCACTAAGTAATGTATCTACGTGCTCGCTGTCATCTTCCGGTTCTATTTGCGCTCCCTACATGCAGCAAAATGAATTCAGAAATTTTCAATACGTAACATTGAATGCAGAAGACCTCTGCAAAAGATTGAAGTAGCAAGAGATTTGCAAATAATGTCACTTGAAGTGTTTACAATCGATTATGTAAATGGGAAGAATATAATCCAAAAATCGGTAATCAAAAGGTAATCAGAGGTAATCAAAAAATCGCATGTGATAACCAATTAATCAAAGACAATCAAAATCTATAAAATTCCATTAGTCGAAAGATCAGAAAATTATTAAAATAAACAATTGAAAGATTTCATGTTAAAATTGCAAATCAACCAAAAAATAAATTGAAAATAGGCAAAACTTAACAGAACTTAGCAAAATTGAATGAAACAAGCAGTAGAAATCTACTCACAATGCTTTTTATCAAAACATTAACATTCTGCCGCAGCTTCCGTAACTCCTCTTTGGAATCATCAAGTTTCTTTTTACCGTCTTCAAGTTCCTTATCTTTCTCTTCCTTCTCTTTGATCAGCTCCTGGATTTGTTTTTCGGCCTCCTCTTTCACTTTGTGTTGCGCAGTGTCGCTAGTTCCTACGAGCTAATCACATGGTACTCACTGTTAAGATACGTTTGAGCTTAACTGCATCAATACCAGATATGAAAGGGTTAAAGATATTTAAAAATGATAATATCAAAGCTGGCAAGAAGGGATCTCGACAGAAAAAACACATGAAGGCCTGGAATCTGCCTAATAGATGAGGTCAAAGCAACAGACTAGAGTTATTTGGCATTGATAAACCCAAAGAATGAAGCATCGATTGGTCACTTTGCAAAATCGAAAAAAATTCGTAACAACTGACTGATACAATACATGCGCACATACGAAAGACTTCGAACATTCTTCCAGTGAAAAATCCAGATATAAGAAAAAGTTTTCTTTCACGGTGCTGGTAGAAGAATGGGACAATTTGCAATAGATTTTGCAGCAAAAGAGGTTTAGCAGCAATATAGCATATGCCTTGTAAAAGGATTATTATTCTCTCAAATTATAAACAGGTTGAGTCACCAAGGAAGTTAAAATAAAAATACAATTTTAGTCCTACAGCAAGCATAAAATAGTTTTTTACGAGCAAAAATTCAAAAAACAATTTTGTAGCAATTAAATGCAAAGATAAGATGGGAGATGTAAAAATAACGTGTCGATGAGGCATTTTATTATTTGTTGAGGGGCTATCTGACTTTTGTCATACTGGTTGCTTTTAAGAGAGCTTAATCTGATTATGCTTTTTGTTTACTTCCTGGGTATATAAGTTTTTGACTGTTATACAGCTGTGCCATACACCTTTTCGATATTTGCGCGCTTAGTTTGCAGAGAGAGACTGGGGCGAGAAATTGGGTGACAAAGTTGCCAAGGGCCTATGTTGCCATGGGCTTAATCACTGCCCAAATTGACATCAAAACAGAGCTCCAACTTTTTTGCGAAGCAAGTAGTTTTAAAGCTGCAGTAAAAGGGATAAGAAGCCTTGGCCCCCTACTTTTTCTAGCTTCCCCCCCCAATTTAAAATTCATGGCGTGGGCCCTGCAAAAGTATTCGAAATTTCGTGAATTTTTATTCTTAAACATCTTCCGTAGTCTTTTTTATCGAAAACAGCTTTTGAAAAGTTTCTGTCGAGTATTGCAAATATCAAAGCCAAGTAAGGTAATTTTTTACTATATTACTTTTACATAGAAACATAAGATGCAAACTAATGAAGATTACAGCTTACTAATTTATTGCGAAGGAAAAAGGACTTGAGAGAAGCTCACATGAACACTGAAAGAACAGTTGCTTGATGATCGCATTAAGCGTAAAATTCACAAATGCAACTTGAAACCGCCCTACTTTACAAACTGAAGTGTATAAAGTTCTGTTTAAACGACATCTAGCCTTACAAAACTGACCAATGAACAGTAATATTCATTAGATCATAAATCATGCATAAGCACGAGAAGATGCGGCAGGCAAATTGGATTGAAAGGCTTCTTGAAGCAGATCTGCAGAATTTACAAAATATATCACTTACTTAACAAGTACAATTGTTTAATCTTAGAAATATTTTGACGTATACTTTGGTGTACAATTTGTTTTTGAAAAACTGTGAATAGCCACCTCTAGTATAGGTTCTACTTACTTTTCTGATACTCCTCTCATAGTCAGCAACAAACCTTCCCTGTGAGAGAAAAATAACAAAACTAATATAGCAAGTGGCTTTGCAAAAGACTTCTTTAGTAAAGTGAGGGTACTTAACTTCTCAGGATTTTTAGAACTCTGATGCTTCGGTTACGATTTCGCAGTATCATAAAATATTTTTGTGCAAACAAATAATAAACGCAAAACCAAAAAAAAGAGAAGAATATAAACCCAAAAACTGGATAATATTGCCCTTTTTAACTAGAAATATAACACAGACGATGTAACGGGGCATAAACACCTTAAGAAAGAAACTATGCGACTATATAAAGACTTAAAGTTGGTGGAAAGTTTTAACAGTAATAACTACCTACCAGGTCGAAATCTCTTAGATCGTATGGCGTTAAGTTGTGCAGAATGTCGTGCTTTTCTATCACGAAATCAGGCGGTCTGAAGTAATGAAGACACCGTCTGGAAAAAGAAAGAAACTTTAGCTCGCTTACTTCAGAGACCCTGTCAAAGCATGTCTCACCTTTTTTATGCACAAAACATGAAGAAAAGTCGTCCGCAAAACTCATTTTTTGCGCTACGACCAACAAGGTTTCAGAATTAGAGAGCGGCCTTATTTGAATAGACTGACGCTTAGAGAAAGCCCTGTTTCAAAGCAAGCCTCGCTTAGGAGCATGTCTAGGCAAGGAGCAAGACTCCTTCCAAGCAAGCCTCTCTTATGAGCATGCCTCTCTTGTGAGCATGCCTCGTCTAGGAGCAAGCCTTGTCAAGGAGCAAGTCTCTTCTAGGGCCAGACCTTGCGGACTCACACTTTGCAATAACTCTTACTACAGTGTAAATCTCTTTCGAATATTTGCGTTCCCTGATCTGATCGATAAAACCCAACCCCAAGCTACATCTGGTTGACACATGCAACTAAACATCAATTAATGCTATTTTGTGATTGATTAAAGGGAATGAATACGTTGCGTTTTCTCTAAACGCGAAATTCGAAGCTGTTTAAGCATCGGAAATGATAAGCAGAGCAGAAAGACAATTAAGACCTCTCGGAAGGGCTGGAAATTTGATTAGAAGTTGGAGTCAAATTGACATTTACGAGTGAAAATTCGTACCTAAATTTCTGTACGACACCATCTAACAGTTCTTGCAAGCTTCGTAATTTGTCATTATCTGGGAGACGATCCTCATTAGTCGATGAGGGTGAAGCGATTGAAGATGATATCTCGTTGTTGTTAGTGGGAGAGGCAGCCTGTGTTCCCTCTGCATCTGCAGGTTGCGTGTCATCTTCCTAAAGGATTGACTCTAAAGGATTATATCCAAGTGCAATGACAAGGCAACAACAAATGCAGCTCAGCAATGTATAAGACTCAAATTCATTGGGTCATAGCATTAATAAATTTTCACATAAAAATGTGTCCTTTCGAAAAAGCAAAAGCAACTCTCCGGTTCCCCCTTCCAAAAGAAAAAACTTATAAAATAAGAGACATTGTCAGGCTTGTATTGACAACATAATCAATTGAAAACACAGTGAGACCTTCCTGTGCCCACTTGTCAATACCTGAAATATTATAACGTGAACTACCAAAGTTCTTGAACATGTCTAGCTTCTACATCGACAGCTGAAGTCCATGCCAGTGACGACTACAACATTATCAAACAATTGTAAAAAGACTGATTATGAAAAAATTGCAAACCTCTAACAGTCGTAAGTTTTTGTCGTTTTCACTAAACCTGTAATTAAAAAAGGAATTTAAACCATAATGTTAAAAATATGTCATTTTCTGACAGAGATAAAACAGATGGACCTAACATAACAAAGGAAAAGGATGACACAGATGGGGGAGGGGGTAAGACAGTTTAATCAAATTAACAGGGTGAAACAGACGAAACAAATGAAACATGTTAAACATTTTACAGAAACGAAACAGACGGAACAATCGGAACAAACGGAACCAATGAAACTGGTAAAACGAATGAAACAGAAAAGAGGGGTAAAAAATTAAGAAACTGCTGTTTCAAGATTTACAGTGTCAGAAAAATTTGTGCTTCCTATGTTCAGTGAACAAAAATGGTCCATTTAATCGCCTATTCAGCTAACAGCAAATGTCAATACTAAATAGAAACGCTGAGAAAGTCGATAAGCGAAAATCAAGAGTTAAAGAAAAATCCGAAACCAGAGATGGAGTTTGAAGGTTACAGCAGTGTCTCTCCCATAAACATTTATAGAGCAAAGACTGGTATGAAAAACCAAACCAGTCAATGTTACAGAAATAAAAGACAAAATTCTGAAGTAATTTAGAAACTACATATCAGGCCTACCATTTATCAAACTTGTCCTGACTATGAAGGTCAAACTTCACCTTGATCTTGTTCAAACCAGCACCGTGTTTCAAAGAGATGACCTTTCCAGCATACCTTAAAGGAACGAGCATGAAAATGTCAAATTGCATGAAGTTAACAATATGAACAAAGGTCATACAAATGTGCACAAATGCTGTGGGATTATTTTGAAAATAAATTCTACATAATATAGCTCAATCTACTCTCAATCTTATTGAATCATCGTATACATTTGCACAAAATTTCAATATCAAGATCAAATTTTCATCTGAACGTGAAAATCATATCTATAATTTAGACATTAACGCTTTTGCATGTAGACGTGGACAATTCTAAGTTGCAACTCGAAGTTTCACACTTAACAATGCGAACACCAGGCAACATGTAACCTAACCACTCTGTAGGTGTCATTATATTCATTTACTACCTCTTTAAAAGTATCAGGAGTTTTGATTGTTCCTAAGTGTTAAACTGGGGCAGCTAGGTATTTGCTTGTTAGATAATAGGAATTCATTTCGATATTGGTATGGATTTAAAAAAATGTTGTCCAGTTTGAGGCTCATACATTTCAACAGATTCTCAAAAGAAAAGTAAATGCCAGTGTGAATCAACGTAAAAATTGAATCGGAATGTGTTTATGAAAAACTAATATCAAATAAACCAAAGAAAAAAAAGAGAAACAAACATTACTTACCATCTGGTATTAACTTTTGCCTCAACTCTTGTATCTAGTTGATCTGAGAGAATACAGGAACGTTGTGAAGAACTCGCAATACATTCTATAGGCTATAGCGCAAGAAATACCCGCAAACAATGGCCTACTTTTCAAGAGCTAGACTGATCTTTGTTCTTATTTAAACAATGTACATGGTCATTTCAGGGTTAAAGCTTCTCATTTTCTAAGGGTTGTATGATTTTCACTTTGAGGATAAAAGGGTTGTAGATGTCTTTCATAAAAATACTTTCAATTAATTTTTATCCGAGACAGGAATTGTTTATAATCAACGATCGGATATTTGTTGCTCAATATTGCCAACATACTGGCCAAAATTCATTAAGATGCCGGTTATATTAAGAGCCTTATATATTTCTCAGCGTGGAAAAAAATTAAGGAAAATGGCCTCAATCAAAAAAGACAGGCTGTATGTTTTTCGTCTCTTGGATTGTCTTTTGCGAGCATTTACTGTAGCTCATATTTGCTAAAAAACATAGTCCTCCTCGACAAAAATCATCAACATCACTAAAAAATCTGGTTAAGGATTGCTAATAAATGATATTGTGAAGCTTTAACAGCATGGGCATCTTTGGAGGCAAAACCTATGCAAGGTTTTTAGAGAAGCGAAGAAATTTTGAGACAAAGGTAATTGTCTATTTGTCGGGCTTTTGATTGTATTTAGTTTTGTCCTTTAATGTGGTTTTACAAGGAGTAACACAGGGTTACCTCTGTTTATGCCAGGTAACAGTGAGTATTTCTGTTTTAATAGCTCAAAGTAAACATCCAGATGAAACGAGAAACACACTTACAGACTGTATCGAATTTTGGTTCTTCGTTAGTCGTTTTTGCTTCCTGGAAGGGGAATAAATGCACGGATATCAGAAAGCCATGACGTAGAACAAAAAATAGGAGACATTACTAGAAGGAAATTTTAACGCAAATACCCCGCCCAGCAACGGATTCATTGTGACTTACCCATACAATAAAAAGATGCAGTCCCGAGATAGCAAATAGTATTGTTTTAACCCCAGATCAAAGCTTTTACTTAACATGAGAGTGGTTGCTATAGGTTTCGGCATGTTTCATTCGATTGTTGACATTAGCATTGATCTACTTTACACGAGCATCATAAGATGACGAGCATCTGATGAATCAAATCAAGTTGATTTGTTCCCAGCACGACAATTACATTTCCAGCCCATTTGTGATACAATTTATCGAAGAGTAACTTAAAGAGGTAGCCTTGGAGTGAGACAGCGCGACAGAAAGTCGATGTTAAAAATCGAATCAGATTTCCTGACGCTATTTTGTCAGTCAGAATCCTAATTGTTTTGAAACGACTTGAAACAAAAAATTGGGCCTATTCAAATGGAACTTAAATATTTCATCCCAACCCGATTGCACCCATTGTTACTTACATTCTTTGGTTCTTCTGTTGCCGCTGTTGTACTACTATCAACTTTTTCACTTGAAGTGGCCACATTCTATGAAAGCGAGGCGATAAAGATTAATCCCTTTTTAAACTTCCTTAAATATAAGAAAGTGTTCTCTGAAATATTGTAAGCTAGAAAATACGTTTGAAAAAATCCTGAAATACAGGATTTTGATCTACTGTTGAAACTTAACGGCCATTTAGCTTTGTTAATGAGTTAAATTCTCAAAAATAGGTTAATCAATAAGACAAATCTTGATTTTTCGCTATTGGAGAATCTAGTTAAAAAATCTTGTATGATGTTTGCTGTAAAACATAAAAAAAGGAACAAGAAAATATAATACATATCACAAAATATAAGATAAGGTACTATAAATCTTATATTATAGGCCTACTATAAAACATTAGAAAATGACTAAGGCCTTAATTGTTTAACAAAAATCATCTAAAGAATTTTTTAAATGTGTGATATGTCTTTCCTCGTCCGTATAATGTTTTTACAATTTAATAATCACGAAAACCCCTCAAATAAACACAATTTGTATCTACGACCATTAGAGCTTACCTCCTCTGTTGTTTCGGGTTGTGCAGTTTTCTTTCGTTTAGTGTTGACAGGCTTAACATCCTCTTCCTGCAAGATTAAATTAAATCATAATAACCTTTTTGACATAGCAATGCCTTTTTGATATAGCCTAACAGACTCTCATTTGACATCTGAAAGTACCATACAAACATACCCAGTTTAAAAAATCATACAGCTGCTCTTCCCACTTTAAATCCAATCGTTTAATGCATAGAAGCTTTCTTATGCTTTGGATACAAAAACCAAAACAAAACTAACCTCATCTGACTCGGCTACAACCGCTCGTTTCTTCGCTGGTTCTTTTTTCGCCGGTGGTTCGGTCTTTTTCGTTGATTTTGCAGACGATGGGGTGGCTTTTTTAGGTGGAGGAGATGGAGATCTTCGTCGTTTGCTTTGCTCAACCTTCAAAAGGAAATGACGTCATAGAAAAAATTGAGTGACACGGCGGTGTTGTCAGCAATATGACTTCAAAATGATTTGTCTACCGGTGAGCAAAACTGGGGATCTAGGGGTCATGGCAAAACCCCTTTAGGTGTTGTTCAACATTTATTGAGAGCGTTATTACACTCCATCCTGCAACATTTAGTCCATGGAAGCGCACTCGAATTGTTTCTGGTGGCAAATTGATCAACAAAGTGCTGAGTTGTATTAATTTACCTGGTCGTTCAAACAGAAAATTAAAATCTTGAGAACGTTTTAAGACTTCCAACTGAATATCACCGAACAGCGCCGAACAAAAATTAAGCACTGGTCAGTCAAATTAAGATACATTTTCTTCCAAGATGCATAATAACTACTCGTCCGTTCCCCCTATCAGTACTGTACTTCTTTCGACCTTCTGTTTCCACTTTCCGACTCCTCTCTTCATTCTAAAGTGGAATAAGGCCTTCAAAATACTCCGTAGCTGCTTTGCTAGTTATTGCTGCTTCTCGTAGTAAGAAAATTACAAGCGATTTTGGAAACCTGTATCTGATGCAAATTTATAGCCAATTCGTTCTCATATATAAAAACTAATACATAAGTCTAAAGCATTAACAGCTTAGAAAGAACATATATAGGTATAACAAATTTTCTTTTCTCGCAAGAGGTCATTAAAATTCACAACAAATATACAAATTGCTTGAAATAGATAGCAAAACATACCTTCTTTGATGCTGTTTTTTTCGCCGGTGAACTGATTTCTTTCAATGCCTTCTGAACAGCCTAGAGTTACAAAAAGTGTCTTCAACATTAAATGAGCTTATGTTTCAAGGGCAAAATCAATCTGGTTATGGTGATGTATTAATTGAGCAAGTTAATTTTGGATAGCTTATGCGAACATGATTTAGTTGCTAAGACAAACTCAACTCATGAGTGGGTATTTCTACGAGATTCGGCGTTTCAAAGCTTCTTCCTCAAAGCAACCCTTTATACCATATTTCTTGTACTTCCACTTTGGATTTCACTTTTGCATTACCATAGAATGCTCCCGGTATAAAAGGCATTCCGTTCACGACTTTCTTCGATTTGTTCTTCATCTGTTCTTTAGACAGTCCTTTGACAAAGACCTGATGCCCATTCCTTGGCAACCCTTGTCTTACATCTGTACATAGATTTGTTTACCTTGCTATTCAATAGCTGTTGGGAAATTTGGATCCAATTCTCGTAGAAACCTTAAGTAGGATAGTAAAACGCAACCCATTCTTACCTTAGGAGTAGTACTTGCTTTTGATGACGATCTTGAGTTGGTGATAGGCGATCGTCTTGGAGGGGGGCTGGGTTTTGGAGCAAATGTTGGCTTTATCACTGGTCTTCTAGCTGTAGTGGTTGGTGGGGGAGGGGGTGGAGAGGGCTTGCCTCGGGCAGCGATTTTCTGTGGAGAAAAATAAATTCATCATATATTGAACAAACTAAAAAGCATCGCACAAAAAAGAGAAACAAGTAAGATGCTTGCATCTTTTACAAATGCTGGAAAGCACAAGCCACCGCTCACACCTATCCCTCGATTCTTAAAAATAAGAGAAAACATGTATATTGAAAATACTTCTACTTCAGTTCTCGAAAAAGGATCCTCCACTTCCCCCCTGTCCCTCTCTTTATGCTAGGGATCAGCAGGCATGTTATAACAGAGATCGGAGGATAAGACATGGAACAAAAACAAGTCCAATACTACATTAGATACAGAATTACAGTACAATTTTCATTACAATACTACAGAATTAATAATCACCTCTGCTTAGTGCCCGGTTTCCTATCTATACTAACAGTCATGCTGACTGACCACACTGACAGTCATGCTGACTACGAAGCATTGCTGACTTTGGATAATGCAGTATCAATTCACCAACGCAATCTACAGTACTTGATGATAGAAATATACAAAACCAAACATAACCTGAACCCTAGTTTCATGAGTGAGATTTTTGAAACAAGAAATGTACATTATGATTTGCGAACTAAAAATAATCTTTGCATTCCAAAAGCCAGGACAACTTCTTATGGTATAGAAACTGTGAGATATTTAGGTCAAAAACTGTGGCAAACACTACCTCACAGTATAAGAGAGTCCCAATCATTGGCAACATTTAAAAAAGAATTAAGAGCACACCCTATAGAATGCGACTGTAGATTGTGTAAAAAATTTATTGCTGGGTTAGGTTTTATTTAGAACATTATACCTTAAACCTTTTTAATATTGTATCATATATTTTTATTTCATACTAACTCTTTATAGATAGTTGGCCTTAATTAGCTTCTTTATAGCTATCAGCCGTTCATTTAGTACGCCAACTTTAAACAAATTATTTATTATTATTATTATTATTATTATTATTATTATATATTATACAGTAGTGAATTGTGATTAATTAGAATAAAAAGGTTTTGACAACTTTACTTCAAGCACATTTGCAAGAATCATTTTCGCTGGACAATAACATATAAACTAAATACTCAGTGGATTAAGCAGAAAAACAACGAAAATTGGGTTTAGTTACCTCTGCCTTTTTTAATTTGTCAGTTAATCTTTTTATATCTTGCTCGGCTCGCTGTTCAACCGACTTTATATCCTTTTGAAGTCTTCCTGCTTGTATATTTGGCTTTTGTTCCGGTTTTGTACAACTATAAAAGATCATAAAATATTGCAAGACGATTCAACTAAAACAAGTTGTCTGGAGAAAACGACATTGAAGCAAAAAGCAAAGGAATAACGCATATACGAAGCGGTATTGATCTTTGGAATCAACATGTTTAATAAGGAATAATGCATGGTCTTCTAAGAATCATGTCTATATCTAAAATTCACTGATATGAAAACAGCTTCAGATCTCAAAATCGTTCCCTGTGCATTTTCTGTATCGTAATAAACACATCAATAACTAGCATATTTGTTATTTCAACGTTAGAAGGCCTAGATATTTTTAACTTAGCAAGAAATGTTTAAATGCTTCACTTGGCTAAACAAACGATGAATTTCATGCAATGAAATCGGGTCTAAGCTTTATATGCAAAAGGAAAAATTAGAACGACAGCTAAACCTTATCAGAATCAGATCATCTATACTCGATTCTAGTTTCATCCTCCTCTGCCAGATCTTACCAGCCCATTATTTTCCGCTAATCGCAGAGCTGATTTCTTCTTAAGTAATGTAAAACATTCTCCAAACAGTGGTTTCGCGTTTTTCATCAACCTGCTTTCTACCCTTATCAATTTTTATTTATTAGGATATAATAACGATATTTTTTGAAGAAAAAAATATAAAACAGCAATCGACAGGTTGCTACCCAGAAAGCCAGAATACTACAAAGTAACCTTTGCTAGACTTACGTTTTGAAATTATTATCCGTGTTCATGGAGCACACCCAAAATTCTGGTACGCTTTCCAAGCTAAGCTTTCGAGAGAACTGCAGCTGTCGCCATTTCAGACATGAATCTATGAGACAGTAACAAGTAGCATTAGAAGCAATAAAGATAATGAAAAACTTAAAATTTTCATAACTCAGAGTTGTTTTCAAATTATTTGTTAGGATGATTCAACGTCACAAACGAGCAATCAGATTCAGTAGATCCTCTATATAAATGAAACCTGCTGTGCCCGAATGAATGTCTGTCGTAAAAAGATGCCTTGTGTCAACATTACTACAACGCTTTTACCATTAAGAGGTAATTCAGGAACGAAATTATTTCTACTTTGTTTGAGGTAGCCGTTGTTTGGGAGTCTCCGTGGTTCGGGGTGTCCATGTTTGGGGTGCCCATGTTTGGGGTGTCTATGTTTGGGGTGTCCATGTTTAGGGTGTCCATGGTCTAAGGGTGTCCGTTTTTTGAGGTGTCCAGTATAGGGATTTGTCGTGTATAAGGGTTTATCAGGTACAAGGAGTTATCCGGCATAAGGACGTGTCCGATACAATAGGTGTCCGATACAAAACATGTCCGGTATAAGGAGTTATCCAGTATAAGGAGGCTCCCGTTAACGGAAGTATTATTGAAATTCGATTCACTCACCACATTGTACACAAAGTGGCACACTCATAGCCCTCTTAAGTAAAAATTTACTCTCATTTGAGGCATCGTCCCTCCATCTACCGGTGTAACCAAACTCTTCCCTAAAAAAGGCATATGATAACATGCATTAACATTATAGCATACATTTTGATCTTGGAGTCAAAAGAGTACAATAACTTCAAAAAGGATAGTCTATCGACATACAAACATTTATTACTAAACCGAATAAATACAAACAAACTTTTCATATGGCTTTTCAAATTATTGAAAGACACAGCGTGTTTATTTCATTCTGAAGAGCATGGGTTGCAAATAATTTCCCTCTATCAGGGTGTGGCTCTACAATTATAAACTAGGGTTTTTACTGCGCAAGCAGAGTATTACTTGACATATCTATTTAGCTTCTGCCAATTTAACCTACATGAAGACTAATTGCAATACGCCACATTTGCCATTGCTTTGTGCTCTGTCCAATGGAAATACCCAGTTTTTATAATTTAAAAAAAATATTTTGACAAATCATCTTTCAAAAATTTTAAAAGGCATTTCCATTGACGTTTTAAAAACTTGGTATTTTTAAGTTTCCCGGTTTGTTTTCTTCTCTTCTCTTTGGAAGGCCTCAAGCATACAGTCGTGCCTTTTCTAATAATCTTCCATCAAAGCAGGCGTGCCTTTATTTCATTATGGGAAAAATTTAAATTCTAAAGAAGATATATGGAAATCAACAGAACATACCAAAACGCTGTAACACCATGTTCTGCAAAATAATCATTAAAACAAATTAGGAAAAAATCATGTAAAACTTAATGAGAAATTATATATTCAAACCTGCTCGTATCTGCTAGAAATGCATCTACCTTATCACTGGCAAGAGAATGTGTTCTTAGATGTTTAACAGAAATAATATTTAACATTACAATAAACATTGAGATATAAAATCAACAAAGTATAAATAAATACTATACCTTCGATCTTTGAGTCTTTCCAATATTGTAACATATGCTCGGCCATCGATCGTAAAAGATGTTTATACTCCTAAACGAGAAGAATTCTTTAAGATGCCAGTTAGTTGGTGAGTACATCTATATGTAGCTACAATCTTGGCAAAAAATGCTGAGACACTTGCAAAAAAAGAAGCTACTTACAAATCACCCACCCCCTTTCCCCCCAAATCAATGTTGTGATTGGATTGGTAACTAATGTTGTAACCCCCACTTATTTTGTAACCATCCTAAACAACATTGACCACGGGGGGAGGGGGGATTATGTCACCAGCGCACATTATATGAAATATAGCACGCGAACTCCTTTTTCGTTCATATGTCTCAGCTATTTTTTGCCAGGAGTGTAGGTCTCTAAAATCTCACTCACCTTGCACAGAAATGCAATAAAAGCATAAAAAAACTATGATAAAGTTGTTTAGTAGTAATGATGATATTTCAGCAATAAAGTATTGATAACTGAGTGAACCTTCTAGCATCTGAAGTTAGATACAGTTCACTGAATGAGCATTGATCAGAACAAACAAAAAACAAGCTATAAAAGACATCGTCTAAATGAATTTACCAAATATTGTTTCAATATTTTAGCAACTTCAATAGTTCAGCATTTCAAGTTGCAAATACAGCTCTAAAACACCCTAAGCAATATGCCTTACCTTTGCATCTGCGAAATCCTGCTTATTGTGAGTAGGTTCAAGGACTAGATATGGAACATCTACAATACCTGAAAATAAAAACATATTCTTTAATTGTATATGTGATATTCCTCCAAAAGTCATTGTAGTATTTAGAACTTATTATAAAATAATAAGTCTTTGGGACTTTGTGAAGTCTTTGTGTCAATGCTCTTAGATGACTTAGCATCTCAATGACATTACAATTCGCTAATCAAAGAAGGCATATTCACAGATGCAATAGATATTCACAAATAAATCTGCATCAAATGTGAAAATTCGGTGTTCAGTGCCTTTAAAGATCTAATCAATTGTCACCCATTGCAGCGAACAGAGATACCTTCTAAATATTTCGAATTTGGCACTTACCTATTATGCCTGCACATTTTCTGTAAAAAAAGAATATAAATTGAAACCCCAAAACAAAGAAATTGCAAAAGGTTGTCAAAATGGAACAAATAAATCGAAAAAATGGGAAAAGGCCATTTATAGAAGACTTTCAAAACAAAGGACACCCACAAAGATATAAAGATGAAATCTATCTTTTTGGGATACAAGATTGAAAATGAAACCCTTTCATGATGATTTGTTTCTTTCTGCTCTTTACATTACATCATATCTCTTTTTACCCTATCTCTTTTTCAAGTTTCTTTCTTTCTTTTCTTATACTTCCCTTCACTTTTACAAATTAATTTTTGCCACCCAGGGACGTATAAATACTATTTTAATTCAGAGCTATTTCATGTCATCTTATTCTGGTAGCGCATAGCAGCCCAAAGGACATTTAAAAAACTGGTACATCTTGCTTTCCACAGTATTGAAATACTAAACATAGACATAGGATTGTCTCTCGTTATATTCCAATTCATTTCATAAATCATATAAACCACAAACCAACCAAGTAAAAATATTCAATTTCCCTGTAAAGAATTATGTCTGAAATACTTACACTCCCCCTTCAAGTTGAGGGCCTATCTTTTCACACATTCGTATTAACCTAAAATAGAAGACTATCATCAACGAGAGCATTTCAAAGTACTTCTGAATACTATCCTGTAGTTAGGACTGCCAGAACATTCTAGACACATGGCATAGCATCCAATTAACGTGTTACTCTCATCAAAAAGAAATTTGAAAGAAAAAGTCCCTCATACAAAAGTATCATCCAAGATATGGGAAAAGAATTTGTAATAAAACGCACATGAAATCCTCTTGGCAATCGCTGTTCAGGGCAAGGCAATTGCTGTTTAAAACGAGGCAATTGCTGTTTAAGGCTTGAAATAATTGATAGCTTGTCTGTATTCATCAGTGGTTAATTAGTGTGTAAAAATGAAAATTAAGCACATAGAATATAAAGCCAAACCTGTTGCAATTATAAATGTACATCCCATCACACTTCCTTGCATTGATGTTGAATCCGAATGTAAACGTTAACTGCTTAGGCTCTTTTAACGACCTGCAAAAAAATACAGTTGCACCATGATAAGTCCAGTGCCACTTCAGTACTTTAATGTCGTCATTTACTTTGATATGCTTTATGTACAGAAATAACCACGGATAAGTCGAGATCTTGAAAAGTGGAACAAAATTCTATTCCCTTTAGAGTTGGACTTACCGAGGTTAGACTGTAAACAAACAAAAATAACTCATAGCAAAAGACCAGTTCATTTATAGATTGGTATCAAAATGAAAAGGTTAGCTAGAGAAGTCCTTACACCGAAGCATGATCGTAGAAACTTTTCTTAAAAAATACACAGTTTTAAGTTTTAATGTCTGATTTCAAACATAATGCACGATAGCCTAACAAGTCAGATTATATTGGGCCAGATACCTGTAACCTGTAAGATTAATATCTCGCCTATCTCTATAATACAGAGTACTGTTTAAAACTCGAAGTAAAGCTTTATTACTCTGGAACTAAAATGAGACTGCAATAAATTTATACTAACTTCTTTTTCTCTTCCGCTATTCGTCTCTTCACCTCAGCATCTATCTTGGCTTGTTCAGCTTTCATCTGCCTCACTTGGCCTTCATGCTGTTAATTCATGTTAATATATATTTTGTTTGCTTTATTTGCTCAATTTATCAATTCATTTGTTGTTGATATCAACTGATATATGATTTCCTTGTTAAAATTAGTTTAATATTTCAAGTACATAGCATTTATATATCATTAGAAAATACAGTTTTGTGCGACTTATTTACGGAATTAAAAAAAATTAAAAATATCTCACCCTGTTATTTTTTGCAGCCAAATTGTCCCTTGGTAGTGCTTCTCTAAAAATACAAAAACTGAGATATTAACGAAAACTGAGATATTAACGAAAACTGAGATATTAACGAAAACTGAGATATTAACGAAAACTGATATTGGTCTTTCAACAACAACAGCATTGATACCAGGCCTTATTCCCGGGGACAAATACATAAGAATACTGAAGTAAACAGTATATCCGCGGGTTCCTTATTGTGACAAATCAAGATACAGTAATAGAAGCACGCATGTTTAAACTGAAATGAGCGATTGAAAAATCAAAACATGACCAAGATACTTCGACAATAAATTTATAAAAGAAACTTACTTTGCTTGTATAGACAATTCCTTGGCTTTTTCCTCCGCTGTCACAGAAAGAGAACTTGATTAATTACCTAAACTGTTAAAGTGGTAAAATTTACGTCAAGAAGTCTTAGCATAAATATTCTGACACATACAGCTAAAAAGGCTGAATGCCTTTATATCTTTTACTACCAGAACGAAATGCCAAACTAACAATACATCAGGTAACCTCTTCAACACACTAAGTGCTGTTATCAACAAGGGCCCTGTTATCAAATAGGTTCTTGGTGTATGTTTTACTTAACCTCTTTACGTGATCATGGTTCTGAATGGAAACTATAAAATGTATAATTTTTCTCAGTCAGGGATACAAACCCTTTTATAGTGGCTTGATGGAGATCGGGCTTTGGTACACTAAATTCCAGTCTAGGGAAATACTAGTTCCAAATTTAGTATTTCATAGCTGTTTTTCAATAACAAATTCACATTTGACATGCAACCAATCACTCGTTCGAAATGTATGATCATGAACTGTTTATCAAGAAGCCATTGATCAACAGATTGGCCTTACCAATCTTTGCCTCGTATTCGGCCTTTTCGACCTCTTTTTCAGACCTAGTTCTGAATCTGTTTGATGTGTATGAATACGATCTGTAAAGATAAAAAAAATTGAGATTAAGATAAAAAAAATAGAAGCAACTAAAATGCAACATTTTTGTATTATTTTGAAGGGAATCTGTTAAAACTAAATATCTGGGTCATCTTAGAAAATACTTCTTACATTTGAAACGAGTGAAACGGTCTTAAAATATGAAAATGTTGGCAATAGGCCGCTGTCATGATTATAAGCCAAAGAATTCTTCAGCCGACACCTCGGGGTAGGAACCATATTCACATTATTGTGCAACTCTGTATGGTCTGACTTATTTTAACATATGAAACATTTGCTGCTGGTCATTCTGCTGTACAGAGCTTATAAAAATACATAAAGAGCTTGACGAGCTACTGTGTCTTTAGCCTTGGGGTATTTCGTCTTAAATTGTGTTAAAACGGGTTACAGCTCTATTGCTCGAATCGAATCTCTAAAAAAAAGCATGCAAGATTATAAGTTTTAATAAAAACTTACATTGGTTTGAATACACTGTTAACTAGGCGCTTTGTCCTGACTTTCTTTTTCTGCAAATTTCAAAGATGCAACAAAATAAAACAATGATGATTCCAACTTGCAAAAAACTTCATCCTCAGAAATTTAGGCCATCCTCAGAAATGTTCAAACATGCTGGAACATGTGGAAATGATTTAAAGGCAATTCTCGACCACTTTTTACAAGCACGATTTCGGTGTTAATGTTTGTCCTAATTGCGATGTTAGGAACATTGTGATATAACAGCTTTTGGCAATTAACTGTGGTGCCATTTTGCTACAGTTTTCGAGTTACTTTGGGCACTTTTGAAGAAGGTTATGGTAGTTTTGGAATGGAGTACAGAACTTTATTTAGCTTTTTTCTATATTTTAAAAGGTTACGGACATAGAAAAATTTCATTCATTATATAAAATTATTTACTACTTTGGGGGGAAAAATGCACTATATCAGAATGCAAGATATCCCCACGCAATTACTGGAACAGGCACTAAAAAAATCTCCAGCGAAATGGGAACTAGAAAAGGCTGGATCGAGTAGAATGAGTCAGTGAAATTGCTGGTGTCATATCTAGCAAACTGACCTTGGAAACCAGCTATGTTATAACATTATTATCGTGCAATTAGCTCAGTGCGGTAGCAGCATTGAAGCAAACAGTTCTCTGTTTTCCTTCTCGTATCCCCTTTCGGGAAAACCAAAGCTAGAGTTATCGCTAGAGCTTACACTAACTGACGAAAGATTCGGCTTATATTTTTGAACTTCATTGGCGAAGGATTGAAGGAATTCTTGGCTATATTTTCAATTACACGCCTTTTCAATTGACAACTCTGTCCATATGTCGTAAAACTTAAAACTTGCATAATAACAAAAACAAAGCGAGTCTAGGGATATTTTAATGAGAAGACTATCGTGTGAATTTTACTTACTTGGATAAAGATTCTCATACGTGGTTCACTGTACAACACGGCAGTGTAGGACCGGAACGAGGTTCGCTCCGGGGGGACACTGAAATAAAACGTAGAAGATCGGAGCTGCTGATTTAGTTTGATGAAATCAATCAGTGAATAAATCTAAAATCAGTCTTGTAGGAAAATGACAATCAACTTACTATTCATCGAATCCGTACTCTTCGTTGGCATGTGGATCTCTCATAAGAATATCCTCAGCGTCTGAAGTAAGCTGCAAGAAAGTTCAATAACACTCAGTATGAGTATGAGAAATCATAAGCAGATGATCACACAATCAAAGAGTCGCTGGTCAAGTGCAATAGACGTGTTATTATCAAATCATTGAATCATTTGTTGAACTGAAAACTAAACCTGTCCTTGCGATATTGCTAAATCAGTGAATCACAGAATCAACTGCCAATAAATTAAGGTATCGCAAATAGAAGGGTGCATCGTGGCAATGCCTTGAAAACACTCACATCTAATTCTGATTCACCGTTGTCAAGCAGTTTAAGATTGAATATGATGACCAGTGTTCCTAAAGAAGATAAAAGAATAAAATTACGGACTCTACAAATGCAATCGAACTATCCTATTTATACACCAAATTTAAGGACCATTATACTTGTATTTCCATCTGATGGATTTATTTAAACATTTTCACAGTGCAATCAACACAACACTGTGTGAATTTGTTCCACTGTTCACTAGAAGTTGATCTTGTTGACCTTCTACTGACCGTTCTGTTCTCTATTTGATATACTGCGACCAATGGTGGACATATTGCGACCAACGGTGAACATACTGCGACCAACGGTGAAATTCATATCATAAATTCGCAAATCATTGCGTTGTGATATATTAAATTCAATGTGTGATTAGTTTATTATCAATTATAAATCTACAAACTTTCAAGAAGCTATCACTTACCTGTGGTTGCATCGATTTCATTGAATTTATCCAATAATTCTTTTTCGGTACGAAATGGAGAATGCTTTAGAATAATTTCCATTTCGATTTCGTACTGAAAAATCAGCATATATTACAAACATTACCATACATTTTACTGAAACAACCTTTAGCAGGTTAGCGGAATTTGGATAAGGACTTATATTGAATATTATATTGAAAATACTGAATATTATATCGAAAATACTCAATATCATATTGAAAATACTGTTCTGTAACTAGCTATCACAGAAAGGCTTTGGTAAGATGCAACAAACGCTGTTTTGCATAAAATAGAAGTCTTAGAGAAGTATGAAACCAGAAAAGGAACACAAAATGGCCTGAACCACTTTTTAAGCCAATATCATATAAGGCCATACCCTCTTTCTTTCCTGGTCATCTTTAGCTAATGGCTCCCCAGTTTGTGAATTCCACGAAGGCATTGGAACAATGACCTGCAATAAATAAGCAAAAATTATATTGATACAGTAGAACATTACATATTAGCAGACAATGCAAACAATACAACATAACACAAAATTCAACACAACAGACAGTGGTCATCAGGTTTGAGCTCAAAATTTTCTGCTAGCAAACAATCGAGAAAAAAACAAGAAAAAAACTCATCTTTTACAAGAAATGCTCTATAAGGTTGAAAGAGATTTTTCATATATCTTCAGTTTGGTAATGTGGCTTAAGACTAAAAAAGAGCCTTGCCTTCCGAGTATAAATAGTGACGAATTCACAACAACAAAAGCAATGGTGAGCACTCTATGTTAACAGAAAACGTCATGTCAACATCAGATAACATCGAAGTTATCTTAATTGAACAAACCTCGTGGATGTTTTCCTGTTCGTGAAACGATCTTGACAGAAACAAGCAACTCATCGTACTGCCCCTGGAGGGATGTGATAAAGCAAACTTGTGACAGTCAACATATACTGTTATATTTTGAAAATATACCTTTTAGTTGTTAGTTGGTTACGTTAGGGAAGGCCCAGGGGCCTATAGAAGAGCCCTGCCACGGGAAAAGAGGGAAGGATTAGGCATGAGCAGGGATGGACAACTTGGTCTCCAACGCACCCGAGACGAACGGTTCTTACCTGCAGGAGACCGCTTATCATTACACAGGGTAACCGCCGGGCGACCAAATTTTTACTGGAAATGTTCACCCCTGTCGTCGGGGAGACCATAGGCCATATGCGGGAGGCCACTGAAAAAGGGACCACAGTGAGGTGAGATCATGATTGTTGATTCTTGTTGTGAATAAAGACGGGTTATAAGAGTCCGGAAAGCAAGAAAGGGGTAGAGGGTTCCAAATGGTACTATTTAGACTATCGGTGGAACAACGCCAAAAAATACACGCGTCTTTACATTCAGCTATGTTGATGCTAGAAATATTTTGGTTACCAAAAAAGGAGGAATACTACAAGTAACAGACCAGGTGTCCTATTCCGAAAGTAAAAACAGTATAGAAAAAGCTAGGATAGGATGAATAAGAAAATAAAATTGTAGAAATCTACTTTCTCTCTTTGAAGCCCTTTCTTGCGATAATGGTAGTAGCCTATCGTTTCATTTCATTAAAAAACATATAAATACATAACTCACTTTTTGGTAAGTAAGATCATATCCTTGCCAATCCGCATAGAGCCACTAAAACATAACAATATTTGATTCCCTTCAATAACATCAGTACAACAGCATCACCTACATTTTCAAGAACGCATTTTGTGGCGTAGATAGCAGGGGGTCAGAGGGGGCGAAAACCCCCTGTTAAGCTAATCATTTATTTTGTTGCAAAATCTCTGATAATGTCAGAAATATAACTATCTTTTATTTGTGTTGCATTTTGAGAGGAAAGATTTCAAAGCTGAATACAACGATTTCTTCCGTTGTTCAGAATCAGATTGGCAATCTCTTTTAATAAGATATGGTACTTGAAAACGCTTACTTAGAGGAGAAGGCCAGACAGTTTACGAATAGTATGATTTCTGGCACTTTGAGTAAATGATAAGCCCTTATCTCCTGTTTAATTCCAGTTCTAATGTCGTTTTTATACGTTCAAATTTATGAAAAAAATAAAAACGCTTGTTAGATTTTTGTCAGAAAATCTCAATTTTGCGACCCTCCTATGAAATTTCCTATCCACGCCGATTGAACATGAATCAATAAAACCATATCTCGATGTTAACAAGGGTTCCATGTGAACAACTTACGATTTCAAACCATTTCCGTATTGGCCGATTTGATTTGAGCCAGAATTTCGCTTCATAGATCTTCCAAATTGAATGACCTGGGACAATTCAACTGCAAATGAATAGATGAACGGTGACAGTGAGGCGCCATAAGAGAAAGCTGAACGGCATATAAGTAGGGGTACGAGACATAGTAACACAAAAGCAAGATTCTCCTTCAAGAATTTTTTAAAATGGCACAATCAAATCTGTGGACAAAATATTTCTTGTCTCTGCCGTTTTTGCGAACATAACAAGACAGCAACAGTCCAAGCAGATTTGATGGCAGGTTTTCTCGTAAAATTGCTATCAAGAAATCGAAATTTCAAACAGCTTTGTTGATATTTTCAAATTACTTTTTGTTCTTTTGGAAATTCAGATCCTTCCATCGAAAAGATAAGCCTTGGTTGAGCTTAATTCATAAATACTTGCAAAATAGCCGGACACATTACAAGACATCATAGTTTCCATGCCCCGATTTCATGATAAAATAATCTGACATTTTGGCACCAAGAAAGAATAACGATATAAGCCCTCATATTTCAAAATTGTGAATTTATTCCGAAAACCAATATAAGGAGTGAGTGAACATAAAATTAATATTGAAAAATTTTGCAGAAGAAATGGTTACAGCTGACAATTTTCTTTTCAGATATTCAGATATTCCGAAATAAGGTTTTGCAAAAAAGGGTCTACAACGCAAAAATAAACTCCACTAAAATTTCTTCTTTTTATGGTGACGTTAACTTTAGAAAAAAACTGAGTATTCTCGTGAAAGTGCGCTTTCCTCGGTGGATATGATGGTTTTTGGAAGCAAATAACGGGAATTTGAGATCAACTGTTCGATCCCTGATTAAATCGGCTTCCACGGGACAAAAAACGTGGATACATTTCTTACGTCTTCGATAGAATTCTTTCCTTGATCCCACCAACTAGTTTGAGGCCCGTAAATTTAACAGTGAGAATAACGGGGAGGTTTAGAAATTTTTCAAGAATAAAAAAAATTAAAAAAAATTATATGAACGAATGGGCGTACGTTTGTCCCCTTTACAGTAGCTAATTCCTACTTTACAGTAGCTACTTTGTGAAACATCATGTAGCAATTAGATACTATTAATAACCTTATAAGCAGGGCCCTGAACAGAAAATTTTCGAAGTTTGTAGTCGATAACCCTAAAGAAACAGTAGATGATTCTAGCAGACTGGCAAGTGTAATGTCAAATCTTTGTGTGTCTTTATCATCAGTAAGTTTAGAATTTCATAATTACAAAAAAAATTGGACAACAAGATTGTTCTTTTTTAAACTCCCAGATCGCAATGTATTTTCGCTAATTCTTTTTTAAAATTGGTTACCCGCAAAAATTTCTCGATCCCATACGATTACCACCAATAAACACCAAACACTTTATCGTTAATTGGCTGCTATGCAAAAAACAGAATTTTGGAAGAGTGACAATGTCAGAATCGTTTAATTACAAACTTTCAACTCGCAATATAAGAAGGAAAGCTGTCTTTTGCAAAAACTAGTTCTTAAAAATTCAAGGAAAGTTCTCATCCGCAAAAATTAATTACGCAAATTTTGGAGTAAGCGAATATTCTTGCGCAAAGGATAAAGTTGTTGAGATACTAAATCGCAAAGAATTTATTCAGGAGAAATTTCTTGCAAAATAATTTGTTCTCTTTATTTCATGGAAAAGACTGGTAGGTAGTTTTTAAATCATTTCAATATTTAAATAATGATGTTGTGTACCATCGTACGGAGGAAAGAGACTGGTGTCAGAAAATTGCAATTTTGGGCACACAGGGCCTCATGGATCTAGATCAGCGCTTAAAAAGAAACAAAGATATTTAAGCAGAAGAGTACCAACCTGGATCCATTCCGCAACCATCATCCAAAAAGTTTAATTGAAATCCTCCACGGTAACGCTTGTCCGCCACTGCAGAAAGTGAAAAATCATGGGCGTGAAAAAGGGACGGAGCAAGGCAACAGAAGCACCGTTTCTTCAGATCTGCATGCAACATTCGTCGAATTTACTGCTATGATGAATATGTGCTCTAAATGGCGACAGAATACGAAAGGGCAATAAATCACCGATTTCAGTCATACTTTCATCGATTCACCGAATTTCCGCAACTTAAGAACGGTGAAAGGGGATCTCTGCCCTCCTTGTGCTCTTTCTAACGTCCACTACTGATGTACATCGATATAAGACACACGCCAGCTTTCTTTCCCTCTTTTTATGCGTCTACCATGACGTTAAAATTGAGGATAACTGACAACCGATTACAGGAATTTCAGTAGAAGGTGACACTTCTACGCTGTTTGGCAGAAAATCTCACCTAAAAATCTTTCACCTTTCCTTTACATAGTCATGAACTGGGAAGGTTCTTTCAGACCAAAAAGCCCTCGAAAAAGCAGACAGGGGACAGGAGACATTGATTTACATCAAAGCTAAGCTGCCATGTTTCCCTGAATTTTTCCAAATATCAGTCATTTTAAAGGTTTGCATGTTTTTTCAGCTCTCTACGAGTCCTGTTCTAAGACCGGAGAAAGTTGAGGCGTAGCTGTTGTAAAGTTGATAATCAATGGAGTTGTGCGTGTTGTACGTCGAGTAATGAAGAAAAATTGATGCGATGAAATAACGACTTTGTATAAGAAATTAATCATTAGTACGACGTTTCCAGCATAACTCTTCATCAGGTTTATTTCTGTTGTAAAGTTGTTTCTTTCTGCACCATTTGCCAATTTACTATCGCTTTTCTGTTCAAAATTTTAGATAATACATTTTGCAACTTTACGGTACTACGACAATTCATCTGGCCGCAGTAGCTTGGAAAAACACGGAGATAAAACTCCGTTTCAAACTTGTAACAGCCTGAACCAAGTAAGATGTAACAGCTTTTTGCCCCATTCTGATTGAAATATGGTTTGGTACAAGTTCCACTTATTTGAAAAGCACTGTTTGAGTAAAGTCTTCCCCGCGGCCAGTTATATTCTTCGTGAAGCCATCTTCATTCAATTCGGAAGATTGTTGATTGGAAACTTGATCTTTATACGGGAAAATACAATTTTGAAGTGTTGATCACAACAATAAATACTGGGGGAAGGGTTAACATAAATTCGTAACGTTTCTCTTTGATGCAAATTCGCTTCTAGGTTTGTTGCTCCAATTTCACAAAAGCACTCTAAGGTTTCTGGCAGTGTTCAATTTCCTTTTAAGGGGAAATGACCTTCATTACAAATATTGCAGACTATCTAGACCAGTTCATTTCTAGCTGCTGCGAAAGAAGGGCTTTGCTGCAAGTATAGCCACTACAAACCTACTCTCCATTTCTGTCGATGTAGCTGTTCTCTAAAGCGGCAGTCTGACATTTTTAATTTTGCCAGTTTTCCTGTCTGATTTCACTATGGGTAAGTTTTTCTTTCCTGCTGCGATACTTTCAGTTGGCAAGACATCTTAAACTTTCAAGAAAGGCTAGTTTAGGATAAAGGCCATGCATGGTTGAAGGATTTCGGAACTTTGTTTCAGTGTTGCACCAATCGCCACCAACGCAAAGAAATGCTACGATACTGGGACGTTTTCCGTATCAAATCCAGAAATAGCGATATAGTGAAATTAAAGAAGATTGAATTCCATAGCACAACTATTTACTACCAAGCAGAGACAAAACCGGAGCTTTTGTTTAAAGGTAATGTGTCTATATAAAAGGACTGCGTATACTCAACTTGTCAAACCATCCATCAAAATAACGGCCTGCGATTGGTCAGAATTCTTGCAATGCAAAACTGCTCACATGAAACGTTAGCAGCGATTTGTAGATAAACAGAACGATCGTAATGGTTGGGGCGATCACATGAAAAATCACATGTTTCTGAAAACCCCTGCAGAGTTGCTTGCTTTAGCTGGACGCATTTCCTTTAATAACAACTAGACAATATTGATGTTACAGGCGCAAGCAGTGATTAGTAGTGAGCTTGAGCAAAATCCGTCTCCTTTGGTCAATTTTTTTGTTGAAAGTCGCGAGGCAAGCTGGATAATTATGTATTGTTGCAGTAGACTGGAGCCGTCTTAGTCGTGGCTTGATCTCATTAAATGTTTGCCTTCATGCGGCATAACATTGGTTAAATCAAAATTGCTTGATTGGTTAATGTAAAAAGTCCTTGTTTACTGATTATCTTTGCCCATGTGAATTCCATTCATGATATAGCAATCAAGCGTGACTTGCAAAATGCATTGTCACAGGGGCGTTTTTTCTCATTTCAAGTTATTTATTGAATGTCATCTGCTTCTTTTTCTCCATTGAAAACTTACTTTAACCACTTCATCTTTTCCAGGATACTGCTGCAATTTTTCTGGTCAATATTTTTTTGCCTAACTTAACTCAAGATATTCTGAGATGTTGCTTAATCAATTGCAGACTAAACCTGTTGTCCATGTTGACAGAATGCAACTCTCTATAAAACATACATTGGAAAATATGGAAACAGAAACATTTCTTATCTGTAATAATGCAGTGACAGGCTGTCCTTGTAATCCTATCTTTTTCAGATCAAAATGATGCTACCATCAGTTTACCATATATTGAAAGACAGAAAACTGGTCTTTCATTGACTTGAAATGTTGTTGTCAAAACATCATCTTCTTTAGGAGAGAATGTCTTGAAGATCTACATATGAATATGTATGATTGGTTTGCTACTCTGCGTGACTTTAGCAACATTGTAACACACTTTGCTCTTCTGTCCAATGTCATATGACACCAACCTCAATATACATGGTTTCCAGGGATAAACATGTTGCGAGACACAGCAGAATTGATGGCAATTTGTGTAATAATGCTTGCAAAAGTATGATTTTCAAGATAATGGCAAAAGGTTTTTTTTCAAATCATAAGGAACAATTTGATATGTGCTGTTGTTGTCACTGTGTGTTGTAAAAGTGACTTATTCATAGTCACTGGAACCTTTTTTGTCAGTCTATGAAAAATCATGTTGTTGCCATTACTATGCATCCAGAATTAAGATCCAGAACCAGAACTTGGATGTACACCTTGCATTCCAAATCTTTCAAAACTACCAATTCCACACATCACCAAAACAGGAAGCTAACTTCGGCATTTGCATCAATCTACAAGCATGTACTATATTGACCTTGCCAAATATTATCAGATTATCTTGAGTTATTCCATGAAATCTTTCAATGCTCTTTTCAGTCAGCAAATAAACAATGCTCAGACACAAGGCAAGGCGAATCTCTTTGTTCTCAATACCAAAGCTGCAATATTTCTGCTATCCTGTGATTAGCAGTAAATGACATCTCTGGTAAGCTTCTTCATTTGTTCATAGATTCAAACACAATAGGATAATGAGCCCATCAAAATATCAATTGAAAAGAAAATATACATGAAATTTGATAAAGAAATACCTTGATAGAAGACTAAGGCTACAAAAAGAGAAGTCAATTCTTATCAAATTATGCAAAAAGTTGAGTTTAAAAGACAAAGAAACAGTGTCACAATAATAAAGAATTTCATTTATCATAAAATTTTGATAGAAGACTAAGGCTACAAAAAGAGAAGTCAATTCTTATCAAATTATGCAAAAAGTTGTTTAAAAGACAAAGAAACAGTGTCACAATAATAAAGAATTTCATTTATCATAAAATTTGAGTGGGTGATTGTTGAAAATATAAGCATAACATAACAGAACTAAAATAGCAACATATAAAAGTAAAACAAACAAAATAATTTAAGTAATTGCTACAAACCGGTATAAATGTGCATCTTTGTTGCTCCAGCATCCCTAGAGTGGTTGAATTAGCAAAGCTGGTTTTATTTTGTAAGAAAATCAAAAGGAATTTGACAAAAGTTAAGCAAAATAAGCAGTGCTGCAAAGGTTCAATGATTTTGTATGCATAAAAATGTAAAAAGAATCTTAGGCCAAAGACAGGAATTAAAAAAGCATTAATTTACCTTGAATTATCAACAAGCTCAGCAAGGGCACCAAACAGGAATTCATGAGTTGTGCTGTGGGAGAAATTTAGGGAGTAGACTGAATATCTTTGACCTGACTTAAGTAGACTGAACATTCTTCATCACAACTCCAGCCTTAACAACTAAATTTAATTTGATTCAAATTACTCAGTAAGAAGATTTGACTCACTTAAGTTCAGTTCACCAGGCTGTTGTCATCCCTCAAATCAACAACTTACAAGAAATAGACCACATATACTTATCTAATGTTTCAATTCATTTATAACATTCTACATTCTAATATACACTGTCCTGAATGTTGACAATGAGTCTTAATAGTTGTGTCATTTCATTAGAACAACTTGATTAAAGTTCTGTAGCCAGTCCCAACACACATACTATGCTGTTGTATATAATGAGTTGTGGCTTCCGCTAAAACTTCAAAACTGCTTCCAATTTCTAGCTAATTGTGCCTCAAACGAGAAACCCTTACAAAATAAAACTTTTCAGAACCATCAGCTATATCATTTGGTTGGATGTTGACTGTGGCGGCTTTTCAATTTTGCTGAGGTCTTGTTTGATCTTATTGTCAGGCACCGCAGAGCAGGGGGGCTGGGGGGGCTTTAGCCCCCCACTTTTTGCAAAAAATGCCAAATATTAAGTATCAAATTACCAGAAAAGCCTCTTTTTATACGGTTTTAGCCCCCCCTCACTTTTTTAGACCCCCACTTTTCTCCACGGTGCCTGATGCATTGCTCCACGGTGCCTGACTGTTCATTTGTGGTAGAAAAATTGTTATAATGTCAAAAACCAGGGGCAGACACTTGGTCAAATAATTGGAGGGCAAGCCTATAGTTTTAATAAGATGACATCACATTTACCTATTGTTTTAGACCAAAAGAACATCAAGATTGGGGGAAGGGGGTGACTGCACAGCAGGAATGTGTGTCCCAACATTGTACACACATATTAATATGAAAAGTTTTTGACCAAGTTTTTATCTGTTTACTTTGTAATTTAAAAATAAAAAAGAACAGGTACTTCTGCCTGGTATCAGGCCATTGTCAAGTCAAGTGTACCCTACCTGTTGGTATGCAGTTATTTTATCTTAATATTCATTTGTGGTTGAAAAATTGTGACAGTGTTAAAAATTTACCACCCGCTTGCCCCCTTGCTACAAGGTAGAGAGTTGAACATTTTCTAAGTAGAAAATTAACTACAAATGTGTGTGAATGTGTCCAGCATGTGTGTCCGAACACTGTACACACAGTAGTAATATGAAAGGCTTGTGACCACGTTTTTACCTGTTTACTCATTTAATTTAAAAATAAACAAGAACAGGTACTTCTGCCTGGCACCAGGCCATTGGTGAGTCTAGTGTGCACCTTACCTGTTGGTATGCAGGTATTCATACGTCAACTGGGCGCGACATAATGCTGAGTAATTGGAAGACATTTTCTCTGTTAATCTGGCCTATCTTTGGCGTTGTCCCCCAAGTTACTACTCTGACAAAGAGAGAACCATGCGAGCCAGTAAGACTTTTAAATTTGGCGGGAAAATAAATCGGCCCTGCACGTTTGTCTCAAAGTCTGTAGACACAAATGTTTGTCGAGAAATTTGCAGCTTTTTAACTTGAACTATCTTCTCAGCATTTGAAAGCCGCAAAACTTCAGAACTGACGAAGGTTGCATGCTCGGAACTCCAAAGATACCTTCCAAAGCTGATTGGTCACCGTCCACCATGTGACAATATTTGTTGTAATTGGCCGCAACTTGTCACATGACAAAACTTTGCTCCCGAGATGCATCGTTCTTTTCGCTAGGCCTGTTGTCGTGTGCAGTTTGGTGGATTGACATGAAAACATCAGGATGCAACAAAACGCAATGTCAGAAAGTCAGTTCTCGCCGTATTAAGAAATGCCTAGTTCATTCAGGACAGTGCCTAAAGATGTCAAGAATGCTGAACGTGACAAGGCCCAGTAATTTTATTTCGTCCATGAAGTAATCCATTGGATCACTAAATGCTTGTGTTCGGATCTTCGTTTATTAGAAAATGGTCCCTTCATCCAGTTCACGCAGGCCACAGCACAGAACCAAATCTTATCAGTTCTGAAATGTAATGTTTCCAAGTCACTGAAAAAGATGTATCTTAATTAGAAGTTTCAGAAATATTAAGGTCCATCTTTAGGAGACAATGGATAAAGTTTTCATGTTCTCCTGGTTATCAATGGTTTTATTTGTGTTATCAATTTTTTTTCATCTCCACTGTAGATATTGTTTCTGCTAAAAATCTACTCTTTAATCTTGACAAATTGATCATGTGTTGAATGGGTTCTCAAAAGATCCTTTAAAGATCTATGATTTTTAAAAGAACAAAGAGGAACCACTTCAATATTGTTTCTAAATATTTGTAAGTTCTCAAACTTCTTCTCATACTGACTTTGTGTTTTCACTCTGGACATACTTTTTTGCTCTTGGCCTATCTAAACAAAATGTCAACTAGAGTACAGAGAAATACACTGTTTCTTGGTACTTCCATATCTCTGCCATCCTACTCATTTGTGTGTCATTACATTATGGCCTTTCCAGGCTAAGGTACATATAGTGTTTTATTGTTAAAAACAAGCATAGAAAAGCAAATAAATATTTTTAAATGTGAAAATTCTGGGCTGCTCATCTCAGAAGAAAAAACAGAAGAGATATCAGGATAAAGAAGAAGGAAAAACTAAGAAGATGTTTGTATTTTAATCTATTAACTTGTGCACAAAGATTTCATCTTTGCAGTATATTTTCCTAATTAGAAACAGACCAGTTAATCTACATTTATAATAAGCTGTAGGAAAGGGTGGCAATTAGTCAAGCAGAATTGGAACCTTCCACACTTTCTGCATTTTGAGAGGGATAACCTTTAATGAAGATGATGAAGCAATACAATAATTTTTTGTAATGCTTTTCTTGATCTCTTTTATCAAGATATATTAAGGGAAATTAATGTTATTTTAACATCAGCATGTTTATACTGTTGTACAAGCTGTAAATACCACTTTGTAAGGAGCAGCAAAGATTGAATGGAAAGTTTGATTTTTCATGTGGGGACACTTCAGCATCCTATTGAAAATTTCTACAAAGACTGGCAGAATTGAAACCTACCTTACTTGCTGACTTTTTGGATGGTGAGATTGCATGTCAAAAGAAGTGTGGTTGATATCATTCCTTTCTCACTAGCGACAAAAGTTTTCATCATCTATTTTAGACAAAGAAGCATTGTGTGTATATGCATTGAACCCATATACAGATCTATGACAAATTTTCTTAATTGGAAATCAGCTGAACAATAGGCAGACATGGAACCTATATAACATGAAATGCAGAATCTGGACAGTAAATTGACATCTTATGGACATGAGGAAATTATAAGAGTTCAATATCCCTGCCTTCTCCCTTTGAAAGAAAAAAGTGTAAAATAAAGGCTTTGGGAAAAGATCCACACTTGAGTAACACAACTATTTTTTTGTCTCTAAATGTTTACAAAGGAAAACAAAAGAAGAAGACTCTCATTCAGATGCTCCAATATGACCACTTCATAGACAAATGGATGCACGTGCACAAGAATAGTCTAAGGACGCTGCTGTAAAGTCTCATCATATTTTTAACAAATAGAGGAATGTATTAGAAGAGATTAGTGCAAGCAAATCTGATTCAGTATTGGCAAAAAGTAGATAGAATCTGTATTTTTAAGATATTGGTGTAAAAATCTAATCATTAATGTTACCAGGTCTTTGCCAAAATTATTTGACTGTGTTTAATCTTCAGGATTGTAATTCTAAATTTGAATAAATCAGATGAAAAAATCAAAGTTTTTCAGTGCAGCACTGCTTTGAGAAGAAGTTATCTTAGGTCATTTGCCCTGTTAATGACATTTGATAAAACTTTTGTAAAATAATGCAAGTTTTATAGAAAAAAAAAGAAAAGAAGATGGCAGCAAACTAGTGATCCACCGCCAAAGTTTTGTTTTATGTTCTGTGTTCCTACAGTAAAATTCAGGATACAATAAAGATGTACACTAGAAATTCGCCTGATGCTGTAATAAAAGAAATTCCTCGTTCATGCCAACACCCTATAGACTGAAATTACTGGCAGAAGAACTGGGAAAGGTCCTAAAAAAGTTGGCATGCCAGATCATCGAGCAAAGGAGACAGGTTATCTGTAGGCAATCCAATTCATGACACCCACACATGACAAAGTTGTATCTTGAAGAGTAGGTCGTAAACATGCTTTAACGCATTCTTGTCTCTGAAAAGTTTGAAGGTTTATGTCTTTTTGGGACGTTTTCATACCAAACACGACTTATTGTCTTTTGTGAACACAAATCGTGAGAGAAGGGAGTGTAGGAATGCACTCCGCTTAAGCTAAAAATTTCATTTGCACTTGAAAAACAAGCACAAAGAGCAAGTACAAGAAGTCTTACATTATGAGCAAATTTGTAATAGATGATCATATACAAACTTGATAACAAGTGAGATCAAATGATGCCATGAAAGTATAAGGAAATTAAGTTTGTGGAAACTAATTTTCCTGGAGTTCGCGTTTTTAGGTGAATCCATGAGCATCTTTTTGCGAAAAACCAATTAAAAGGAAATTTGCAAAAATGAACTGCATCTCCTTTTGAACTCCTCATAACAATAATTTCAGCTTATAAAATGTCCTCTTATCTTTAACCAGTGAATTCGCGTTTAGGTTGACTGTTTTTTCAAAAATCTGAGGCTGGATTGTTCTTAATTTGTTCTTAAATTAATAGGTTGTAAGCAGTGCGATTGCTAGCGTTTTCGCTCAAGGGAGGTGTTCAGGCCTTATTTGCCAACAAAGTGAGTGAGACAGCCTTCATTTGCCCACAGGTTTGAATACTCACTGAAAAAGAACCCACAGACGGCTAAAAGTTCTCGCTTGTTAGATAAAACGTTGTTCAAAATTGCATTTTACAGTAGCTCAGCTTGTTCTTAACTTGTTTTTAACTTTTGACCAATTTGAGGGTCGTGTTCTTGTAAATTGTTCTTGTAAAAAAAGAGTGTATTACAAAAAAGAAAGTTGACTATTACCAACCATGACCAATAAAATGAATGAATTATAGGTTGAAATTTGGTCAGACTTCCTATTTAATGCTAAGGTTCCGCTGCATGACCAACTTTCTTGAAGTCTGCAGACCTGACGCCACGCCCCCCCCCCTCCCACCCCCAATCGGCACATCCCTGCTTGCACCTGTTATGCATGCGTCGTGGTGTATAATACGGTCCTAGCTTTTAGAAACTGTTAAGTTGTGGACAAGCAATGACATAACTTCAGTGGGAGCACAGTATATAGGATTCCTGATTCTTATTCAAAAAACCTTTAGGGTCCATGAACCACTCTTTAGGGCCCAAAATTTATTATAAGAAAAAAAGACTCTCCCCAACTCACACTGTTTGCGTATTTATTGATTCTGTCTCGATAGGTTTTAGTGGTTTGTACTAAAACTGAAGACAAAAGGCTTTAACTGGTTTATTCTTGTTTGGTGACGTTTTCAAGCAGCAAGTCTGCGCATAACAAATCATTTTGGACCACTGAAATCCGTTATGATTATACTGTTTTTATCAAGATCGAACAATTGCGATAATAATGCTGTTACTGATAATCAGGAAAAATACTCAAAGGTCTTGATATTTCATCAAAAGGTTACGATATTACATCTTAAGAACGAATGTCATATGGGTAAAGATAAAGCCTTGTCAATTATTCAAAAGAAGACTAAGAAATAAAAGCAACTAATCTTTTGAGTTCATTTTAACATAACTTTTCTACCGCTTCTAGTCTAAAAGTGAATAATTATCATAAAACTTTCTAAAAGGTATAGTTATTATGCATTAGGTAAGTTGAACACGATTTGAATCTGGCCAAGCAGACGTCCAGTTAAGGACGCTCTGTCCGGACCATCGAAATTGCGACCGGACCATCAAGATCATTGTCTGCTGCAAACGCATCGACGTCAAACTTGCATCTGTCCTCCGGGTCCTTAATGACCACGGTTTTGTCATTCTGCTCATATAACAAGAAATAGTAACGATGTTTTCCTGATCCGGACGGTGGTGAAGGCGGTTGATATTTCACAAGCTCTCTGCCTGTCAATATATCCTTTGTTTTTGTATTTGTACTTGTCACTATCCAGTGAAGCCAGCTCCTGCAGCTCGGATTCTTGCTTGAAGGCGCATCCGGATCCACCATAACGAGGGTTACATTCTTATCAGTCAATTTTCCCAGCTTTTCTAGATCAACCTTAGGCCGTTCCGCTAAACTTTCCAGAGGAAATGTTTCATAACACGATGTTATATCGTTGTAAGGATAGGTAATAGGTAGAAACTGCGCTCGTGTGCAAAGATCATCCCAGCCCATCTTCGAAATTTGAGATCGAGATGCAGCGTTCACTGTTTTTGGTCTGTGATGATGCAGGAAGCTCTTCTTGTGCAAACCGCCATGTTTTTTAACACGAGCACCAACAAAAACGCCGACTACCATCAACAAAGATAACAACTTCAGCATCCTCCGTTCCCCTTTCATCTATAACACTCTTGCACTCGAACTATCTTTTATATCTATACTAAAACCCGTTATAGCAATAATCTTGAAACCAATTAATAACAGGCCTATTCGATTTTGTTTACATGTAGCTACCACTAAACACAGCAAACCTAGCACCTGTCAGATCACAAGTCAATGAACACTATGTTCATTGCCTTTGCATAAATCAATTTGGTGGAAAATGATTCCAACCTGCACTATCTTGGATAAATACCGAATAGTTTCATTGATGCTTCATTGACTATGGCAACCACTAGGATAGGACATGTTGGGAAACTAAAACGGTTACGTTCATTGACGTGCTACGAGCTACTATCAGACATTCCATGTAGTTCAATCTTGCTACAGTTTATTTCCATTTTCTTCCATCTCTAGAGAGTTTTTCAAGTTCTTTATCTCTCAGCTCATTTAAAATTTGGCAGTACCACATACAGGGGTCAGTGTAGAAATTTGATAGAAGGAACATCTGTGCTGACAACCTCTCTTTCCGATCGATATAAATGGACCAAGACCTTGAATGGCATCGGATAAACCATTGATTTTGGATAAACCAAGGGTTAGTTACAAGTCACCAAATCAAATGGTTAAGTTGCCCCAGCGTGAAACTCCGGTCTGTTCTACACACTGAAGTGTGCATGGCGCTGTCTATACAGCTTCTATAGAACAAATGTCATCAGAACGTTCGTTTTACACAACATTCGTCCAAAGGACATATGTTGCTTGATGTGACCGTATTGAGTGTCACACCCCAACCCCTTTGTTTTTTAAAAGGAAGGTTTTTTAGTCTGCTGAAGGAAGGTTAAACCTTTTTCTAGACTCTGCATCAGAAGCTCGTTCTTGTTGACTACAAGTACCACAATGCATTTCACGCAGAAATATTGCGTAGACATCTTGCAGACACAAAGTGATTGCTGTAATACCATTTACCCTATCAGCTAAAACCTCGCTTTGTAGCAAATACTTTGAGATATCACAGAGAACTAGTCAAACAAAAGGACTATAATTTCCAGCAAAGAAAAAGTAATTTCATTCAATAATTCCCATTAAAAATATAGAGCAGATAAAAATTGTGTTTTATGCATTAAAAAGTGACTCGTGCAATAAAAAACGTGTTATAGAACGAAAAAGTAGAGTAATTAAAATGGTCGTCAAAAATTGTCATAATGGAGAATCCTTCCACGTAAAACATATAGAACTTATATGGACTGTGGTATGAAGACAACAAAAAGTTGGTCCCAGAAGTATTATATCATCAGAATAAAATCGGGGGTTCTTGGATGGCATTAAGACGATGGATACAACAATTTCTGACGACAAAGTCCAATTTATCGAAAACTGGCTTCTAGTGGAAAGTTTTCGTTAACAGCAGACCTAAACCAAAAAAATCCCTTAAACCAAAGTTGTGGTTTTTGTTTCAAGCTATTTTCTTTTTCTAGAGCAATAGAGAAAACAAAACATCCAATAATTACAAGCAACTGCACAACGTTAATTAAGTTAACAAAATTGTTTAAAAAAATTATGGAATAGGCGTATTACAAATCTTCCCTATAAATTAAAACATAGACCTCTATTTAAGAAGAACAAGAATTGCTTCCTTAGCATAAAAAGAAATGCACTATCATTTTAAAACCTGCATGTACCCGAGCAATCTTGTCCTTTTAAACAGGCCCTAGCTTTTTTCAATGTGACACTTTGCCAATGCAGTAAGCACATTCTTATTCCTCAAAAACAGCGCTGTCTTTTTATTGCAAATTTCAAATACGTCGAATTGATAAATACAATTTAAAATAAGAAAATAGATTATATACCCGATTTATCTTCGTTTGAATACCCGATCTACATTTCGCTTGCAAAATAACCCATATTTGAATTACTAATTCTGAGAAACTCAAGACAAAAAAGGACGCTAAAAGATTCTGATCTATACTAACAAATAAGCAATTGCTTTTTCTCTTGGGCCTCCGGAGCGAGTGAAACTAACTAAAACAATCTGATATGGTGCAAACAGGTGGGTTACGATGATGCCCCTCTACAATTTTTTTCGAATTATTGCATCTGTCAAGATTTGGTACATTGCACTAAAGACAATGATATCCTTGGCTGACTTGATATAAACTTAAGCCTGAAGAACTTAGAAGAAGAAAAGTCGAGAACATTTTTGCTACAACATACAGACAAAAGACAAAAGCTAAGTTGGAGAGGGGGGAGGGGGGAGGGAGGTTTCAGAAGAATCGCATTAATGTTTTTATACTTGGTGAGGTCATCAGCAAATCTACTATCAGCTCCTGAATGAATTAGCAGACTTGACCAAAATTTGAAAGTAAACCGATGAATAAAGAAGCTGTAAAACTTTATCTAAAATATAACCAAATAGGTGGGCATCCTTTGTACGCTCAAAAATAAAAAATTAAATAGTGAATTTACCGACTTTACTTCCAATTAAGGTATTTTTCCAGGACGAACACGATCACCAGTGATAAGATATAAATACAGCCAACTGGAATTGCAAGGTAAAGCTATAAAAGAAAATTGAATAATGGTCAGTATTTTGCTGATGTAGCATGCGAAAAGGCCAAACGGTGACAGAGCTTGACTGAAGTCTTCCAGAGGCTAGGGGTTTGAGGCTCAATCCATGACTTGGACATTCACCCCCTCTCTATCAAGCAGTAAATAGGTCTCCTAGGAGACTCAAGGCAGAGAGGAAAGAAGCTGGCCATCCCAAATCTGGGCAAGTGTTCTCTCTAACAGGCAATTACAGACAGGCTATAATGAGACGATGTTTCAGGCAAAGTCGAGGGAGTGATGGACAGCAGGGTTATTCTCTATTTTTGTGCAAAGCCGGGTGAGCCTTTCTCTATATTTGGCTATGCCCGTTACACCAGAAACGGTGAAGATCCCCAGAAATTAATAAAAAAGGCCATAAACAGAACCCTAACCACTTGGATCATCAGTAAATCGTTATCTAGGGGGTATTGCAAGGTTATGCTTTTTATTGCCACATTCCCTTCACCCTCCCTCCCCTCCTGCCCCTTTACGGTCTGCAGCGATACGATAAGATAACAAAAACGTTGCCACAAGATCACATAGCTGTTACAGGCCTGCCAAACTGGCTTGATGCAAGTCAAAATTCTGTTTTTGGTTCATTTTAGTGAGGCTGTTTTACAAGCTGTTTATTATCGACGCCGTCTTTGTTTTTTCTTAGTTTATACATACCAGTTAATCGTAGTTTCAAAAATACCTCCTTTGTAGAAGAATTTTTAGTCATACATAGATATATGTAGATAAATTATACACATTTTGGCGTAAAACAATACGAATATTTCTTACCTTGTATGTTTTCCTGAAGCTAATGATCCCCACGCAAAATTGAACCAGTAGGATGACCGTGACTTCTAAAGGAAGAAAACCAAAGAAGTCTCAATAGAAAACTTTAATCGTAAATCATCAAAACTCTTTCAAAATGACTCAAAATTTAAAATATGCAGTACATATGTAAGGTGATTTTTTACTGTTTTAAGATTTTTGGCAAGGAAAGAAATAATAAATGACTGATTCGATGTTTTTTTTTCAAAATCTATGCTCTTTTAAATCGCTTTGAAACGTTACGAATATTGGTGACTATTTGTGAAACCTTTGAAATGAAATCGATGATAAAGTCTTCTGGAAATTCGCACTCTTCCTTTTTTTGTCCGTGAATATGAATACACTAGCTTAATGAATAGTAGAATGCATCCAGACGCATTTCATTTTAAGTTTGAAAGAAAGAAGCATTCGCTAACACGAGAAAAGAAGTGAACTTTAAAGAACAGGGGCTGAGCATCCGGATCCACCACCATAATCCACCATCCGGAACTGGCTCTGGATTATAACGTTGGTTTCACTGCAGTTTGATTTAGGTCTACTCACGTGAATTCAGTGGCGGCGCCACCTATCGCAGAGTGGGAGGCGGAGGGTAATGGTCGTGGCCAGTGATACCATACCCCTTTTGCCTCGTTTCAGTGTTTGTACCAGGTGAATTTTCCTTAGGCGAAAATATTATCTACCCCTACGTCACACTTTTTATCAATTTCTAGAAGAAATTTGTGGACTATGCTTTGACAAAATTTTGGGGTGGGGAGTGAATGACGCGGCCACTAGGTCAATTTATTATAAGCTTTCCAATCCAAAAATGTTTAGCAATATTACCTGCTGAATAGTACCACTCAAGCTCTCGGAAGTATACAAGAGCCATAAAGATGCCAAGACACATTGTATTGTTCATGATACAGGCACCATAGATCTGCGGACACAAAAATATGATTCTACTAAAAACATCGGGATTTCAACAGGTGAACTGACCAGGAATTTGTAGCTTAATTACTCATTTATTACTTATTGGCTAAGTCCTAACTTAGTACATATGTCAGTCAAAAGATGACAAATCAAATATTAGTCTTTATTAGTCTTCAGAAAATACATTTGTTTGCACAGAACGTGAACGTATATAACAAGCACTCTTCGAAATTCCAAAATAGCTGAAAATCATTTAACATACACAATCTCTATATCACTTAAACAAAACTACACTCAACCTTATTTGATTGCCATAAAGAATAATCAAGGGAATTGAGGGGTAGTTGCTGTAAGGGGGATTTGGGGGCTCAATAAAAATATTTACTTCTTGTTATTGCTTTAGATGACATTGTACTCAAAATCCGAAACCCCCTTTACTTTTCACATTCACAGTACTTCTAACTCCTGATTTCAATTAAGCAACGTTTGAAACCAAAATTACGTCTGGGGGTTGCAAGAATGAGTCCTTTAAGGCTGGCAGTGTTTCGACTAAGATTAATCATTATGAGCTTTTGTGATATCCTTGAGCCGTATGACTTAGCAGTCATACATTGGTGCACATACCTGGGAGTATGTTATTGTGGCATTGTCTCTCTTTCTGCGGCTTGCGAAGATCAGTGATGACACCAACTCTGAAGCATTTGAGCAAAGTGGGGTGACGATAAACGAGACGTAAAATGCTGAAAAGGGAAACATGGCATACTGTAAGAACAGAGCACTAATTATTGTCAAAAAGAGAATTTCTTTGTCTTGTGGAATGAATTTCCTGTCGTACATATTTTCAATTTCTGCAATATCTGGTCCAAGTTTTGGCCTAGAACCATATTTCGAAGTCTACTAAGCTGTTGCCAACTTTAAATGTAGATTAAGTGAAGTGTGGAATCGATATTTGAAGGCTATGGACTTGCAAAAATAATAATGATAAAAACAATGATAAAAAAACACGATATTTATACAGAATAACCTTTTCAGTAATGAAGTCGCGTTAAAGCTACAGTTTGTGAAGGAAAAGAAAAACATATGATAGACAAGAATATAAGCTTTAAAAACCTAATAACAACAGGGTTCTGAACTTAAAAAAAGGTAGGTTGATTTTTGTAATAATATGAGAATAACATGACAATGCATAGAAACCAAACTGAAAGAAACAGCTTATTATAAATCTATCATGATTTTGTAATGAATCGCTCCGCTTTTACAGTTGTGAATGTCCTGCTAAGACATCTGTATAAACCTAATTGTGTCACAGAAACAGGTTGCATTTTTAGAATTTTTCAAAATCAAAACTAGATGAATTCATATTTCAACACCAAACAAGGGTTAATTTGCAAGTGGTTCTAATTTACTTAGTAGGCCAGATTTAACAAAGAAGTGTACAAATCATACATAACACTAATTTTATCGAAAATCTTCAGAATATAAAGTATCAGATAATTTTTATAAGGCAGGCAGAAAACTTGTGTTCAGGTGCGGATCGAAAGTAACGTGACAGGATGAATGATGTGTTTGATTGGTCCCTTATTCTACGACGTAATTGCAACAACAGTGGTATTATCTACCATAAGTTTAACATGTTTGTTAGCAATGGCAGTAATGAATGTTCACGTGACTTCTCCGTTCCTGACTAATTACTGGTAGAATTACAATCGAATTTCAACTTCCCTTGCAGCTAAGTCTCGTTTAAATATTTCATTTTGGCCAATCGACGACCACTTCCTCTCACACATTGGATCAGAACGATTGGCATGTGTACCTCATCAACTGGTATGTGCCAACAATCTAAACATGTTGTACATCTACTTACAATTAATTTTACTTACAATTGACCTTTATGTAATGTGGATCATTCTTTTTATTAGTCAAAGCATCCAGTGCATCACACATGGGATCCGAAAATATTGACACCTACAATATTAACGAAGGGGTAATAAAATAATAAAAAATAAATATTTAGATTTATAAAGCACGACTGTATTCTGCGGTGCATACAATTTATAGGTATTAGGAAGTAACATCGAGTTGAAATAACTGTCACAATTACAATAAATAAACTAAAAATTACAGTAATTTCAACATAACTGATAGATAAAAATTAAATGCTATATGTGCACAATGGAAAATATATAATAATTCGTATAGCTAAAGTAGAAATGAATAGGTTTTATATCTTAATAGCCTTTGATGCCTCAAAATTTGAAAAAAACACAAGCAAAATATGTCATACTAAATAGGTCATATCAAAGAAGTTTTCATCAGGCCCTCCTCAGAGTATAACATCAGATAATAAACAAAATGTAAGCGAAAATTTACGGAATATAGGCAATATATTGCAATTCGGATAAATTCTATAATAACATATATATTCACATGGTCATTTAAACGCCCAATAAAAGAACAATTCCAATCTAGCGTTTTGAGAAAATGAATTATTTTAAATAGAGCGTTACCCAGAATCGGTAAAACAATACCATGACTGAGATATGATTCTTAAGAAAATAAATAATTTTAAATAGAGTGTTACCCAGGTCGGTAAAACGACACCTCGATTTAGATTTGAAAGTCAAACCTGATTACTCTATCATTGATGTCAAACAAAGCAGCTGGGTTTATCTCATGAGAACATACAGACCACCCAACTCCCAAAACACCTTGCGGTAACTTACAATCTTGTGCCAAAACTGATACTTTTTTTAAATGGACCTTGCTAAACTTGACTCATTCCCATCAACCAAGGCTACCAAAAATGGCCCATTTAAAAAACGTAAACACAAATTCAAGCTTTCAACAAAGGGTGAGAATGCACAGCAAACCACATACCATTGCAACGCCGAATAGAAGCATACCAGCGGATTTCAGACCAATTTTTACTTTGCTTTCTTCCTCTTCTTCTTCTTCGGTTTCCCTTTCCTAAAATAACACAAAACGAACAATTGTGACGACTAGAGAATAAAAAAAGAACGTAAATCACTTTACTTTTAGATTTATGTATCTATAATGTCTACCAAAAACACTGGTACACTACAACAGTATTTAATTTTCATTGGCATACCGTATTCCCATTTCAAACATATGTCCAGAGCTCCCATGTTGTTAAAGTGATTTCTATCTCACGATTTTCATGGAAAACTATACATAAAGTATTGTGAGTGGGGTCGGAACAGGGGTCGGTTAAGTTTAGAAGAGAGTGAAATTTTTCAAATTTATAACTCCTTTTGCGTTTTGCATTTTGAAGAATTTAATAAATGAAACGAGGTAAAAGTTGAATTGCTTTAAATCTTAGACGTGCGAGTATTTTTTCCTGACACTGTCCTGATAAAATCTACATGTTTAAATAAGAAACCAGCGTCTTAGAAATGGCATGTGCAAAAATGATTAAACTCTTCTCGTTCACTACATAGATTTATATCGTTGTTTACAGTGGGCCAAACTGGAAACGAAATTTGATTGTGAACTTGTTATTGTGAAAGATATAGCATTTATAATATTCCAACAAAGGCAAAAATATGCCAAGCTGCAACGGAACAAATTCATTGCTAGTAGGCTAAGCAAAATAAAATGGTTGCAAACAGAAATAAAGTTTTTATCGTTTATAAAGTAATGTCATAAAGGTAGAAACTAGGCTTTTCCAAACATTTATCATAGAAGATTTCAAGAAGGAAAGACCTAGATGCCTGTGAAACGAATAAATCTTTCAAATCCTACCACAGGTTCAGGAGAGACTACTTCCGGCTTTTGAATCATAGCCTTGGTTTCTTCCTCGTCCTCTTCGTTGCTTGCACCCATCTTCTTTATTCCTTTCTTCATATGCCAGGCTTTGAAGTATTTCTTAGAAACGCTATGATCTCCTTCATCGGCATCAGTAGATCCAGCACCACCATCTAAGATTAAACCAAAACAAAGTTCCATCATTGAGACTGTTGACAAAAGTGGCCCATTTCTGCCTTATAGGAAGAAGGTACAAAACCTTAGGGTTGATTTACTTCACTCAGCTGGAATGCAGAACAGTCCAATACAACTCTATAAAATGTTTTCTTAGTAGACGGTAGCAAACATGTAGGTTATTTACGTAACTGTGTCTTATAGAGAATCAGTCAAAATATATATCAGACCAAAGCAGTTTGTAAAACTGTGATGACAAACGTCCATTGACAGTGTTGGTAGAAATGTCATTCTTTCGTTAAGTATCACAATGAGATGACACCGAAATGTGTGTTTAGAACACATGTGTAGTCCCATAAAAGTCTTTTTACTCACGTAGAAGAGGTATTACTCGTGTACCAAGTTCCCAACCGTAAAAGGGACTACACTGCATTTATTGCTCTTGTGTTTGCAGTGTTCGTGGTACAGAAAGTATTGACTTGAAGCATGACAGGCATTCTATAGGATATTGTATACCAGCGCACAAGCTTTAGTGCAGTAAAAACGAAAATACCTTGGCACAACAACAAATGCGTGGAACTTGTTCTATTTCAATACACGTTTTATATACGTTCTTTTTGTTACACTGCTGACAGATGACTATGTGATGCAGCTTTTAAGACACCACGTGATCCAACGACTTACACCCCGTAGCCATTAAAAACAACAAGGACAGCAAGGCAATAAAATAAAATGAAATGTTTTTCACAGTTAGCCAAAGATAGTAGGTTTTTTACCCAAGATATAAAAATAAACTAATGAAAGTTACTGTTTACAGGTCTGTCAAAAAGTGCTCTGTGCCGTATAGGCAGAGCTGTACACGTTATTTGGTGTATAAAACAGAACCGTTCTAAGTTGCACTGCTCCAGCGTAAAAAATGAAGTTTCGTAAATCGGGGAGGGCTGGGCTGTGTCTCCTATTTAAAGTTTATGTTACAATGGAATTTCGTAGCAAAAAGCTGGCAATATCATGATAAATTAAATCTATTTTACTTCCTGAGGAGAGACTCTTCTGACTGTTCCTAGAGTCATTAGGGACAAGCACCCTAAGAAGTGTTTCTTATTGAAAAATTGTAAAATTGCATCTCCGTACCTTCCACATCAGTTGCCTTTGGAGCTGGTTTGAAAATCTGCCTATCGGCCATGACAAGCATATGATGCAAAACTTTCCTCTGAATCCTTCAATTGAAAAGCAACATTGCTAACACATAGAAAAACCAATTGATCTGTATATTGTATCGAGGGGTAAGTCTTGGGACCTGTCTTTCCTTTTGAATATGTCAAAATCGTCTTCAAATAGCATTCAGTCAAAGCAAGGCTTTTATGTAAAGAATTGATTTTTAGAAAGCACCTTTTCTAAGATTCTTGGGACTAAAGGCGAATAATATTTGAAAATGACAATTGTTTCCTGGTATTTGGAAGCAATACGCTACTGGCAATAACAAAAGGTAACAATACACTAGCAAGATATAAAAATAAAAATAGAAAGCTGTAGTTCATGACATGAAATTCTTTAAACGAAACGATCAAATGTATCTCTGCTTTAAATAAGGTCAAAATAATAAAATCAGCAAAATGGGAAATTACATTTCTTTGCGATGTCTTTGAAGTCTCATTTCAGCAGCTCTGCTGTCGTAAAGCTACAAGGGAAGTGAGGAGACCAAACAAATCAGTATGGGGGTGAACGATATGCATATTGAGCACAGCTATAGATAGATAGACATATAAAACGATTAAGCAAAGTGCCCACCCTTTAGGTAGAAAAGGATATTTTAGGTTATACCATCTAATTACAAGAAAAGACTTCCAAGTCCATGTCATTTGGGTCGGATGGGGCCTGATGATGAACTGGATCCAAAGCCTTATATTAAATATCTAAGGAGCACTGGTTTTACCAAATTTGGATATGAGGCAGCTACACTCCTGGTCAAAAATGGCTGAGACATTTGAATAAAAAGAAAATTCGCGTGTTATATCTTCATATTATATGCGCTGATGACCGAAACCCCCTTCCCCCTGGGGTCAATGTTGGTTAAGATGGTTACGGAATAAGTGGGGATCACTACATCGGTTACCAATCCAATCTCAACATTGATTTGAGGGGAAGGGGGCGGGTGATTTGTAAGTAGCTTCTTTTTTTAAGTGTCTCAGCATTTTTGGCCAAGATTGTAATCTCGAGATTTTAATTGCTCTTCGATAGGATAATTTCAAAATTATTATTTCCATTCGATTAGAAATTTGTAAAATAAACTTTTTCGTTTTTTTCATTCAAATATAGAAAGAGGTCTGGTGAATGAAAGTAGTTTTACTCCGCATACTGGAAAATGATACCTAAATAGAGAGAACCCACTTATCGTTTGTTTGATGAATATCTCAAAGTAGAAAATATACAAGTCGTAACTGAAGTGATTACACTTTGGTTTGGTCAACCCTATTGTCTTTTAAAAAATTTCACAGAACATATTTCTTCAATGCCTCGAAATGTGGGTTTTCTTTTAAACAAGGCAAGTCAAATAGCTGCAAAAGTGGTAATTTAATTTTTTCCATCTTTTCTTGATAATTTGATGAAACAAAGGAAAACAGACACGTTCTTACTAAACGCCCATGGGGAAAGTAATCAAGTTGGATCCTCTTAGAGAGAGATAAGAACCACCAACGGAACCGTGCTGGGGAGACACAATACCCATTTACTTATCACGAAATATAAATATACGTAAAATTCAACACACCACGCGGTGCGGTTGATTACAAAGGCTTTTTCTGCATTGCTCATGCACGCAACATGTTTCAAAATTCAAATGGAACAAAACACGTTAAACACACATTAAGCCATGGATCTTAAATCTAACGATGAGACCGCTCACCTACAGCGTGAACAAAACAGGAATGAAAAATACTGTTTTCACTTAACAGGGAATGTCATGGGAACGTATGATAACAAAACGTGATCAAGAATCGCCTAAAATCTTTATCTGTCTTGATATTTTGCAACTCAAGCATTGGTCACGCCAAAGACAATAGGCTTAATTGAGGTAATTAAGAGGCGCGCGCGATATATATAATGGAAGTGTTTACAAAAGATGAAGCCATAGAAAGAAGGGAACAAAACAAAGGTGTTGATGAAAGATTAACACATTTCACACGAAAGGGGAGGAATTTCATTAGTAAGTGTGAAAGCGTTATTAAGATACTCAGGCATCAAAAGTAACTTGTGAAACAAATTTTCATCTGTCATATGAAAATTTCAATAACCTTTTTTTGGTTTTCTAAAAATAACCGGTCTTCTAAGCAAATATTCCTTCATTCAAATAAGTAAAATGAGAAACTACTGCACTAAATGCCAGTCAGAATATGGTATTCTCACAATAGAGCATCGTGTGTTGAGGGGAGGGTTCAACTTGAATAAATCATCACAGAGATTAAGATTTATTAGCTAAGTTCGAATCTCTTTTGTTTTCTTAATGTCATTAACTCACTTTTAAGAAATCTGAGGTACTGGCTCTAGCAGCCCTCAATGCGTTAAACCTTGTATAGGACTGCTACGAAACAGCTGCCAATTTATCATTTAAAACCTTGCCTTTTCCATGGCCAAAAAACAAACAAGCCCCATCGATACTGATATGTCGATTGTCGAGCATACAGACTATGCGCTACCTTTCAAGCCCAAAATAGCACAAGTAGAGTAATGAAAATCTCAATCAAATTTAGGACAGGGCACCATTATGCGAGAGCATTAAGAACAAAAAGGATTTAAACTCACACCCTATTAAATTTAGGGTATCATTTTCTCTCGATGATTTAGAAAGATTGGTCCATACTCGTGGAGTTTCAGTCTTAGATTAGGCCCCTTGTTCAACTGTATTCTGAGGTACTGCACCACAAGCCTCATTATTTGGTCCTTTGGCTATTACAGCCTAATAGAACAATGGTGAAAAAAAGAGTAGGCACGTACCATAAATGCAAAATATCCAAACAAGCCAACAAAACAGAGTATCATTGTCACCAAAGCACTATTCCTCACATACTCTGGTTGTGGTGATGCAGTATTGGTTGCTCCAAAATGCCAGTCAGCAGACTGTACAACCCTAAAATCAATCCATAATTGACTGTGTGTTAGTATTTCTTGGTACACAAGATACAGCATGCTAGAGGACATTGTTACTAGAAAGGTTTCTTCAAAGACTACAGCATGCCATAAAAACTGCAAGATATACCAATCGCTTCAAGCTCTGGACAGATTTGCAGTTTTCCTTATTTTCTATGATTAATGGCCAAAATTATGCAATGCTTATTTTAAATTTACGCATTAAGATCAAACATCCCCCCAAATTTTCAAAAACTTTTGCATACTCTGTTACTTAAAACAAAAATCATTTGAAGATAGCAAGCAGAAACAGATCATACTAAAGTATTTTTCGGCAGCTAAAGACAATACAAGGTCATTCTCCCTTTTTCACTCAATACTAAGTTAAATATCTCCTGAGAAAAATATTAGTAAAACTATCACTTGATAATGGATCAATAGCAAAAATGAATCTTGATACTTACAAGTAAAAAAGAGATGTAATAAGCATGATAATCAGGCCACTTCTGAATTCAGGCAAAAGTGTGATACCCTAGAAGATTATAGCTTGAGATAAATTTTAGGATATAAAAAATTATTAGAAATGAAAGCAGCTGACAAATAGGGAGTATATCAAATGTCATAATATTGGCAGTAGAAGGTAAAGGCTATAATAAATTCAATTGTCAATATTTATAAGAAAACACACATAAATTGTCTGGAAGTTTCTTAAACAAAATGTCAAGTCTTGAAACTCCAACCAATATGAAATTTCGAAAGTTTTGAATTATTCCCTTAAATCCAAAAATACCCCTAAAAGCTAAGATATTTAAAAGCTGAGATATTTCAAACCTGATTGCTAAATATGATGGATTTAGTATGTGGCAGATCTTGAACTGTTTTGCTTGCATTGACATAACTACAAATGTCACACATTTTGATGATTTTCAACATACCTGATCTTTTAAAGCAAACCTTCCTTTTCCAGTCCCATCAATAGATTCACCCTTCTGATCCAAATTGCATCTCCCTATCATCAAACTTCCAGCCCAAGCAATTGTCAGTAACATGATGGTACTTCCAGCCAATGTTCTGTGTTAGAAATAATTTCATTGTTAAGTAAAACTTCCATCACTTAATACAAAATATCTTTAGTCAGTCTCAATTTTTTTTAAATGCTAGGTAAGATTATTTAAAGACAGTGAACAGGTTAGGCAAGATGAATAGCAAGTAAACTACCTTCATTTGATACAAATTATATTTAGTACATAAATGTCAATATTTTCAAATTTCAGTTATAAAAGGCAAGATTGATTTAAGAAAGTGAGCAGGGTGATCCCAATCTGACTACATAATAGCTGCCTGGAACAGATCAAAATTGAGAAGTATGGTGCACATTCTATCGAAAGTATTTCAAAACACTCAGCAACTTAGATCACATTAGTCAGGTCTATTATGCATGAATTAGACTATTGTCAATTCTCAAGAATCTGCAGTTTGAAAATGCAGGTTATTTTTAAACTGCTTTTCAAAGTCAAAAGAAAAACAGGAACCTACAGTGCTAATTGCAGTATGGAATCTTAAAGGTTTTGCAATAAAAAAGATCACAGTTCTTTATCTATTTCAATACTTAGAAATATAAATGCAAGGATTGAAATATGAATGTTTAGCATACCCCATCCCAACAGCCAGTTTTTGTTGTGCTTCTTCTTTGTTGCCAAGACCTGATACAATTATGATGGCAGAATCTGGCACAGCACCAAGAAGGGGGAGAATAACACCACCTTTGAAGAAATTAATTTAAAATTAAATGCAGTTATTACTGCTAAATAAAAAAACATGTAAACTGAAATGAAGTTTATAATACCTAGGAATGTTATTTTGTTTCTAGGAATGTATCAGGGTTTGAAAAAGTCTTGCTTGACAATGTTTATAAAATGAACACATCATACAGTCGTTGAATTGCCACAAATAGACAAGCTTTTCGGAAACAGACATAAGGACTTTCAAAATTGAATTTTACGTATCATAACAGTTTTTCAACAAAGGCAATTAAGAACACAATTAAAAATTGGTCTATAAAGAAAACAAATTTACTTTTATGATTTAATGACATTATTCTCAAGCAACTTAAAAAATGTGGATATCTTTCTCTTTCAATTGCTAGAAAAAATGACTATGAAATACTATTAAAAATATTTTATAGTTAAACTTTTATACAGCTGTTAGAAGAAATCACTATCTACAATCAAAATCTACTTCATTCTAGTGTTAAGAAAAAACACCATAAAAAAGAGAGCATACCAACAAGACTTGCAGATATCCCAAGATCTAGCAATAATTCAGCACCATCTAGAAATGATTAAGATTAGGAGAATGTTTAACAAGTAACCTAAAGGGAGATTCCTCACAAGAAGAACATTCATTCACTAATTCAAATTTTGCTATGTTGACATAGATGAATCCTTTCAACTGGACTTACAAATTTATAGCCAAAATTTCAACGTTAACTGAGTTCATCAAAAATGCAATTGCAAAAGGTGTCAGGATATCAAGGAGTATCATATTAAAAAGATCTTGTTTGATAGGTTGAGTCTGCATAACACTGCTTTATGACACTGAGAATTGTGAATTAGTCTAGGGAGCAGCAATTTTAACAATGACACATTATATTAGAGTAGTAACTCAATGTAGAGAAAAAAAGATAAAAATAAGTAACGAAATAGTCTTTTCTCTATTAAGAAAACAAAAAAGATAACAAACCTGAAATGAACTTTGCAGCAACAGCAAGAAGCAATGCATAGAAAATTATAAGCAAGAGGTTCCCAGTTATCTGATAAAAAAAATCAATCAAAAGTCAAAAGAAGGTCTTTGTTTATCGCTAAGTTTCAATGCCATTTCTGTAAATTTTTCCACAGAAGCTGCGGCAAGGACAAGGTTACTTTTGGGTGTTACTTTTGCAATTCTGCTTACAATGGTTATGAGGCAAAGATATAAATGCATACTCTGCTTCTCTAGAAAATATTCTGATTTGAGAGATGTAGCCATAAGTAATGGTATACAATAAACTGAGATGCAAATCTCATTATCATTAAGTACTTGAATGGTGGAAAATTCACAATATTTATCTTGAATTTAGAAGGTTACTTTAATGCTAAATTTGGTTAGTTAAAAGGTCAAACAAAGGAAAATACAAGAATAATTGAGAGTATATTTTGGAAAATATGGAAGAGATAAATCTACCCACACAGGCTAACATGTGACTGAGAGAAAAGGTGGCAAAGATCTCCCTCAATCTTATTTCATTTACAGTCCTGCATTCCCACCTATATTACTTAAAAGCTGATGAAAGATTTGGGAAAAGGTGGTAGTTTCTGGTCTGTCATAAATCAAAAGATTATTACCCTGACTTTACACAATACTTTCTGAGTGTAATGACATAGAATAACATATACTTTCTGTTAAAGCAAAAAGGCTTTAATTTACAATTCAAAATTATACTAGCTAGCTATCTAATAATGTATAGTCTCATTAAAACATAGATCTTGGGTCAGCTAAAAGGGTAAATAAAAGAAATATTAAAAACTCAAGCCATTATCTGAGTAATACAGAGAAGTATATAACACTAAAGTGTAATCACTGCAGATGTTTATATTTCAAGGTTTAACTTATTTCCTAAAATAATGTTGTTCAAAAGAAAAAATAAATTCATAGCAAACTTTTTGTTCAAAGAAAAGAGAGTGACACAAAGATTGCTCTATATAGCAATAGTTATGAGATACTCAGTTCACCATTATTGATCAAACTTTTGTTGCATGCCTATATTAAATTATTCATATCCTTTAATCTTAAAACACATACCACTGAAGAGCAGGGGAAAATACCAGTTCTTCCTTCAAAGCAGGTATCTGTGTATGTATTGTTGTTGGCACCCTGAAAAACAAACACCAACTTATGACTTCTACTCTCAAAAAGAAGAAAAGTTTACTTAAACAATTAAAGAGATAATATGTTACAATAAAAGACATATGTTCCATTGTTGTATCAACTGAGCATTATTCACGATAGAAAAACTGGAAATAAAAACTGATTAGCTAACAATTTGTTCCAGATTTTTTGAGAGTTCAAACATGATTAATTTGGTAGAAATTGAAAATTTATCAAAAATATTGAATATTTTAGGGATAAAAAAGTCACACTTCAAAAACATTGGTTGTATACCTTCCATGGCAAACAATTCAAATTAAAGCAATCCCTGGCAAATGAAATAACAATTTAAATGTTGATTATTCAAGAAATAGTATATGATAAAATAATATGGGCAACCCTGCTATGAAATTTAATTGATTCTTTTTGATGAGTTAAAAATGTTTTCTGCTTTTTGTTAGAACTTACGAATGGTTTGAAAAGATTTTGTGTACATAAGGCAGGTGCAATTCTCTCTTGTTAAAGCAAACTTTGTCTTTTAAAAGAAAATTGGTCAAAAGAAAATTTGATTGGATGAATAAGCCTAGTTTGAAACCTGCAAATCATTATATCTCATTGCAAACACACTATTGTCAGACTCAACAAGAATAATAAAAACTACTTTTTTATCAAAATTTTATCTGGACACATTTGAAAAGAACACCATGATATAAGATAACTCGTATTTTTCGAAAACCTCGTACTCGAAGACCTTTACTTAATGGACCGTTCAAGCAAGCATAACTTTGGGTTACTATGATATAAAATTTTTGATAAAACCTATCATCTTGTTTCACATTTGTTTACAGTGAAATTAGATACCGTTGCATTAGATTCTGAAAATCAACATAAAGCAACACTGAGTGATCTTTTTGTGTTTCCCCTAAACCAATATTTCCAAAGTGCATTCAACTCTTCTGTTTTGATCAGCAGTTACAGAATTTCGCATCAAGGCGAAGAAAATAAATTCAAATTCGTGTAATTAAGCAACAATGTGGGCAGCTAAGCTAAATAACACTGAGATTTTTAACGTTTGTTTTTGTTTAAAACTAACAATGATAGTTTCAGCCAGCCATGCTTTGAATATTTGCGTTATGCTAAGAGGTGGTTTATTTTTGGAAAGTTAAGTTGTAAGTTATCGCCCGAGGAGCTGAAAATGGTGGGGAGGGAAGTCTTTCCTCAAACTCTGAGCATAGAGATGAAGAGAAAAATAACTTATCAACTCACCTCAACGAATAGATTATACGAGCCATAAGTAAGAATCATGAAGAGATGCAGCTTGCTGGCAAAAATGTTAACTTTCGCCATCCCGAAAATTTTCTTCGAGGTAGTATCATCAACAGCTTTTTGAAGGCGGGAATAACAAGTTCTCAAAACAACAGCCACTCCCTGTGAGCTGACCTCGTTTTGGGGGTGTCGTTATAGTAACAAGTACTTGCAAGAGATTTGTTACACTGCAAGAATTTATAGAAGAAATAAATGTCTGCATAACTGCAAACCCAAAGCATCTGGGGACATGATCCCTGCTAATGAGCTTAATATGCTTCACTGATTTATGATATTTCCCTCATCTGAAATTTGAAAATACAGCATATGTCTGCATGTGCTGAAATCAGATTCAAAGTCTGTCGTCTTCTCCTTTCTCTTGTTTTTCACACTTTGTTGCTAACATTTCTCTTTGTTTCACAATAAGTTTGATTATGCCAGGTATCACATAAAATAAATTTTACATGAAGATGCTGGTAACTGAGAAATGGTTTTAATCCGGAAAAACTACAATAAAACAATGGTTGTTCTAGAATGCAATCTATTTCGAATCTTTCAAGGAAAAAGGAAAAGGACCATTAAGAAAGTAATTTTAAGAAGAAAGAAAGTCAGTGCTGTTTCCAGACTTCTAAAAGTACGCCCTGATTAGGATTCTATATTATTGCCAATTTGAAACTTTTTTTTTTGTTAAACTTTTTATTTAATTGCACTCCTAGATAGTCTGTTTCAAGAGCTCACAAAACTAGTAATTATGTTTTGATCGACACCGACCAAACCATGCAACATTGGTGCAACATTTGCTGCTTGGTGAATGAGACTTCAACAACATGCGTGCCATCTTCAGGTATTCCGTTTGGAATTTTGCGTGGTTTCGATCGTCTTCCACACCAGGATATTCTTAGATCAAGGATTCGTTTAGCCCTCTACTAAAATTCATCGTGTAGTAAAGTCGCGAAAATAATGTTTCTCGGTTAGGCATGAGCAAGTCGTTGCTATTGAAAGATTCCATCCTACAGAATCGGTTTCTTGAAAAGAGTTTTTCTCTAGGCCTTTTAACTGAATGTACTATTTCTAAACAAAGGTAATGTAAGCTAATGTATTGTCATTGGACAATTAACCTTGCCTAACTTTTTATTTACACTGGCCTCTTTGTCACACCACGTGTCGTTCGAATCTGTAACAATAGAAACCGCGTTTTAGTGAGCTTGCCGTGTTTCGCTCAAACAAAGCCAATTGTAAACAATCTTATCACTAAATAAATATAGTTTCTCTGGTTTGTCTCGTAAAGGTAGTTGACGAATCAATAGACAACCATCTTTATGTATTACAAGGATATATATTCATATTTATAAATCATCTCTTGGAAATCACAAAATTACAAAACTTTTGTCCTAACAACTTTTACAAATCTACTATAAACAACGCTGAAAATTACGATTATAAAGAACTAAAAGTTTTAAAAAAAAGAAGACCTAATTTGCTTTGATTTCTCTAAGGATACATCACTTCATTCAAAATGCTTTGAACCCTATTTGCGTCTTTTTGTTTACTAAGAATGAGAGTTTAGCTAGTCAAGCTGGATTACTGTACTACTATAATTTGTATACCTGTATTACTCTATTTACACCTTTAGAAATGCGGCCCAACTTCTAGATTGCTTTTGGAGTATGAAGCAATACAGAACATTTACAAACTAGATGGAAAACTCCAAATCGAAAATTTTAGCGAAAATGTCTAAGAATTCAAAAATTCACTATGCTTATACAAACGAAATCAAAGCAACAATTCATAATTACGATCTATTTATTGATAGCTATAGTCATTTCTAACGCTTTTGCGAGATCTTTTGCTAAAGGTCTTTTCAGTGGATTCTGGTGCCAACACAGTTCCATAATTTGCTTGTACCTTGCTCCGCATTGGACATCCTCTGGAATACTTGGACGTAGATTGTACGCTACTACACCAAAGATCACAACATGATGATTTTTTGATCCGTATGGCTTTTCTCTGACCAGCATTTGCCATAAACATATTCCGGTTGAGTAAATGTCACATTGAGGGGTTGAAAATTCCCCACGAAACAGTTCCGGAGCTCTGTATGCGTATGTCCCGGTTAAGTTTGACTTTGTCGGGCTCATCGGTATCTCGTTACCCGAGGTTTCCATCGACTGACAGCAACCGAAGTCTCCGATTTTACATACATCGTTGTTTGTTATTAAAATGTTCGTTGGTTTTATATCCAAATGGGCGATACCTTTGCTGTGCGCATAACTGAGTCCCCTTGATATATCTAAAGCAAATCTAAGTCTTCTCTTTTCAGGTAAATCTTCTTTTTCTACATCGCTAATAACAGTTTGAAGTGTTCTTTTGCTGATAAACTCCATAAGAATACACGCAGATTCGTCCATTGTGAATACAGACAGTGTCCTAACAATATTTGGATGTCTCAAGTGCAAAGTGGAAGCTTCGGCTTCAAAGCTTTCACGAGCTGCTTTCGTGTTGATTCGGTGCAGTTTCTTGAGCGCAAAATTCCGCGAGCCATATTTGACAGCATAGACAGCCCCAAATCCTCCAGCGCCAAGCTTTTCGCCGATTTCAAGTTCACTAACATTTATTCCCTCAAAGAGACTTTTGTCTCTTCTAACGGGAGCTTGCTGTTCATTTTCACAGCTTTCCGAGTTTTTGCAATGCGATTTCTTGTTTGCGCGAATATTGCAATTTCCATTTCCGTAGCATTTTTCGTAGAAGTCGAAATCCTTGAGAAACACGAGTTTCAGGAAGCCGAGAATGTCTTGGTACGTTATGGTTCGAAGAACAGAGCAGAGCATTGTTGTTGCGTCCACTACCAATTTGTGTCAGCGGTGAATCGTGAGAGTAACTTTGGACAGCGGTCTTTGATCTGTCTTGCTAACCTCCTGCAAATCTGCTCCCCCAGCAACGGTCTGCAAATAATTGAACAATACAAGTTAGGGCTTTAATTCACCACAAAACAAAAGAATCTGGCCTTGACGATTGTTAACCGAATATTGACCCTTTTGTTTTATCTAGCTGGAGACAATCCAGAAGTAACTCGAGCAAATAATCCCAGACAGCTAAGCGTCCTAGTTACTATTGTTCTGGTATCCAAGATACAGCGTGCAAAGCGTGTTACATGGTGTGCTGCTCTGGGATTATCGGCCCCATTGTAGAGAACAAAAGAAAAATTCGAATAACAATAGCCAATCGAACAATTGCTCTTTTGTTTATGCATCGGGATACACACGAGCACATGGTTGGTTTCACGGCTCGATGCCCATCTCTTCTCAATTTCTCGAATTCCACATTGTTGCCACGGCGTGGAAGTTCTGCCTTCATGCAGGTCCTTCGCTGGGGCATGACAACAACAGGTTCTTTGAGCACGGTTTCCACGAAAAACAGGTCGACAGATGTAAAGCTATCAATACCTGTTCCCAGGGCCCAATCAGACCTGTCAAGAGCACATGGAAAACTGAGATTCCAAATCCCACTAAAAGTTGGTCCAAAAGAAGAGAAAAATTGTTGCGTTTTTATGCGTTTTAGTATTTCATAAAGATATCAGTTTAACGTGTTCTATTCTGCGGATATCGTGGAATAGGCGGAGGAGAGCCAAATGGTTTTGTCCTCGGAAGATTATTTGCCAAGGAGCTTTTACATTTGTGACCTTAGGGACGCATTGGACAGGAAGAGTCTGCCTTAGAACAAATTTTCATTAAACAAAATATTTTTCAACTCTTCATAGGACATTCAAACAAGGAAGACTTAACACACTCAAGTACAACGATAAGGTGTTGAAGCCAGTGCCATCGGAATGAAATTCATATTGGAGAGGGGGGCTGCCCATTGTTTTACTTCTCATTCAGTACACTGTTATAAAGGAACTAGTTCCTTATTTTATCTTGATAATACACAATGGACAAAACTAGCACCCTGAAACAGAATGACACAAACTTCCTTGTCGTATTTTTCCATCCACGTATTACGTAATGCCATGCTGATAAGACAGTTGTGGGTGGCTGTTTGATAGTGTAACAGAATAGAAATATCTGTGTGTTACATTTGCTGCATCGTGGGTTGGTATTTTTCTATCATTGATTAGTTCTTTATCGTGATATCGGCGTTTTTGCTTTCCTTCCCTCGTTTATAAATGCCCATTTTCTCTGATTTTTACGTCAAATTTTTCTTGTCTTTTTTATTCCCGCATACTTGAAGCTGAAGAACCTCGTGAACTCTAATTTCAGCGCCGTTCCTTATTGTGTCATTGCTTACTCCAAAACTAGTTTGGCATGCACTCATTGTAAATGGACCCGTGGAAACAGAGGAGTAGAAATCAGAAAAATTGTTCATTGTGGAATTATTCTTTTGGGGGATTAAATTTTTCACCATTTAAAATTATCCAAGAAATTTACAGCAAAATTGAAAAATTACCTAAGTACGATGACATAATTTTCATAATTTTCATAATTTTCATTGCTATTGCTTAAAAGCACAAGGCCTTGGGGTGCCTTGCTATAGTCTTTTCGAAAGGATAAATCCGCGCAGACATTGGGCTAGCAGGGGCTATAGCCCCTCCACTTTTTTGCGATAATACGTTAGAAAACTTTTTGAAAAGTTTACTCTAACACGGTCTAACGCAACATTGAATAGTATACTCCTAAAAAGGAGCAGTCTTTCTTGACTGGGAACCCTTCCTAATCATTTTCTAGGTGTTTTTCTCGAGGTTTTAATATCCCCGAGCTAATTTTATCTATTTTTATAGCTATTGATAACTTCTCTGAACCAGATTGTTTATAAAACTCCAGTAGAAATAAGCCAGTATTTTCTAAAAGGGGCGTTTTCCGGCGTTCTAGAGGGGGGGGGCGTCAAAAATTTTCGGTCACGCTTTTTTCAGCCCTCCCACATTTAGAATGGTGCGCGGTCCCTAGTTCCACAAGATTTGCATTCGCCTAGATGCTGCGCAACGCTCCCCCACAGAGCTGGAGCAGAAGAATTCTGTGGCGCTTTCTTCCGAACATCTGCCTTTGAAAAGTCTTCTTATCTTTTAGAGAGTAGTTACATCCTGTTTCGAAAGAGACAAAATGTAAGATTCAATCTTATTGAGCTGTGTGTTTTAGATTGTTTGCTTGTTGTGGCTTTGGATAAAGAACATCTGCTCCCTATCGAAAACTAGCGTGTTTTCTCACATAAATCAAACGGGGTCTTTTCAACGCAATGGCAAGACTCCAATATCGGATTGTAGTTGATTCATCAGATGTAGATCTGATATATAGTCTTATTCGGAGCTTCGAGATTCGATTAGCCATTGACGCGGTTCGGGTTTCTGATCAACAGTCCAGCTGCAGGTGTCCCTTTGTGCAAATCACTGCTTTAAATTTGCTTTCGTGAGAAAAAGAGATCGCCCTTGAGAAATATGAAATCTTAAGTCAAGTCAATATAATAAACCTACATAAATGGAAATTAAAGAGAATTGGGGTTGGATAACTATTACGTTTTAAAAAGCGTTCCTTTTTCACATTGTATGTATTGTATGTAGACCAAAGCTATATAGGTCTTTTGTTATCAAGAAAAGATAAATTTTCACTTGCAGCAGTTTGCTGTGTCAGTAAGCTGATTCTCGAAAATATCCCTAGCGAATACTGTGATTTCCAGAGCACTAATCCAAAATGAGCTCTAGCTCGAGTTCGGGTGTGCATTTTTTTACCTTTATTCTCCGATGAATCTAGTCATCAAATTCAAGACACTCGATACAAGGTACCTTACAAGCGTGCCCTGGTGTCACATTCCGCGTGTTGTGGCTTCTATCGGACACCTCGCCTGCCCGTCAGCCCATGACACAGAAGTTCCTTTTGCGGAATACCATTTGTCATTCTTCAAATAGTTTTGTCGTGATAAACCACGCTTTGTAACTTATCCGCGAAACGTGCCTGCTGCCGGCAACGTAGGTAGGATGAATCATAAAATTGTTATCTTTGACACTAAAGAGAATTACTTGCTTCAGAAGGTGGAAATTCTGTATAACGTCCAGTCCAGAGGCACTCTAGGACAGGATAAACTGGTATCTAGATATAACATACACATATAAATAAAAATAAGAAACCACAAATATATTGCGTTATATTTTATACAGCCTGCTTGTCGTCATAGAAAATGTTTCAAGGAAATATGCAAAGTTGTGATTTGTAAATCAGTGAATTTCTCAACCAGGAATGACGCTTCTCAACTTTTATATTGTTTATCCGGGTAATTCATTCTTGCAAATAGCGTACGAGATTTTCCCTAAAACAAAAGGATTTCCAGGGATTTTCAGATAAACCAATAGGATTTTCCCAAAAAGTGTACGAGATTTTCTTGGAGTGATTTGCCCCTCGGTTTATCAAGATAATTCATTGAAGTAGCAGCAATTTTCACAAAGTTTTCTTTGGGACTTACCAAAAGAATTCTAATAGCTTCTTGGATTATAAATTTCTTTTATTAGTGGCTCTTTAACAAGATATGTTTCTATCTAGTTTATGTAATTATCATGATTAAGAATGAAAATAGAAAAATACCTAAGAGACAAGAATAGAAAAAAGAAATAACTTAACTTCTTGTAGTCAGCACCTACCAGATTTTGTTAGAAACTTGCGAAATATTCTCAATTTGTGTCTTGTAGCGGCTGGTGAAGATCTCAACTGATGTGTAGGTATTTTTTCAATTCATTTTGTAGCAGACTTTAAGGACGTCACAAAGGCCTACACTGAATTAGCTCTCGAAACCAAAGCAAAATTTTTTGGATCGTTACATGGCACCTAGGAACGGTACAGAAACAATTGCTTATCTTGCAAGTCTGAACGAAAAGAGTGGGAAGAGCAATCACATATGTGGGCATAATCGTGCTTTCTTTCAATTGTTTATCGCTGAGAAGGGAAGCGAAAGACACAATTTTCTTGCATACTTTACTCAAAGCTCCCATTGTTTACTTTGCTGGCTCTCTGGCAGTCTGGCAGATCCAGAGCTTCTATTTTAACATAACATTTTTGCCACTTCCAAATATCATTTTCTTCTGACAGAATTTATTTTTATAATCTAAATCTTTATTATAGAAAACCAGCAAAATGTAGCAAGTGATCTAGAAAGGGGTAGATTTAGGGAGATGTTGCTTTATCTTATGCGACAAAAATCTCGTTAGCCGTTCTTGCTTAAAAAATGAACCATTTACAGGGTAGTATATCCCTATAGAGGGTAGAAGGGTAGTTTTTGTGCACACTTTTTTCAGCTAAAGTACCGACCCCCGTCCATCCGATTTTTAAAAGAACAGATGTCCAAGATTTTATCTATCTTCCCTGGGGTACTGAAATCTCCAATAAGCTTCAGAATTCTTTAAAAAGATGCTTTTTTCTTCCCAACATGCAGTAATGGCAATGGACACGTTTCACAGGTTAGTGTCAAAGCGTGTGCATTTTCAGCCTTGGCATCGGAAAGTGCGAAAAACTACAGTGAAAAGCCACTGCAGACTTTGCTTCTTTAAATTTTTCAAAGGCTGTCGGTATCAAAGCAAAGGATATTTAATAAAACCGTGCATGGTGTAGTCACCATAACAACTGTTGCGGAAAAAGCTAGATAACGGTAGCATAGATCTCTGTATGCAGCGGAATTATATTGTAATGCAGCATGTGCTCTTTGTGTGTAGCCTTTGTCCCAGACCCCTAACTTGAAAATATCAGACTTCTACATTCAAGCTTGGAGTCTGGGACACAGGCTATTTGTGTTCGGCATACGTAGGCAACGGCAGCGTCAAGTGGCTAGATTGTAACATAGACATTGTAAAGACTAGATTTGTTTCTAACAAAGAATTGCATAGCAGAATTTCCTTTTCGGGAAATATGATAAGAACCATTTTTGCATGTTAAACAAGCTGAATAGGACTGAAATATTTATTCTTTTGAAAATATTCTGGCTCAGGAATATGTAGGCCCGGTAGAAATAACAGGATAAAATTGATAGCCTTTTTTCCAGACCCCTATCTTGAAAGAAGAGGGTCCCATAAAAAGTTATGTAAAGCTTTTATACGCTGCTTGTAAATGTAATCCACACACCGCATAACCTAGACCATGATTCTTCTAGGGTAAGAATTATAGAAATAGAAAACATTGATTTGTTAATGAGATTTGATTGATCCAAACAACTCGGATAAAATGTCTTCCATTTTTATATAAGTCGTTACTTGAAAGAAATTCCTTTAATGATTGGATACCGTCTGAAATGCAATTGGCAGGAGTTGGTAGCTAATAGTTGTCATGTAGAGCATACAGATCACTTTGCACAGGTTCGTGCTTTAAGAATTGTCTTAAAGTATGACCAGAGATGTGAATTCAAGCCAGAAGCTTCACAGTGGTCGGTAGAACTGTTTAAGAGGTCGAGGTACATGGAAACTACACATCGGCTGAGTGCCTACCAATACCTACATATGTTCATTGCTGAGGGGGGGGGAGGGATGAGACATCAAGAATTATTATTGATGAGATGACGAGACAAGGCTATCAGCAATGAATCCCACTATTGAGTTGATGCAAATTTTGGCTTGTTGTTCATTTCAGACGTGTAATTATAGTTCTTTTTGGCCTTTTGTAGCCCCCAAGATTGTAAGACTTCGTCTGTCATTATTGATATGACATATTAATCCCTCATAAGCAAAAATTTTCGACCTAATCAATTATGCCAGTGTGGGGCCTTGATGCTCTAGGCTTTTAGCAAGGGGTATTTTGGCAAGTGGTATTTTGGCAAGGGATATTTTGTCAAGGGGTATTTTGGCAAGGGGTATTTGAGCAAGTGGTATTTTGGCAAGGGGTATTTTGGCAAGGGGTATTTTAAGTGCAAGTATGGTTTAGTGGTTAGGGTCACGGACTTTAGATCCAAGGGTCCGTGGTTTGAGTCCCTGACATGACCCAACATTGAGCCAGAGTGAGGAGAGTCGCCAGCTCTCTGTAATTCCAGGCATAGGAATTATGAGGTATGGTCACATCGAGAGAAAGCACCAGGACACTTCTCGATAAGCACAAGCTTCTCAGTGTCCTAGAACTATCTACAAAAACTAGGACAAAACAACTGCAAATGATGAATCTGAGCCATAAAACCTGAAGAGCTCTAGGACCGAATGATGACATAGTATACTACAGGCCTAATAGGGATCTGCAGACAATCATGGACCAGAAGACGCAAGGAACAACTATTTGTTTATCTGTAAAGACAGAACCATTTGCATTCTTCAGTTTTCTTCGTGCTTACTTTTTAAGCTGTGTTTTGATAAAGCAGTTTGAAGAAGGAGCAACCTAATCTAAAACTTGTTCGCTTGTATCACGAAGTTTGAAATGAGCAATAAACATCATTTGTAGCTATTGACATGATCGCCTGCTGTAGCTAAATGACTTTTTCTTTAAACTACCTAAATTTCATTGCAAAAAAAGATTAGAACAATTAGGCAAGTCGTCTTCAGACCAAATGAAGGAAGAACATTAATTAATTGTACACTCAATTATCTATCGTAACCCAATTAAATAATATACATTTTGTTGTGATGGTTTGTTAACAAAAAGCAAAATGAAATCTTACCGTTGTAGGGTGCTCAGAGCATGGCAGAGGGATGTCTTTTGTAGCGTGTTTCAACTCCTTCAAACAGCAGCTCTTGTTGCAAATGCACCTCCTATTCACCTCTAATGGCGACAGGTAAATTATTGGTTGACTTTCAAACAACTACTTTCAAGTGTGCTGAAAAGAACAATAAGGTCCCTTGAACAATAGGCAACGCGGAATGTATGAAAGGATCACTAGTCACGCCGTTGACCTTTGCAGCCAGTAGACACCTGCACACCTGGTTTGTGCACCTTCTTCGCAGGGAAAAATAGCTTTTACAAACGCTTTAAGAACCTTATGCCAGAATCATAGAAAACAACTGCTTCTGAATCACGTTGTATGTGCTTTGGAATAAATGTCAGTTTTTCTGAGTATTTCTCAAAAAGACGCAACCACACATGAGTATGCCACTGGTATCTTCAATTTTTAATTCTTGAAGGTCGAATCCAAGCCAGATTTTCTTGTGAAGTTCTACGGTGATTACCTTACAATCACCTTCGATCTAAGCACTGATTTCAAACCACTTCTGCCTTTTAATGAAGAACTGACACAGGCCAGGTGCAAAAGTTTGATCATAAATGAAGGAAAATGAGTTTGCGATAGGCGTCTTTTTTAGCTAGGTACCAATTACGTATCAAGTATCGGCAATAAATTAGCCTTGATGCCGAGAATATCACATTCACAAGACTGACAGTTCATGAATAAACTCTTTCAATTTCGTTGGCAAGTTTTATTTTCAACATATGCATAAGGAAGCTCACTAAAAAGATACAGTTTAACATAAGATATTGACATTACAACGTAATTATCTTGTTTGTTATGCAAGAGTGTGCAACAGAGAAATGCACATTTTTGCTAACAAAATATCGTAAACAATACAATATTTCTGTAGCGAACAATAGAATATCTTAACCGCAAATCTACATTTTTGAATCTCACATGACAAACACAAAGGTTATACAAATGCAATGTGTAAAGTCAATATCTATAGCAAAAATTGAACATTGTAAAACTCGGATGGCGATGGAGTTGCAAAGAGAAGTATATAGATGTTGTGTTAAACGTTAAAAGGTTAACAAGAAAATATGTCAGTTTCTCCTTCCCGTACCTGGGTAAGAATCACCTATATATAAAATAATTCACCGCATGCTCAACCGAAAGTCAAAAAACAGGAAACCTGAGTTAAGAGCCCTCATTCAAGGGTGTACATTTTTTTTATAAACACCCCTTCCTTAAAAAGTTCTACACATTTATGTGCCCCTGCCTCTGGTTAGGTAGCACGAAATTGAATTCTTCGAACGTGGCTTTACTCAATCTTCCAAATGTAAAAACACACGTGGCATTTTAAAGAACTTATTCATGACAGGAGTCAAACGGCGTACAGATGCGTTTTTATTTTTAAATGAAGTAAGGTAGTATTCTAAATTAGACTAGCATTTGATTTTAAATTCAGCTGCGTTTTAAAGCTAATTTTGCAAATAGATTGCATTAGAAGATGTCAAGATACCTCTAAAGAGATTTTATTCATTTGGCTAAGCTTTCGCGCAGGGTCAACGAAGGGTATAGAAATTATCTTTACTTAGATGGCAAGCAAGATAGAACGTTTAGAAATGCTGGAGGGTGACTTATAGCGACTTTAAAAAATGGTAGAATGAAAGGTTAGATACGTACACTTTCCCTGCCTGGCTTAGGGCCTACACAGGAGTATATTGCAACAAGGAAGAACAATTTTTTGGCCACCAGGAATGCCTTGGCAAGCTAGGAAGATAACGTGCATATCTTGGAATTCGATGAACAGGTCAAAAATCCTTGCCCGAAATTTCTCCAAAGGGAAAGGTACCAGCTAAAGGACCAGCTGTAATTTGATAGCTTGATTAAAGAAAAATTTGCTAGGTTGTAAGTATAGATAACTGACGCCTGCAGTTTTGATATTGAGTGAGATTACAAGTGGAACGGGTGTTTAATGTCTAATCGCATCAGAAACTGTGCCTATTGTTGACCCGAAACATAAACCCGTCTACTTAAAGGCGGGAAAAAGGGGAGGAGAAATGAACGTCAAAAATAACTTTGGCTTATATCGATGCAAATGTTGTCGCCTGATTCAAATCTGGAAAAAGTTTCTTTTAATTCGCCGTTTTCATGATATTTGCAACTTTATCCGTCAAATACGGTCACACAGCCAGGACTGGGAATTTCCCGACGGCAATCAAGATATCGCCAAGGATGTTAAAATTAAAATCGTTGAACGTCACAAGTGAACGATGTTACAATGCCGTTGTAAAGGCTTTCACCGCAAGGTGAAAATCAACGTGAAGTTTTCGTGTTTTATGAAAAATAAGCCGCGGTGAAAAGAAAAAAATTGTCAGGGCATTTCATTATAAAGTATTAGAAGCTAGAAAATCTAGCTACATCCTGTAAGACGCTTATATCCTACATAAATTTATTTTCAATGCATGGATGATCTTCGAACCAGCATGCTTTGAAACATTGAAAGAACTCTAAGCTTGTGAAAAAGAGTCGATTGTTTTGAAACTGATACCCGTTTTCTTCAAATGTTTTATTTTTACAATTACAGAATCGCAACATAGGGGGGTTAGGGGTTGAAGCATAGCCAAAAGACAATACGAAAATCTAGTGAGAAGGGTAAAGCGATCCTGCAACAAGCTTTGGGTGAAGAATATGAATTCAGAAAAAACTGGTTGATGGGAGCTTGCGAGTGTGACTAAGTAATAATTCACTGAAACTTGATTATTGTATTTTAACAGAGTTTGAGATACTAGGGGAATAACTTAGTCTTGCAATAGCCATGCCCACCAAGGTCAAAATTGCTTGCAAAAGAATATAATGCGTCGCAGTTGATATCGTTACAGTAAACAGCATTTTTTCGACTAAAGAAATCAGTTTTTGAATCTAGAGCATAAGATTGCCTATTTTCCGTAAATCCGTAGATCTTTCGACTGCCAGGTAACTTATCAGTTCCGAAACCCTTCACGCCGGGTGAAATGGCATAATCCGCACAGTGATTTAAGCTTTTATTATTTCAATCAGCTATACAGTTAACGTGCGTTTAAACATTGAAAAACCATCAATAGAAGGTTCATTAACAATTATATAACTTGCAGTTCGTTTAGGGCAAATCATGGGCATTTTAGCCCAATTTAGGCCACAGACAAAGCAGTCCTGGCCAAAGACGCCTAATCTGAATAAATTCTAGTTTTACGAACGGATCCATTTGATGTATAGCAATAGATTATTTAATAGAAAATTCTAGTATCAGTTTGTATTCCAGTGACCTGTTCTTTGTATACAATATCGTAGACTGTTGAGCCATGGGACTGACTGTCTGCAAGCGGACGCGCTGGTTGTACGCGAAAGAACTAGAACGGCTGAAACCTCTCCAGGTTTTGTAATCAGTGTACATAAAACTAACCGATTCAGGTCCAACTATATTGAAAAGTCAATTATGTGTCAAAAAAAAAATTAAGACTCCTTCACGGCTAAGCACATAATAAACATTTTTCCGGCTAGTACATTTTTGTTAAGGGTTTCTATAGAGAAAACACAATTCCGTGCTTTGTAGAACACTGTCACTTGTGGACGTCAAAGATGATCGTCTCACTTCGTGACTGATTTTCGCCTCGATCTCAAGTGTCGGAACAATGTCCGTTTTTCAACTTAAAAGCGTATTCAAACAGGTAAACTTGTGATTTAGAAGATTTTTCGATTCTGGAATTTGACTTGGTCACAACCTACCGTTTTAGCCAAACTTTTTGCTGTTGGTCAGTTTCTCCTTTAAAAAAAGACTTGGAATGATCTTGTATGAGCTGTTAATTGTCCTTTTTTTTCCGTATGACATTACATATCATTTGGCTGCATTCCACATTATAGTTTCCAGTTCGAGGGTCAAAACCAAAGAGATCTTACAAACCCACAGGTGTCCAGCAGTTTACTGTGCATTTTATGTATTCATTGACAAGATTCGCTTATAAATTTAGGATACTAAGCTATTGAAAGCAGAGAATTCAGGACAACAAAAGTTTGTATCCAGACATGAAAAATTTAAGTCTGTGCGTTACTTTCTAAAACAGCGCGACTCTAACCCAATTGCTTGGTTATTAGCTTCAAGGTACAGTCTCGCCATTTACAGGTAACTTTATTATTCTATATTTGAAATGGCTCTTTTTATAGTGTCGACGATGTACCGTCTCACAGAGAGTTTTATCACCCCAATATCCTTGCAATGGCATGTCCTTATGCTAATATTACTCTTAGGATTTGAACATCTGGTGAAGGCCGGTTTTGCAGGTAAAGGGAAAAGCAAATAGAGCAGCCCAAAAGAGGGGCATTCAAGGAGAAGCGGTTGACGAAAACAATTCTGAGTCTTTGCAGCAGTGTTATTAGTTGCTTAAAGTGTCTTAGAGACTGGGGTCATCAGTTTTTCTAGAGCCTAGCATTCCCTGTAACAGAGCATGGTTTTGTCAATTTGAGACAAGGTCCTCACTTCACATGAAAAAGGATAGTTACTCTTTATAGCAGGTGCTGCTGTGTTTACGTGGACGAAGCGCGCACTCAGAATCAAATAAACAGCGCCAGAAAGAGTGTTTTTGATTGATCTTATGTTTTAAACCATCCGCGCGCTATGTAGTAGTAATTAAATTTCCAGAATTAATCCTCTAGGTGTAATCAAACTTGTGCAGTGATTATTGAATGGTCCTTACGACATGATAAAAATGTGTCCGTAATTACAAACGTTATTAGGCAGATTTATTACTGTTTGTTCAGATTCTAATTGCTTTTATAGACTGATAATCATAAGAAGTGCGAAACATCAGCACGCGACAGGAACGTTGCGTACTCGTGCTGTACACCTCTCAGCATGCAGCATCATGAGCTCAGGGGATGACTGTCAATGCCCAATCTCGCTGGGCACGGGTTCCATTGATCAAACCATCGCTTTGGCCATTTTAAGTCAGACACTGCAGCGGAAAGCCCGTTCCCAAACAAAGAGGGCATTAATTCTCGTGGGCAGTAATCAATTATATCTGTCCAACACATGAAGAAAAGAAGCAATGTGATTAGAACTGATATCATAAGAATAAGTTCTAATGTTACTATGACTAGTGATTTCTCATGTGCCAAC